AGTTAAGGTGTCCGGTTAGGCGTTGCCATTCACGAAGGATTGGTGCACGGTCATGAGTGTTGAGAAAAGAGCTGATTTTCTCCAAAATGTCGGCTACAGAGCCGGGTGAAAGGGAGATGCTGCCGACGTTGGCGTCAACCCAGAAACCAATGATCTTCTGAATGTCCCCAAATGATTGCTTCTTCTCCTCCCACGGGCAGTTTATCCGGTCCCACAGTAGAAGGAGCCAAACTTGTTGTCGTGGACGGAGTTTTCCACGAAATAGCATGAGGTTATCTGCGAAGTCCCATCCAAAGAAGTCATCCATGAAGACATGCAGGCTTGATATCCCAAGTTTTCGCATGGCTATCCAGCAAATGAGCCCAGAGATAGAGCACCAAATCCGCGGCGATGCTCCATTACCAAACACCAGTCGGCGAACAATGTAGTAAATCCCATCGACGACAAAAACCTGACACAACTGCCAAAGAGGATGGGCAGGGACATTCAGGAAAGCTGATGCGACGTTGTCCTTGAAGGTGACGATGTGACGGCCAGGATATTTCAATTTCGCATCGAGAAGGCACTGGCCAAAAGGGCGCATATCGTCGTACTTGACTCTGCCTTCCTCTCGAGGGATGCCATCGTTCAATCCCGATGCTGAATGATCTGTGATGATTCGGCCTTTCCCTTTTTGCCAAACGACAAACATAGGCGAGACCTTCATTTTTGGATGTAGAGACGGAAGGCTTTCAGACCAACGCCCCGCTGCCACTTCTTTATCTCGATATGCACGCAGTGCTATGAGGTCCTCTTCATTGGAAACAGGATTGTCGGAGATCTCTTCAAGCTCAATTTTCCATTCTCCATCGTCAATCGGCCAGAAGCCCTCTCGCAATCCTCGCATGACTGAGCGTACAAAAGGTTGGTTCGGGTGATCGGCCAGCATGTGTTCCAAACGGTCAACATTGAAAGGAGTTTCAACCTTGATGTGCTCGCGTGCCTCATGGAGGGCGGCTTGAACCGAGGGGTCAGCAATAAGGTGCTCAGGCGGAGACGGAAGAGGTGGTGCAGTCTCAGTGTACAGAGCAGCAGGAGATATATTAGAAGATGGAGAGGAAACACAAGAAGAGGATGAAGAGAGAGAGTCTGCCGAGGGATCCTTCCAAACGAGGCCGCGACGAAAGCGAGGACCTTCTAGTGGTTCGCTCGCCTTCCTTTTGCGGCTCCGTAAAAGCTGCTTAGGCCCCACTGCTGCTTCCCGCACCTGAAGTGACACTAACTCCTTTTCCTTTTCCTCCTCGTCGGGCACGTAGGAGCTGGAAGCATGCATCGACATCTCGAGCGCGATGTGATCCGGAGCATTCACTGCACACATTGTGTCGGCGCCGTCCATTGCAGGGCTCGGAACAGTTCCCATAGTTCCAATTGATACAAGGAATCGAAGCGCGCTTCGAAGACTCTGGAGGCGAATATGCAGGGCGTTTAGCTGGTGTGGTGCTTGCAGAAGCAGTCCTGAACATCTGCGTGAAAAGGGGAATATCGAGCTCCGTACGGTTGTCGAGACGGAAAGGGCTACGTGCGTAACGTTCGCGAACATCTGCATCAAAGCGAATCGGGATAAGTGGGCTAATGTGGCTCGCGCGAAAGAGATCGAGGACATGCTTCTTGTATCCCTGAAGTTCGGCGTCGCGATGGGGATATATGATGACCACAGCGGCAGCCCAGGCTGAGAACACGCGCATCCATTGTGCTTCCGAGGTAAGTGGTCGCTTGGCATTAGCTTGATCCTTCTTAACAATCGCGTACCCAGCGAGAAAATCTTTGAGGTCGTCGTGATGATCGTATCCTGGCTCCATCGACGCGTGAATCTTCTCGAAATTGATGTATTTATCCTGGATGATATCTTTCCAAATACTGCGGGGAAGAGGTTCTTCGAGATGTTGGAGCTGTAGGATGTCAGCCATCCCGTCGACAGACTTGTCGGATGAGAAAGCTTGACGGATTTTCCAAGTCTCGCTGAGATGAGGATCGGATGGATGAGAGACAAGTTTTGCAAGATGAGGAGCTGCGGCGAGGACCAAAGGGGAGATAGAGGTCGAGACTGATTCTGTAGTAGGGCGCAAAAGGAGTGAGAGGAGATCTGTAGAGGGAGGATTCTGAGGCGAGCCTCCTGGAGCAGGAGGTGCGCTTTGACCGAGTATAACTGCTCTGAGAATGCTCCATTCCGCTTCGTCCAAGGCCTTCCTACGTGCTTCGTCACGCTGTCGCACCAACTCTGCCTGTGCATCGTCACGCTGTCGACGAAACTCTTCGAGAGCGTCGCCGGTAAGTCCTTCAGGTGTAGCTGGTCGGGCTTCATCACGCCTGGCTCCGGCTGCTCCATTGTGGGATTGTTCCGGGTCCAAACGAGACTTCGCTTGCTCAATATACTCTTTGGCTTCAGCGGGGGTGAGCCCCTTATCGCGCAGTTTGGCGAGAAGGTCTTCGAGCGAGAAATTGCCTTCACAGCATTCGTCGACAAGGGCTTGGCAAGCTTGCGCCTGAGAGCGAACAACAATGAATCCATCATCAGACATTTGAATGAGAGATAGATGTCGAGATGGGCGAATGAAATGAGCACAGGAGATGGCAATGAAAATGAAGCGGCGAAGCCGAGGCGATAAGCCTAGTCGAAGGAAAGGTCAGCCTTGCTAAAGGATAAGTCTCGCAGCGGCGCTGCTCACTTGGGAAGGTAGGAGAGGAACCAGTATTAGGAAGTGAATAAGGTAGGAAGGATCTGATCAGGATGATCAGCGTAAGTGAGGCAAGGCTGAAAGGAGGGCTTACCAGTGCCGTTGCAGCTGAGGCTTGCTAGACGAGCACTGGTGGATGGAGCTTATGTACCGTTTGTTTCTCAGACTCGGCCTCCGCTAATCTCTAGCACCGGAGTCAGGACCAGCACACATGCTCAAGAATGTTCGAGGCATGAAGGGACTCAGGGAGTGATCAAGGGATAGGAGGATGTCGAGCACGACGACAAATGGCGGAGTCGTGCGGAAGAGGGTGGTGGAAGATTACGCGCCGAGGCCTGTGGAATTGTTCACGCCCTTGGCGCTCACCATCACATCGATCTTTGTTGGGTTCGTAATAGGCCTAGTCAAGTTCAGATACCGAGCGTCTCTAATAACAGACTAAAGAGCTCACCGTCGCCGAAGAACTTCGAGTCAAAGTTTTGGGATCAATCGTATTGGTCACGACGCATGTCCCGACAGTGTTTCCGTTACACTACTGAGCAGTTAATTGGTGGACTCAGGCAGGGCGCTGATTGCTTACATTATCGGGATTGGAGGGAACTCCAAGGGAGTGGAGCGCGCTGTAATACTTGCCGTACATGTTACCTCCATCCCAAGGGGGGTAAATTCGTTTGATCGGACCCTCTGTGCCATGGTACTCGGCATCTGGGCGAACGCTGTATTTGTCGAGGTCTTGCTTCGATGCACTGAACGATTCGGACTGGAGAACCGCGTGCCACGTGAGTTATACCGTGACCAGGTCGAGTGTCCGGTTAATATAATTTACCTTAACGAAGTACTTGTGTAGTTCTTTCCAATTCCATCCTTTCGCTCCAAGAGATTCAATGGCTAACCGAAGAGCAATCAGTTTGCGATGTACACGTCCACCGAGCGCCGGCAGGGAGAAGGCACGCACCGTCATACTCGGTCGAAGAAGCTCTATATAGATAGGCTAGGCGTTCAAAGGCAGGGGGCAGATACTGCGGCCGACGTACCTCCCGAAGGACATGAAATTCAACTAGCGGGGCATGTGGTTAGCTTCACGGAGCTTGTTAAGCGGCGTTAATATCCACTTACAATCGACGACCCACCCACGCCCTTTCCCCTAAGCACAAACGATAGGTTGAATATCAAGTGCACGAGTTCCTTTTAATTCAGATACCCCACACACCTGGGCAAATAGATTGGCCGATCGCCAACGCCACCTTGGGGTGTTGAGAGGAATCCCCAGTCGAGATCAGGTTTGGTCAAGTTTTGCTGGCAGAGCCCTATGGCACGCTTAGAACACGACAGCTTCGCAATCCGAGGGACAAAGGCTAACCGGGAATCTGTACACCCGCTTGGTCAGATACGTGACCGCCCGCCTCGATGACAGCGACCGTTTTGCTCGCATCTTCAGCGAGGCGAGCGGCAACGACAAGGCCCGCAAGGCCTCCGCCAACAACGACGTAGTCGAAAGATGTCATGTGGATTCTGTGTTCGGTGTGATTAGGATACAGTGGGCTTCGAGGAGCAGTGTCGACTTTGGCAAAGGCTTGATGTTGCTTTATAAGTGCATTCCGTAGAATCCAGAGGTGGGCTGACTATTGATATTGTGGGACGGGAACGTAGGTCCATTGATTATCTGGATTCTCCCAACGCGGGACGCTGGGGGGGGTGTCTGTTGTGCGATGAACCCTCAAGCTTGGTCATAGTCATAGCTTCCGTTTTTTCTGATGCCTAGTCCGATGAGGAGTACTTGCGGCCTAAAAATTGGCAGAAGCAGTGAATTATGATGGATCATGGTTCTATCGAGCCACGAACCGAGGTGACTCGTGGTAGATCTGAGCTGTTTGTAGTACTCTAAGTTTGGAACGGCAATCAGTGGCATCAGGCTCTGCGGACTTCACTTCCGGGTACTTACAATCAGGAGGCTGATGCGAGTCAGTATAATGGCGGGAGAATATGATTGTTAGTTGGGAACAGGCAGCATCCGAGTGGATGTTGGTACCCAAAACAACACAGTGAGAAAAGCAATAGACCCAAGGCGAAACTGAAATTCCCATTTTAATCGCGCACTATGGTACAGAGTACTGCAGACATATGTTTTAGGTACACTAAACATCCGAGGCCGATTCGAAGCAGTCAATAAATAGCAACATAAAAAAACAGAGATACCGTCTCAGTTAAAGTAGGAAGTACAACACAACGGTGCCGAGATCATCTGGCTCCCACATGTACATGATGGAAAATCGCGTAGGAAGTTGATCAGAAATCGAGAGTTGACTTGTGATTTCTTTGCATCTACCGCAGGTCATTGGTATCAGTGCCTGCCTTCCCGGTATACTGGGTAAGCCTTACCTCGGCGTTGCTCTCGTCGTCCGAGTAATGGATGGACTTGGTGACCTCTGCGGAGATATGCACTGGCACTGGCATTGGCGATCTGTGAACCGAGCGAGAAGGATCGGTGCCGTCGGTAGCCCCAGGTCCCATGCGGGCTAACTTAACAGAGGTTTCGTAGCGATTATGCGAGCTCCCGCTGCCCAGGCTGACGTCCATGCCTGCTGCCTTACTGTGGCCCCGTGCATTGAGATTTGCCATCAAAACGTTCGAGTAAAGCTTCCCAAGCAAGAAAGCACTGAAAGCAAGGGGTGAAGAAGTGAGAAGGTTATCTCAGTGATGTCGGGGGTCGACGTACGGAGTGACGTGGTAGTTTGTTTCTGGGATGACAAGGAAAAGGACGAGCTCAACCCCAGCAGCAACGGCGGTGACTGCACCGGTCTCGATGGTGTTGCGAACAAGGCGGGTCAAGACGGTCTCGCTCCTGCCGGAAAATGAGCGTTTGCGGGCCCTGTGCAGCTGTTGGTGTGCAGCATTTAGCGAACGAGTCTAGCGAACGATTCACCAGATAGGTTCCGTACCGTATATAACATGCAGCCTGCAATAAGGATATCTGCGACGAAACTTCCCACCAGCCAGACCTGTAAACGCGCCCAAGGGATTAGGGTCGTAGGGGTCAAGGCATTGCAATGAACGCACCGTGAATCCTGGGGTCAACTCGCTCAATTGAGAGAGTTCCTTAACAAAGGTGAACTACAGTTTTGTGTCAGTTATCGCCGAAAGGTCAGAGTAGACGAGAGCGCCCTTGGGGGTGATACTGACCCTGACGGCGGCAACCAAGGCGCTGCTGCACTGCATGATCGCAACAAGGAAGATAGCGATAGGGAATACCATGAATAACTTCGACTGGCGGTTGAGCATCCAGATTCGCCTGCGTCGGATGTCAGAAAAATGGATAAGCAAGGAGAGTGATTACTGACCACGCAAAGAATATCTGGACGACCATAGAGACTGACATCGTGGATTAGCCACGGAGCGAAATGCCAAGTGAGTGACAAGCGGGACTCAACTGATGCTTGCCATGATGGTGACTGAGACGGACGACGGAGGTGGGACCGCTAATATTGACGGGTCGCCCCAGTGCGATACCAACGTCTTCCAAGCGTAATCAGTCGAAACACCAGTTTGTGTAAGATCCATGATCAAGACGAGAAACACTGTTCGACAATGCTCAGCTTGGGCCCAAGTTGATAAGCACTTGATACGTACCGGTCCCCTTGATCATCCATGGATCCTGCATAGAATGTTGGATGTAGACATCTGTAGGGTAGCTTTAAGGTTGGCGACCCTGGAAGTGGTATGTCGACTAACATATTTGCACTGCTAATGAGCCTAGCAGGGACCAATTCAAGATGGCACCGACAAACTATAGAGTCCGATTAGTACAACGGCGATATCGCCAGCAGTCATGCTTACTATGGGTCCAGTGCTGATTGACGACGCTGATCAGTGATATGGAAGGGAAGGAAATACTTCAGAACGTACAGGGGGATGGTCGCCGAGTTGTCCATCGTGGGGGAGACTTTGCGAAGGAACGGGGTCAGCCTCAAGCTCCTCCTGCCACATTTAAGTGCTCCGATCGGGGGAGTACTGAGACAATCCGCCGGATGACTGCATGGTTCGCCTTGCTGGTTGAGTGCCAAACGCGGACGAGTGCAGTGGAATCAATCACGACCGTGGGTTTTCCTGACTATAATCTCCATCTGGTAGTCCGGGCCCCCTTGCCAGTTTTTCAATCAGCATTTGATGGTTATCCAGTGTATAGACTTTTGCGTCGCCGCGTGGGCGTATGTCAAGAACCGATCACATCGCTATAGGATTTACCGCTGGTTTTTGTTGTATGGTTGGGTGCTCTACGAAGGCAGTCGGGGTCCTAACGTGATGCGTGACACTATCTCTTCGCTTGCCCGTGATGGTATAACTTCCTCGGCAGATAACAAAGGTAACGAAGAAATGTGGGGGTGCTACGGCAACAGCGACTTCTCATCCGTTGGTTATGTCCTTCCACTTGAAACCTTTTGGATCGCATCGAAGTCGTGGTTAAGAGGGGATGCTAATCCGACGTAGTCCCTCTATTACGGTATTACGGACTCCCTGTCCGAGAACGAATATTAACGTGGCCGAAGGCACGGAAAGACAGACACGGAGCACACGTACATAAACAGCAGAGAATACAGTCCCACTGGTATAAGCAACGAATAGCCGGCCTAACGACTGGCAGTCCATATAATGGCTGGATCTTCTTGGTTGCTATTATCAGGTGCGTGGGGTAACTGTTCAGTGTAACTTATAAGTGATATATGATTTTCATCGCGAATAGGTGGTCACCTGCCCTAGAAGGGCCTATAAAAATCATAATTGCGCAGTTACTAGTTATTACTCACCGGTCGAGGTCTTGAAAATATTAGACTCATGCACCACGTCGTCGGGGTGCAAGGTAGACAGACGGATCCATGACGAAGGTAAGAAGCGTGAAGCCCAAGTCGAAAGCCAGCTAGCGACGCGTTCCTGATATTTATCAGTAATAGAGCACTCCTATTACTCTCTTCCAACTTCGAACAACCGAATTTTTGACATGTTCATGGTGTTCTGAAGCACCCTCCAGGACTGAGGAGACCCTCGCCTGAGTCCAAGAACGCCCTGTTCTAAGGGCTAGTGACAGCTCAGCTTGGAATTAGAGTTCTGTAACGGTAAAAAAGCACCTTCTGCGTCTTGCAGTAGCTGAACCACCGTGGCCACTGAGGCTGAAAAGTCGAACAACTTGTTGAACCCAAGACCATGATGAATTCAACGCGACGAAATTTACGCGCGTTATTGCCATCACGGTTCCGGGGTCCCGTCAACGAGCGGAGCTTGGGTGCTTGCGACTAATTTTCGATTCAATCTCACCAAGTCCAAACTCAGTCCACCACTCCCACTCTCTAGATATCGAGCTTCTTACCGAGCGTTGGATTTGGCGTTGGATTTGGCGAAGTGCAAACTTGACTGATGCCCGCAATTTACTTATATCTTGCGCGCTGCGCCAATTGTGAAGTACAACCATGGTCGCCCTCGCTCTCAGTACTCTTCTCCTCGGATTGGCTACCCTCGCTGCTTTTCGACGGTGGAAATTGATCAAACGTCTACCCCTTCCTCCTGGCCCCAGGCGAGTCCCTCTCTTAGGCAACCTTTTTCAGTTGCCCAGGCGCAACGGATGGTTGCAATTCAAGCAGTGGTCAAAACACTTTGGTTTGTGGCAATCACAACCATCAGCGCTGCCGTTAAGTGATGTTGCCAACTACACAGGATCAGATATCCTATACCTCAACGTCGCTGGGGTCAGCGTTGTCGTTTTGAACTCAACCGACGCGGCGAATGATCTGCTTTCTCGGCGATCAAGTATCTATTCGAGCAGGTGAGCCACGTCTGATCTCATCAAACTGTAACACTTAATGGCCGTTTATTCAAGGCCGCACGCTGTAATGCTTACCGAACTGTAACTACTTGAACTACTCTCCCTTTGAAGCAGACTATAACGTCCCACGCACGTTTCCATCAGGTCGGGATGTGATTGGGCGTTCGCGACCATGCCATACAATGACTATTGGAAGCAGTGCCGCCGTATTTTCACCATGCAGCTTAATCCTATCCACGTGTCACGTTATCAACCACAGCAGCTTCAGTTCATCCCCGACCTTTTGTTGGGCCTGTTGGATAATCCTGATGGGTACCTTCACCACGTTAGACGGTGAGGATCACTGCTATCTCCTGATGACCTCTAAATCTCCAAATCTAGATCTGTGGGTACGAGTATACTCTCTATCACATACGGGATCGAAGATCGAAATGAGCTGGAGTCTCATATTACATTGGTGGAAGAAGGCGCAGAGAGACTAGCCGTCGCAGGATCACCTGGTGCCTTCTTGGTAGATTTCCTCCCGTGGCTGAGGTATGTCCCAAAATGGTTACCTGGCGCAGGGTTCCAGCGCACGGCCGAGGAGAATCGCTGGTATTCCCAGCGCATGCTAGAGGTCCCATTTGCAACAGCGAAAAAACTCGCGGTAAGATTCACTTTTTCTCCGACTTGCTCGTCAATCTGATTGATGCCCCTTGGGCCTTGTCTAGGAAAGCGGTATGGGCTGGCCCAGCTTAGTGTCACGCGGACTGTCGAGTCTTGCGACAGAAGATGAGCCCCTTGGTGAGAAAACGCTGAAAGATACCGCCGCAACTGTGTACGCAGGTGAGTAAGCAGCGGCGGGCCGAACGCATCATGACCTGAAGTCTCGCTTCGCAAGCGGGGGGCGATACGACCGTCGCATCACTGCAAGTATTTTTCCTAGCGATGCTCTCGCATCCCGATGTGCAGACGAAAGCGCAAAAGGAGCTGGACAGCGTCCTAGAAAGTGCGCGTCTTCCCGCGTTCGAAGATAAAGAACATTTACCCTACATCACCGCCATCATGCTGGAGGTTCTCAGGTAAATCTCTCCCCCCCCTTTTCAGTGCAGATCATTCATATAGCGAGCTTCTCTCAGGTGGCATACGGTGACGCCGCTAGGTGAGAGAGTCTTCGCTTAACGCCGCGTGCTCGCACCCCTAACGGAGATTGGCGTTCCTAGGCATACCCCACGTTCTGTCCGAAGATGATGAGTACAATGGTTATCGTTTACCGGCGAACTCCATCGTCGTAGGCAATAACTGGTAAGATCACGCATCCGTCCATCAGAAGATGAAGATTGGTGTACTGATCTGCACTACTGAAGGGCGATGTTGCATGACGAGCGTGTCTTCCCGCATCCCGATCAGTTTAATCCCGATCGCTTTATCTCTGAGGGAAAGCTCATTGACGAAGACAAAGTCCTTGCTGCTTCCTTCGGCTTTGGGAGAAGGTGCGATCGCGGCTCACGTACCATCGCTTACCTGACTATACTGACCGCGCCGTCTCAAAGGATATGCCCTGGACGCTACATTGGCATGTCCGAACTGTGGATCACGGCTGCGTCTGTATTGTCTGTGTTCAACATCACCAAGGCTGGGAAGGAACCTACGCGAGAGTTCACGACGTCGTTGATAAGGTGGGACCCGCGATTTGCCGTTTGACTTGGAAGTGTGATGTGCTGATGCTCTGTGTGTTACTAGTACCCCTTTACCGTTCCAATGCGCGATCAAACCGCGTTCTGAGGAGGCGCAGAAGCTTATACGAGCAGCTGCTGATAGTAAATGAATGTTTTGCCTGGCAGTTCTCTGTTGGACTGTTGGATTCTAGAATATGACAGTCGGGTGCAATTGAACGTATGGTCGACTTGATCGGAAGTGAACAATCGTGATCTTCTTGGCGTTGAAATGTCATGGGCTGGTGGGATCGCACAATGCTCTGTATATAGCCAGATAAATGCATGGCCCTCGTCGAACTTATAACGTCTTTGGAAAGATCATTCATGCCCTTTACAACGTATCAAACGGGAGAACATCTACAATACATTAACAACGACCATCATTTCTTAGGCAGTTTCTCCCGTACTACATCAAACTGATGGGACTTGGGTGTTTCGATTCAAGAGCTGTTGCTCTGTCGAATCAATTGCTCTGCGTAGCCAGTCCGGGGGGTAATCTTGCACTTAAAGGGGAGGGGGTAGCTAGGAGAGGAACGTCAAAGACAGTGGTAAAATGATATGTGAACACGCACGATAACGACCCGCTGCTCATCTCCGCCTTGAGAGGAATGTCGTTCCCCTGCGCGTCTTGAGCTGGGGTAATGGAAAACGACGCTAAGATCCCCGTAACGGCGCTATACAAGTTATCCTGACTGAAGAATCGTCCGGGACAGGCACTACTCATTGTAGGTCTCGTAGTCAGCCAGAATATGTATAGTATGATGTTATTACACACCGTCGGCCATAGCCAAACACAAAATTACGAGGATCACGAACCGCTGGATTGATCTTGCCATCCAGGAGGAACCGATCCGGATTGAAGTCATCCGGGTTCGGATACACGGACGGATCGTTCAGTAAAGCCCTGGCGAGGAAAGCTTGAGTCAAGGTGCACTAATTATACTAACGTCAGCCGCTCGTACCAGGTGTTGGCCATAACAATTGTGCCCTTTGGTATGAAGTAGCCATCGTATTCGTCATCGGATGTAGACGCGTGGGGTAATGCTGCAAAAGCAGTGTCATTACATATACACTCGTAGTCATGATGGAATATTAATAGGACGCACCAAGGGGTGAGACTGTGTTCCATCTAGATATCTCCATAATCAATGCTTCGAGGTACAGAAGAGCTGGGCGGTCGGCGAAGGTTGGGAAACGCGTGTGCCCTACAATGGCGTCTATCTCCGCTTGGGCCTTCTTCTGGGCCTCTGGGAACATGGCCATAGCTAGGAAGAAGGTTTGCAGAGTCGAAACTGTTGTGTCTGACCCAGCTATCAACAGACACAGGTGAGAAGTCAGAACCAGGCTCGAGCGATTGAGTCGCAACTTGCCTGCAAACGATATGGCGGCGCAATTACGAACAAGCTCTTCGTAATTATCTGGTTCGTCCTCCGGGGCAGCTTCCAGCATATTGGCTGCAGCTGACGGAAGGGCCTTCCCTTGACGCTTTGGGGAAATGTTAAGGTAGAAGTAAGTATAAAAGGCATGAGACATACTAAAGTTTCTTTGGTGGCATTGAATGGGCCGTGAACGAGGTTGTACGACAGCTTTGCCCACTCCCTAGCTTTGCGTTTGAAGCCAGCGCCTGGGAACCACGATGGGACATGCTTTAATATGGGGAACGTGTCCACCAAAAAAGCGCCCGGTATACTGGCACTGGCCAAAGCAGCCAAGCATTGTTCTGCGTTGGTCACGTAAGGATCGTTGTAGCTAGAGACTTGGATTCCATATGTAACTTCGAGGATAGTGCCTGCAAAAAATCTGTTCGTTTGATTTGTAATAAGTTGGCCGAAACATGGGTCGAGTTGTTAGGCTCACAGGCGAATGTGTTGCAGGAACTTGTCCGGGGACTCTAGAAGGTTTCCCAAGAACTTGTGCGTGTGGTCGACTTGTATTGGCCTAAACTGGAGGAAATTGGTTTGAAACTGGTCGTAGAATAGCTTTCTTTGTTTCCGCCATGATGTACAATAAGGCATCAGGCCAAAACACCAATCCCAGCCCATCCTAAACGTATGGAGATTAGCTTGAAGTCGAAGGCGCGGGTCGAGAACATACAGTTCGTTGAGCATGGTCATTCTTGGACGGTCTGCGTACTTTACCGAACGTTTCTCGAGCAGGTCGGTGATGCGCTCGACTGAACCTAGAACCAGAATAGATTGGCCCATGATGTTCATATAGATCATGTCGCCTGCGCGATGATTATGATAAGTCTTCAAATAAACCCGTTTTCGAGGTGATTATAGCCATACCGTAGACCTTGAACCAGTCATTGTAAACCTTCCAAGGGGTTTTGTCAGGTATATCGAAAACATTTCCAAGGACAGGAAGCGGCTTTGGGCCAGGGGGGAAGGGCAGAGTGAGCCGCTTCTTTGCAGAATGCCTCCTGGCAAGTAGCAGCAACGCTGCGATAGCTAGACTGGACAGTCCGATAGAGTACATATTCTGGCTAGCCATGAACCTGGGGTCGTAGCGTTGAATTTCGTTCCGTGGAGATTGCGTTCATATTCATTTGCTCATGGCCAGAGTTGCCGCTGATCCGACTTCGTTCTGATGAAGAGCGAAGGACCGCTAGTGTGAGACGAGGCGGTAGATCGCGATACAGAAAAGAAGACAATCGAGTTGATAGCGAACTGGCACGCTTTGGGCCCACTTGGATCATAAATACTTCCAAGTTTGCCTGAGGTCGGACAAAACGAAACCGGAGCGTCTACAGGGGCTGATGATAGGGGATAGATTATCCCCGTTCTATGGTAGAACAGAAAAAAAAGATAGAAGCTGGCAATATCACATTGTTGACTCTGCTAATTACACAAGTTACGTTGACAAACTTTACATGCCGTATGATTGACATGGGCTCCAAGTCTATCTTGGTAATCACTTATGTTCGTCAACTTCAGTTCTGCTAGTTTATACCTACCACCGAGACCAGTATGGAATCTAACGTAGCCGTTCCTGAACCGTGTATAAGCCTCCAAGGCTTCGGGAACCGGTTCCAGTAGGCGGAGAATTCGTTCGTTCGCATCAACGGCGACATTACTGAGGTGGATGAGTGCTTCGTACTTCGTTACACTGTAAGAATGAGAAAGCAAGCTGGCATAGTTGATATCGTCTCCCGCCATCTGTTCTTTGTAAAATGAGAGAACGTCGCTGTATGACGGCGTCAGATCACAAGAGGACAGGTGGGTTATATATCACTGACTTAGTGTTCTCAACATATACGTTTATCTCCGGGACCGCTTGAATATAACTTGATATTGGCAGCGACTTCGGGAACGCTAGGAGAGTGTACGCGAGGGCAGCCCCGTTCAAAATCCGTGCAAACCTGGGGTATCGCTTCGCGTTTCCATCAACCTTGTATACAAAATAGATGAGCATACCTGTCCGTAGGATATTGAGTCCAACTTACGTCCATGCCTTCTGTCTCGACGTCCATGAAAAGGGACGTGACAAAATTCAGTGTTGAGGTGACGATCATATCCGACCCAGCCGTGCAAAAATAGTCGGGAAACTCTCGAAGAAGCTGCGCAAAGTCGTCAAGCACTTTATCGAGCTGAGGCTCTGCACGGTAAAATCTTTGGTTAAACTGTGCAACAGCCTCGATGTCGCTGGAGGAGATATCGTCCAAGTAAATCATGAACGCCGTGTATATGCCAATGATGACGCGAGTCGGGAGGTCGGCAATATGGCCGAAAGCGTTCGAGGCCATCACGACTCCTCCAGGTATGCATGGCCCTAGAGTCTTCTGGCCGCCAATTTCGTACCCGTGGCTCTTGGCGTAATTGAGGCATGCTGCCTGGAGCTTTACATCGGGAACAGGTACCTCATAAGGTATGTTGCAACGGCGAAGATGTAAGGCAACAATGTCACGGATATTGACAGGCATGTCTGGACAACTGGAGGTGTCAAAAATCAACTTCGTAGCTTGGGTAAGAACATGGTAAAACCTTACGATCAGGTAGCAGGAAATAACGTAGTACCAGTCGCTGACTTGAGTCATTTATACGGTGCAACAGTTTGTGTGAGTATACGTCTACACAGAAATGGAGATTGGATGCGGGCTTTGGATGTGGGCAGCGTACGTGGTTCTCAGACCCTTCGATACAGAAAGAGATTGGATAGAACCACGAAAATTACCGTTGATCGCGGACAAGGTCAACCTGAAAGTTCAAATATCCAAACTGCTGGCACACCGCCGAGTTTCGATGGTCTGAATTGCTGAAATTTCGGAGAGTCGGAGTCCAGGTTGTTTAACCATCGGGAAGCGCCGTCAAACTGGATTCAAAAAGTATGAACCACGCTACCAGGACTGTCCCCACGTCTGCCGATTGTACGATTGATCCAATCATCTTGGCCGATATACGAGGCTAATGGGTCTTCGAACCAGGGTGATAAGACATAAACATCAATCTCTTCAATCTCGTTTGATGTGGCCAGTGTCACGCGTGCGCATTTGCCTCCAAAGATAGGAACTCTATCATCTGGCTTCATCCAGGCGTGAAAACATAGACCTTCGGACCCACTGAGTAGGTTGTCAAACAGCGACGCATGGAGTGAAGGTTGAAGCGCTGGCCTCGGCGGAAAGCTTGATGTAGCCGAATTATGTGCACATGGAGCACTTCGACATCTCTCGTCTCGTTCCTGTAACAGGTCGCTAGCTACGCCATTGCGGCTCAGAAACTAGGAACCATCCAGCGACTTGGAAACAAACAGCACTTCTCCAAGGAGGTTTTCAATGACAGAATAGGCGCATTCTCACAGGCGCAATTACTCAAAAGGACCTTGATAGCCACTTCGATTCAGCCGTCCTTCTCTTTCTGATACGCAAAGATGTGGGCAAACTTGATCTCGTTCGCCTATTTTGCAGTAGCAGTACAAGCAGCGCGCCCACATGGTGAGTTTTCCTCATATGCGCGAGTGCAGCCACCACTTACGCCCTTTGGTCCTTTCTCGAAGGTTTGACCAGCGATGCTGCCGTCTTCGCATCACAATCGTTTGATTTCCTTATCATTGGTTAGTCTCTCTTAAATCTGATGCTTGTAATCGGGCCATCGCTTATGAATTTCCCAGGTGGCGGGACAGCGGGGTTAACTACAGCGGCAAGGTAAGATTCATCCAACATACAGATAGAGTCACAACTTTATCCGTGGGGTAGGCTCTCTGAAGTCTCTTCTGTAACTGTTGGGGTCATCGAAGCAGGCCAATTTTTCCCTGATGAACCACTAGTGAACACGCCGTGTATGTCGCTTACCGGAGTCCAGAGACCGCTGTCTGACGTTGTTCTCAGTACTATTTGGGAGGGTTCTTGGAAATCCGAACTTTGATTGGAACTTTGCCACTGTTCCTCAGCCCCGGCTCAATAACAGAGTCATTGGCTTTCCCAGGTTCGTATCAAACTCATATGCAGCCCGTGTAGTTTGATCAATTGCTGTTCAACAGAGGGAAAATGCTTGGTGGTTCGAGCGGCGTTAATTTCATGGTTTTCGGCCGTGGTTCTAAAGACGAATATGATGCCTGGTCTTTCTTAGGCAACCCCGGTTGGGATTGGAAGGGTCTACTGCCGTATTTCAGGAAGTCGGAAACAGTGACTCCCGGAGATGCAGACGTGCTGCCTGGCGTGTCTGCACCGCCTGGGGTGAATTCAAACTTTGCGGGTAACAACGGACCCCTTCAGATCGGTTTCAATACGAAGAAGACATTCGTACTGCCCGAGCTAGCATCAAAATTCGCCACCAGTTTCAAAAAGGTTGGCGCATTCGTCAACCCTGATCCAGTATGTGATGATGGCATCCTTACTTGTGAACATCTTGACCAACGCCTCGTGCACCAGGACTCTGGAAACGCTACCGGGGTCTTCCAGACGCCTCGTTCCGTTGATCCAAAGGGTGCCAGGTCATATGCTGCGTCAGCCTACTTCGCTCAGGCTCAACGGCGGGCGAACCTTCTTGTTCTCACTGGCGCTGAGGTACGTAAAGCAGTCCTCGAATCTCGTGAACTCGGAGTATCTTATGGTTTGATGTAGGCCACTAAAATCCTGTTCTCGAAGAAAGGAAACTCACTTGTTTCCACGGGCGCTGTGGTATCTTCGAATGGAAAGTCAGTAACTGTGAGGGCCACCAAAGAGGTTATTCTTGCTGCAGGTGGGTGCAACCTTTGCATCAAGGGAGGCTGACCTGACCCCGATGTCATAGGCTCCATCAAGACGCCCCAGTTATTGGAACTCTCTGGGATAGGCCAAAAGGCTTTGCTGAGCAAATTAGGAATCCCAGTCCTACAAGACTTGTCCGGAGTTGGCGAGAATTTGCAGGTAACGATCAACCCGCTCCTGTCGAATGTCACATTTTCACGTACATTAGGACCACATGCTGATCTCCCAAGATTTCCTCTTGAAAGAACCAGCACCCTTTACTTGGGGTACGCCTTGAATGTCGCTCACCTTGGCGATGATTAAATGAAAATATTCCAGACCAAATCAGAAATAACGCATCATTTAATGATGAACAACTTGCCCTCTAGTAGGCTTCTCCCGCAGAATACCTACCTCTTAGCCGGCTAACGATTGAATATCAGCGCGAAGACAGGCTCCGGGATATACGCCGCATCAGGGGGCATATTCTCATTTGAACCTCTTCAGGCAATCCTTCCCAAGAGCCAAGTTTCGAAGATACTCGGTCAGCTGGACCTCGAGTTACTGCAAAGCAAGGCAAACCCCTTGCAGATTGCTCAATACCTGATCCAGCGGAAATTACTCGCTGATGGAAAGGTTGGACAGATCGAGTTCTCCTTCGTTCCAGGTATATCCCAGTGTTTCCGAAGTCAAGGATTCGTACTCAACTCAATTACTCTGAAACCCAAGGTGGCCCCACGATTGCCTCTCCGTTGCCCGGGAGGAGCTACGTTAGCTTGACGGCTTTGTCGTCGGTGAACCCGTCTTCCTTGTTCTGCTCTCCCTACATGAAACTGATGTCATTACGATTCCTAGCGTCCGTTCAGCCGTGGTTCGGTCGTAAGTGGAATGATGTCCCTCCGTCACTTATCGTTGTTGATTTCCGTCTAGCACATCAACACCACTGCCCCAACAGCACCCCCAATCATTGACCCCAACTATTTCGACTTTACGTTCGGTAAGCAATCGTCGCTAAATATCTTATGAGCCTTACTCACCCTAATTACAGATCAGCAACTTATGACTGCCGGCTTGCAAACCGTCCACAAGATTGCAGCGGCCGAGCCCTTAGCGTCGTTCATCGAGGCGCCTTCTACTCCACCAGCGAGCGCGGCCAACGACGGATTTGTGAGGTATAGTGGCGATTATCCGTCGTCACATATGAGTCGTTTGCTGATCGTTTGTTTGTGTAGCTTCGCCAAGCAGGGCTCTGGAGTGAGTTCCAATGATTGTGTTCGAATTTTTTTGTGCTGATGATGGTTGCCTAGACTGTTTTCCATCCTTGTGGTGAGTTTGTTGCCTCATTATGAAGCCTACAAGATGCTGACGCCTGACCGAAAGGTACCGCGGCTCTTGCCCCTAAGATCCTAGGAGGTTAGTATAGAACCCTTATCTTTCGTGCAAAGTTGCTGACAATTCTATGCTAGGCGTTGTCGACCCCAGCCTCAAGGTCTATGGCACATCCAACCTCCGGGTTATAGATGCAAGGTGGGACCTGCATTTAACCCTCGGTGAATGAACTAAATCCCATTCATTGCAATTCGTCAGTGTTATCCCGCTAGCTTTTGCTGCACATATGCAAGCAACTGTTTATGCCATTGCAGAGAAGGTCTGTCCGATGCTTACTACTCTGCTGTGGCTTGGGTATTCACAAGCTCCATAGGCTGCTGATATCATCAAGCACGATAATCGCCTCTAAGTGTTCGCTAGGTATCGAATTTCATGACTTCCTATGGGTAACGATATAATCTAGTATAGCCCCACGCTCATAATCATTGACTTTCCTTTGAACATATGTACTTTCGTTGGGTTAACATAAATAATTGTTGTGTTACTATAATCATTGGATCCGCTCAACAAAGATCACCATCGCATAGTACACTGGACTAAACCCTCAACGCCAGACTAATCCTGTTTCTTATCTGAGTTCTGGCCCTTGAGAGTGTTGTACTCGGTGGCAAGTCGATCGAATTCAGCCGCTTGTTGCGATGCTTGCTTCTTCAGAGTTTCTGTCGACCAAGTTAACAGATTTCCAGAGATATCGAAAAAGTATCTCACCAAAATCGCGGTCTTTGGCTTCAAGAGCGGCAATCTTCTTCTTCAACTCGGCGGTGGATTCTGCGCCGTTCGAAGTGGATTCAGACTGTACAAGCTATTGTGATCATGTGATCGTGCTTGATGGCCTAGACTAGACACGTACTTGTTTCTTGATCTTGGCGTACTCTTCTTGGGTATGGATCAGGTCGAGAATGATGTAGAATGTGCGCGTAAGGACGAGGGAAAGGAAGAGACAGAATCCAGTCAAATAGACGTTTCGTTGAGCGCTAGATAAACGATAAGGCAAGTCGGAATCTACGAAGTCTGGAATACGCACTAGAATTTCCGGGCTGCGAGACCAGTTTCGGTTCGAACGTCATGAACACCGCCATTTTGAGCGTTTTTAGAAGCCTCTGTATCCGCCGTGATGCGAAACATTCGTTGAAGCGCGTCGATGAACAGAATCGCGACGAATCTATTCCAGAGTCAGCATGTGGAGATGATGGGATTTAGCTGGTCATACATGAAAGAAATCTTCAACGCATATGCGACTTTCGCGACAATCACGCTTTCCGACAAGAATGTGAACAAGGTCTTCTTGATTCTGTACGGCAGCGGGGCAACGAGGATACAAAATGTGCCCATCTCCGCTGCGAGCAGCATGAAGGTCAGGGAATAGCTATACACGATTGAGCTTCTGCACAACGTCTGCTACGGTGAGGAGACTCACTAAATTGTCATATTGGAATCTGGGTGGTGGACGAGGTGGTGGTTCAGAAGAAAGAGGCGAGTGTCAGGATCAGCCACTGCGCAAGCGTGTTCACTGACGTGTTGACGTCACCTTAAGGGAGTATATTACGTAATATCTCGTGCGAACACTGTTATGTCAGGACGCGAGCGCGACGCGTAATTTCGCCCTTGTCCTTTCCTTGTCTATAACTTCCATGGCGCCGATCCCAGTCCACATCAAGCATGCGGGCAAGACGCACGATGTCAGCCTCGACGTCGAGCAGCTCCCGGTCGTATTCAAGCAGTCTATCTACGAAGTAACCGGTGTACCAGTCGATCGTATGAAGGTCATGATCAAAGGTGGCGTTCTGAAAGATGATACTCCTTGGAAAAAGGTCGCGCCCAAAGAGGTGAGCATTTGAGCATTGAGTGGTATGGCGGTGGCAGCGGGGGAGATAGATCATGGGTGCTCTGCGGAGCTAAGACATTCGTCGCTGAAAGTGTCTCTTTGCAGGGACAAACGTTTATGGTGATCGGTGCGGCTGGTGAGCTACCCAAGCCGCCAGAAAAAGCGACGGTCTTCCTTGAAGGTTAGTAGCGCTGCCTTAGAATATCCCTTCAAGTCAATAAATTCCGTGCCAGATATGGACGAGAGTGAATTGGCATCATCTGTGCGTATAGATGAGTCTCGATCAGTCGATCATCAATGTACTAATTACTGTTTCTGGCTGTAGGTTGCCATGCCTGTCGGTCTAGTGAAGTGCGTACTGTATATACAGATCACGGTAACCATACCCATAGATAGAAACCAGTCTAGGGAATACTTGCTACATGAGTGCGTCAGTTCAGGCTCTCCGTGCAATCCCAGAGCTACAAGTTGCATTACGTGGTGGTCCATCTGCGTGAGTGTGATTCGTACTGAAATCCCACTTGTTCTTAATCTGGTGTTTCCTGTAGCGGGAGTGCTGGGCCAAGCTCAACCAATGCCCGGCTCAATCCCTTAGCTCGTGCTCTACAAGCGTTATACAATCAGATGGGTCAAACCACATCCTCGGTTACGCCACAAACATTTCTGAGTATGTTGCGACAGGTAAAGAGATATCTTCTCCATCTATCTTGAGCCAATAATTACATTTGGGATGGTAGGTGAACCCACAGTTCGCTGAAATGGCTCGAGGCGGCGACAAGTCTATGATGCGTGGTTATGCTCAACAAGGTATTTCAACGCAATTCATACTGAAACTCTTCTAATTCGTGCCGTAGACGCTGAGGAATGCTACGCCCAAGTTCTGACTTCGCTTCGCGAGGTTCCTGGTTTACCAGCTAGTCAAGAAGGCGAAGCCATGCAAGTCGACGAGGGTGCCGCGACGCCCTCAAAGTCGTTTATTGAACAATACATGATGGGAGAAATGCTACGAACGTGAGCACCGTCTTGCAAACCAATAACCTCGGTGCTGACCATCCGTAGCATGACCTGTGATGAAGCAGAGGAGCCACCTACAACGCGTTCTGAAAACGTGATGAAAATCGAGTGCAACATCACAAGTACTACTAATTACCTGATGCAAGGCCTGATGAATGTAAGCGAATTATCATCGCGGGGTCTACGGTCGCTCATTGGAAGAAACATCTCGTAGTCGCTGGATCAAAACATCGAGAAGAATTCACCGAGTTTAGGAAGACAAGCCCTTTATACTCAACGGTCGAGATTATCGCGTCTGCCCTCATATCTGACCGTGCACTTGGTCCGTTTCGCGTGGCGCGCCGACATCAACAAGAAGGCCAAGATAATGGTAAGTGCCTCCCCAGCATGCGCCCCCAAATACCTCACCAACATCTGTCGCAGCGCCGGGTGAAGTTCCCCACGGAGTTGGATGCCCTGGAGTTGGTGACAGACGACCTCAAAGCCAGAATGACGCCCGTGAACAGAAGACTGCAAGAGCTGATCAAAGACCGCGCGGACAGGCTGAAGCAGAGAAAACGAACCAAGGCGAGGAAAGAGCGGGAGGCCCAGGCGCTGCGAGAGCCCAACCCTCCTCCTCCTGAGCAGGAGGATGCGTCGGCGGCCGCTGGGCAGCCGACGGTGGACGAGGGGGGCGAGCTGGAGCCGGAGTCGGTGTACCGTCAGCGTGAAGGGGCGGAGTTGAATGCGCTCGTAGACGAGAGCGCAAAGAAGGACACCGGCAGCAATGTTACCGGGCTATATGATCTCGTCGGTGAGTCGAATATGAACTTGAACCCGAGTGTGATTGAAGGATGGATCTTATCGACATATGTTAGGCATCATCACACACAAGGGCGCGGCGGCGGATGCTGGTCACTACATCGCCTTCGTGAAGAAAAGCGCAATCCACCCGGCCTCGGTGGATAACCTCGATGACGACGACGAGGATTGGTACAAGTTCGACGACGAGAAGGTGTCCATCTTCCCCAAGGAAAAGCTAGTCACGCTAGAAGGAGGAGGTGGGTATCTGCATTCACTGACTTCTCAACACTGACTGATGAAACATAATCACAATTGCCTCAATAGGCGAAGACGCATCGGCGTATGTGCTACTATACAAAGCAAAATCACTAGTGTAAACTGTAAACCAACGGTTCCAATTCCAACGGGGCGTCGATTGGAGTGTATGATTTACGCCGTTGTATATCCGGTGTGTATCGCTTTTGTGTATGTAGCATAGCTTCTGGTCCGCGATGAGCGTGTAATTGTTAGAGCACGCGAGACCACCGCCACTGTATAATTCCTCGACATTCACGTACCCGTCGTTTTTCCCTCGCGCGCCTCAGGACTCGAGCAAATCAAATGGCCGACTTCAAGGGAACGCACTGCGAAACGGGAGAAGGTAGAAAACATACGCAGCTGCGATGCTTACGGTCAACAGAGCTCGAAACTCGTGAACTGCCTCAGGCTACGGTTTGCAGACATTGCAGAGATATTGGTTGAACTGGAGGCAATAGTATTATATCTGGGCCAGCTACTCGCAACGGTTCAAGTTCAGATAGGGGTCTCACGGGAATGTTGTGGATTGCAGAGTTGCAAAATTGAGATGAAATGTGATGCAAAAAGAGATAAATAATGTAATGATGAGTGTAAGTAGTCCATTTGTGTTTATAAGTAGCAAAAGTCCATCAATAACGACGAAGGTCCGTCAATAGTCCGATCATGATATGAAAAGTCCCCTGCGTGTTACGACTTGCTCAAAAGCCGAAAGCCCTAGCAATTCGTGGGCTGGCTCGTCGCACTCGTCTCCAAACACGGCGGGTGATGGGGAGCTTCTTGGCTGGCCACGGCTCGTAAACCTCGCCGACAGGAGTAGTAGGGAGAGTAGATTCAGAACCGGATTCTGAGTCTTGGTCATAGACTCTTCCGGGACTGACGATATCTTCCTCCATATAATCCTCTTCCTCCTCCGAATCCCACTGCTCGTTATCAGCTTGTAGGAGTTCGAGCTGATAGGAGGTAAGTAAGTTTCTGAACGGGGAAATAGGGGTAAGTGACCTACATCATAGAGATAGTCAATGGTCTTGATAGTATCCTGGCTGGCTAGATTGTTGAGGAGCGCAAATTCTCCTTCGTCAAGCGTGGATAGGAATTCCCGTACTTCCAGCCTGCATATGATGACCTCGGAAATCGATATATGGTCCCACACGTCCCGCCAGGGCGGGAGAGAGCGCGGCATGCCCGTAACGAGTGGCAGAAGCGCTTGATATGTGGCCATGAAGAGATGGTGGGGACTCGAGGAAGCGGCAGGACTCCTAAGCCCATCCTCAGTCATCCAATTGATTACTGTGAGGGCCGTCATTGCTGCTGGGACCGACAGATCGGAGTCTCGCAAAACCAGTTCAATGAAGTGCGGCAAGTGTATTTGCGGAGTCGCAAACATGGGGTCTAGGAGAAACTGAGGGGCTTCTTCGAGTGATTGGATGGTGGCGGATGCACAATGTGCTGCGAATTTAGGGATATAGTCCTTTAGGGTGAAGTTAGTGAAATAATGGATACAAATGAAGAATAGACGAACATGTTGAGCACTGGCGGAGTCCTGGGCAAAGGCGCAAGGTCGAACTTGAACTTGGTTGGTGGTGGACATGTTGGCAATGTTGTGGTGATGGTTGAAGTGATAAGTTGGGATTCCTGCGAGAACAGGGGATTATAAGTACTAGAGGTCATGTGACGTTCTTGCCCGAGATCTCCGTGCCGCTTTCAATGACATCACACCCTGTGATATGTAGTAGGGGTCAGGAGTCCCTCCTCCTGACATCTCTACGAAGATCGGAAGTGAGTACAAGTCAGTGATACAGAGTTTTCCACACCTTGCAGAGTGCTTGGCTTTGAAGGATTGGTAGTTGTCAAACTCCTGGCCGCGTTCAAACCTTTGATAGAAGTGAACTTGCTCCCTTATTATTACGAGACTGTCCGTTACGGAAGACTAATGGAATTGCGAAAAGTACACTATCCCAAGCACCTGTATTTAGTACCCGAGTGAATTCCAGTACGCCACCCATCTTTCCATTTCCTTGGTGGTCAGTGAACGCTGCCTACTCAACGTAGGTGCAGATAGCATGGCTCGTTGGATTGCCATGTCCGGAGTTTGGAGTGCCAACGAGGAGTCTTCATTACCTCGCAAAGAGGCCCTGAAGAATTCCAGCAACTGCAAAGCAGGACTATTCTGCCCGTTGTTTGCTACGATACCCTTCCGCACTCCTTCCTTTGCTTCTAGGGCGGCGACCCAGGTCTCGAACGGGACGAGGGGAACGTTGATCAAGGAGGACATGAGGCCCATGATTGAGGCCATCGGCACCGGCTGTGGGTGCTGCAAATTAAGGAACGTTTCGCTGCTGGTCCGCATTTCAACCAGAGCAGCAGCAGCGACGTGGGTGGGCAGCCAGGAGGCGTCCTAACAGCAATCAACAACAACATGGTCCTCATCCAGAGTGGCTCTGACTCAATCGACTTACCCCGTGAAGAATCGGCAAGGACCCCACCATGGCGCCGCTACACACGATAGCAGGGAACCATTCTGATGCCCTCCAATGTCCATTTCGCCCCCCACAGAGTTGTCCAAGACGGACAACAGTCGGTCGCAGGGCGGTGCGCTGTGCTAGGGTATGAAGCATCGTCTCCGTCACCCACTTCGACTCGCTGTACCCTGTACCGACTGACACAGAAGGATCGAGCACCGGTTCCTCGGGAATAGGTCCCAACTTCGTTGCATCTGCATCTGTAGTCAAGCGATTAAAGCTGATCTTCAAGGGAGAAAAGGTAGTGTGTTACTGGAGAACACTCCGACTGAGCTGACGAAGATGAACTTCGGAGTCGCAGCGTGCGGGGAGGCGAGGGCGAGATCGACCAGGTGACGGGTACCGGCGATGAGGGGCTCCATGGACAACAGCGACAGGTTGAAGTCCACCTTCCAGGCTGTCGCTCGGGTAAGCACTCATCCACCAATGATATATCCCTGCTCGGAGAAAATACCATTGTGTATTATGCACGTAACTCTTGTGCGCAACTCTTCATATAGAGCAGCAGAGATTCCAAGGTCGGCCTGTGTCACGTCGGCCTCCACGAGGGTGAGCTGCGGGGAGCCCAGGAGCCGTACGTCGATCCCATTCCACTCGAAGCTGCGTGTCTGCCGGGACTGCAGCGTTTCCTTCGGGTCAGCGCCCTTGCGGTTGAGGGCATAGACTCCCTTGATATCTGGGTTCGTCAGCAGGGCTTCCAGCACAAACGCACCGAGGCCACCAGTACTGCCTGTCAGCAAGACAACCTCCTCGATCACTTCATCCGCTGCATGTACGCCGCTCCCGCCAGTCGCCGTCGAAGCATGGCTGGTGTATTTACTGACAAGGTCCGTCATCTGGCTGATCTTGCTTGTCAATCCGTCGTCGGGTGACGCATGTCTCGCGGTGCCCGTATCTACACCTGCGTTTGCGATGTGTGATAAAAACTGAGCAAGTCTCTCGATAGTGGGATTCATATATACGAAGTGTCGGGGAACGCTGGCGACGTCGACCGCGAAGCGCCGCAGGTATTGGACCAATGTGTTATGAATGCGGGTGGCGTGCAGACTATCGTCGCCAAGATACAGATAAAGTACCCGACATTGAGCGTTGTAATGGGACGCACCTATCACACCCAAGCTGGAAGATATCGGCGTCGTTCTGTATATCATGGGCATCAGGCAAAGCCTTCTTGACCACAGCTCTCGCTAATTCGAGACTGTATGCGGGTGTCCACGACTCGGGGAGCGCCACATCGAGTGCAGAAGACTCCTCGAACGCCATGTAGGCGTCATCGATTTCCTTGGCATACGCCTGAAGAATAGAGCCGCGCTTCGGTGTCCCCTTGGGCGTGTATTCCAACGGACGCTTAGGGTCCGCGATGAGCACCATCTATACCCACCGGTCAGCTTCGTCAACTAACTAAGCGGAGAGTTGCATCGTACTTCTTTGAATATCTTCGAATGGGCCGGTGCGAACTTGTTCGCCTTCACGAGGATATATCTGTGATCGTTAGACAGTTCAGTGTATTTTGAGGTTAAGAGGGAACGCGACGAGTTTACTCGATTTCATCCATGAATCGAGCGACTTCTGTAAGCTCGAGGGGATTGATAGAACATTCCGGGGTGGGCTCAATGATGACGCCGGCGTGGAACCGCCCTCTCCCGAACATCACCGCATGCCGCACCTTCGGGTGTTGTGTCAAGATATTCTCTGGATAGCGCTCAATGTTTTAATGACGGCAGCCTGGATAAGGCCCAACATACCTATAGGTACTGGACTAGTCTTTTCAAACATCAGCTTGGGTAAAGGGTCAATACTAACAACGCGCACCTTCTCCCCAGTGGAGTGCATAAGTTGGTCATCCGACCTTCCGTAAAGTCGGTAGAGGTGCGGGTTTACAGGATGCTGCTCTAGGAGATCATTCGTATCGTACACGTCTCTGCCATTGACGCGAGAATTGGTGAACGGGAAAGCGTGGATATCTGACGGCTGTCACGGGCATGTTCCGATGTATATGTAACATATTCTTTGAACTGACGGAAGGATTACCAACTTACAGCCAGGACAAGTCTGAACACGCGATCTTCGCCCTCGGGGACGAGGATGGTGTCCAAATCAGGGGAGAGCTAGGAGTAAAGCGAGAAAGGGGTCAGATAGGGGCAAAGGGAATGTATCGATTATCGCCCACTTCAAAATATTCCCAACCCTCTGGGTGTGGTTTGGCTGAAGTAACGATAGAACATGACGTCAGGTCCGGTAGTAGAACATATGAGAAGGGGTCTTACAAGGAAGCATTTTTGCTATTGGGCCGGTCTCAGTACTGCAACGAGACGGATCAAAATTCAGTCTTAAGATGGGTGCTCCAGTTGAGATTACACGACCGCCTACCTCCCGTATGCCAGTATAATAGTCACTCCGGTGCTGACAAGGTAGTCCCCTACCTGTTTGCTAAGCGGGGCGCCAGCAAACATCTCAAAATCAAAATCGGCTACGTCAGTTTACTCGGAGGGGTCATAGATCCATAATAATAACAGACGTCTAAAATCTAGAACTTACAATGGCAGAGAATACTTTGAGGGCTTTGACATCCGTGTCTGTAAGTGCCCATGACTAGTGTTGTAACAGGTGAGTGGTAAGATGTGATAAATCTTGATGGGGTAATAGTGGTTACCTCGAGATAAGATGGAACACAGATCATTACGGATGACTCCGTGGCCCGGGCTTCAAAGAGCACTTGCTCTGGACTCGGAGTGGCAATTGGGGAGTCGGGACCGAACCCAGAGATCGCAAGGCCCGTTGCAGCCTACCCAGACGTAGTTATGGACTTGCGTAGTTCGTCTCTAGTTGTGTCACGTACCGTCCATATTGTCGCCGTTGATCCCATTGCATCTGTACTGCGAGTTTACTGCAAGGCATAGTGAAATGAAGAGATGTGACCTACGATACATTGGAACTGAGTGAGTGGACATCACATGTCCACAAAAGTCCATATCACCGAACACTGAAGACGAAGGTCACTTGAAGAGGGCGTTTTGAGAAGTACTCTACAAGCTCACTGAATGCGCGGCCTCGCTCTATGAGCATACGGTGCGTAGAGATGACCGGCTTCGGGAATGTCGTTGATCCTATGTAGAGACGCGTTTCAAATACGGATAACCGATGGCGCTGACAGCATACCCGAAGAGTGCAATATCAGCGCAGCGTCATCAGGTTTCGCTCGGACCGAGACTGGGCAGCGCTTGAAGCTCTGACTCGGCTTGATGAGTTCATCCCCGAAGCGAGGCAGCGAGATACAACAAAGCCTAACACCCTCGGACTCCAATACATCAACAGATGCGGCAAGGAGTTGCTGTGTCGAGTGATCTCCTGTCGTGATGATGTGCGTCACTTTCATCTCCTTGATAAGATGGGCAATCCCAGCAGGAGAATTTCGATTGGACAGTGGGAACGGCTGGTAGCCAGCGCGCATGAGCCCCATGGTCGCGATGAAATAACTGAATGCATCTTCCCTCGAACAGTCAGTGATATTGCACCACAGTGATGTTAAAGCCATCTACCTGTGATGGCTAATATTGCAATGACGGTGTTGCCGTTGTTGGTACCGATCTGATCTAGAAAGAAATTCGCGGCGAGGTGCACCGTCTGTACGCCTTGACTCCACGGAATCCTGTGCAACTTATCGTCCGCAGAGCGAAACACAAAGAGTGGATGGTTCGGAGAGTGGTCCAGGTGCCAGTCGTATATTTCGGGTAGAGTCAGCGAGCCGTTCAAAGGGGGTGGTTTGAAGGTCATAGAAGCGTGGCCAACTACGAGCCCGGGCAGAAGTTTATCAGTTGATGGTGTACGGGCATGGTATTGTCTTCGCCGCTGGCCCTATTTATGACCTTTGCGTGGCCTTGATCGTGTGAGAATTCATCACCAGCATTGCGTGTATTACACGGTACGGCGTACAGGCCCGTAGTCTGCAGTTGCATCCGATTGGAATTTGTCGGAACAGAGCGAAGCGTAGGCAACTACATCAAATCATGATGAATTCGATGATTCTCCAATCCCCCATCAAACCCCATCTTGGTATCCTGGGTCATCGCGCCTGAAATCGGTGGGGTCTGAGAGAGCGGGCCGTCCGAAAATGTTTAGAACTCTATGTTCTCCTTGATATCGATGTCTTCATGGAGCTAGAAATCAATCTTCGCCGCACTTACTCGTAGGTCCTGGTGGCATGACCGTCGCTGCTCCATTCACATTCTGCCTTGGTCCACTCCAAGCTTTGTAGTCGTAGACGTGACGGTGGCTGCAAAGGACCCACTGGGTGGAGGGAATGAATAAAGAAGGAGCATGGAATGGGGAATATCAAAGAAAGTTCATGATCATGATCGGCGAAGCGCCGAACTCCCTTCATCCACCGTCATTCTTCATTCCAAGAATTCGACAATGTCCTTGTCCTTGAATTCCTATACCCCTGTATCCCCCATTGTCGCGACCATGAGCATTGATTCGAGTTGACTTACGTCCATTGTTCAGCTGCCATACATATGCCAGTAGTCCTGTGGAGAGCAGAGGAGCTCGGTCCGTTCGCTGGCGAATTGAATGAGTACTCGTACGATCCGTAGAAAAAGGGACGCCCTCTTCTGTACGTGGCGAGCACGAGTGCGTGCTGTGATTTAGTGACAAACGAAAACAAACCCCCAACGAAAATGACACCAATGTGACGAGCTTCAACTACACACCTGACACCGTATACCGCTTCTCAGCCGAAGTCTCCTCGCTGCTCCAACACCTCAAGCAGTCAGGCCTCTAGGAGCCCAACGGTTCGCCGGGGTAGATATCACGAAGCTCAGTCTATGAAACTTCATCAATGATGAATCCAATGATCTGGAAGTTGTATGGGATGACTTGGATGGAGAACCTTGAATCAAGGTCGCATTGCGATGCCGAGGATGCCGCCTAGATCGGAATCCCAAATCCTGCTCGGGGTGCGAAAAGTTGCGAAGCAAGCGGTTCTGAACTTCTATCAGGCTCCACTAGCACCGGGCTGCTAGAAATAAGTCTTCGCCTCACTTACCAAATTGCTGGACTTGAATGTATATAGCTACCTTTTGAATGTTGTCTCTTCTCCATTCACATCATGCCCGCGTCCGCTCCAAGCTTTGACCTTTACCCGCCATTCTTTGCAGGTAAGTAGCTCTCGATCGAGCTCAACTGTCAACAGATATTGACCAGAGTAGGGGTTTCCCTATCGTTAGCGTGGGTTCCACCTTTATTACTTGCAGCGATCTTATCTGAACGCTCGTTTGGACCGATAGCCTCTACGGTACTGCTATTGCACAGTCCATACATTACTTCCGCAGATATCCAAACGACAAAGTGTATCTCAAGTTTGTGGTGAGCTCTGTAAACTCTAGGCGACTCGCAGATCTGATTCCCGCAGGTTGGATCGCTCGTGTCCGTTATTTTACCCTACAGGTCACGGTGGTACTGTTTCTCACCATAAGATGTATAGTGCCCTACAAACTATGCACAGTGTATGTGCCAGCATGTCCATCATGGAATTCAAACCGCTCCTCGGCCTCAATTCCGTGGTCGCCATACCGAGGACACTGATGGTTCGTAAATTATTCGTGTCAAGCTGGGGCAAACTCTTGATGTCGGCCATCAGATAAGCGAATTTCCAGCGGTGCGTAAATTCATGCGTCGAGCGACAATAGTTCGTGTAGCTAAAGCTATTTGATAGTACATCTCCATGAGCGTGGTGCAGTTGTGAGTAGAACGAGTTTTCGAAAACTCTTCCGGGTACTTCATATAATTCTGTAGCGCCTACAGCTGCAGAGTATGGCACTGTGAGTGATGAAAGTTGGCTGGGGGTTGATTCGTGTCACTCAGGCGTGGCCAGTGAGTAGGCGGAACAAGCTGCTGGTATCAACAGTCGTAAGCAAGCTCTGCGTGATGGAGCTGAGCCTAGCTAAGCAAATCTACAGGCCTTGTTTTCAGTATCCCAGCTCGGTATGTCTTCCGTCGGTCACGAGAGTTTCCCTCTCTGAATTCCTCTTCACAAAATCTCAATCCAGCCTGCGGAATAAGTTGAGTAGTTACAATCGGCATTAACAAAGCAGCTGACAGCCTGGAATGCTGTAGCTCTGGCTTGTGATATGTATGTACAATCAGTACTCCTCCTTGACATACCTCGTGACGTCTGTATTGCCAGTTTACTGGCGAGCCAACTCAACTCAGGACTGGTATTCTTTGCGAAGCCGAACGTCGTGAGTGTTGCGCACTAAATTCTGATGCCGTTAGTACAATAATGTCGTTTTGATCTATTTTTGACTCATCCAGATCCTCCGTACCATCCAACTGTGCTCAAGCATGACGTGCGATATGTTGATTGCTTGCAGCCTGGTATATTTCCTTCAAATCAGTCATCACACGAGTCTCTCAGGGTGAGCGTGTTTAGAGTAAGAAAGTATGAATACTCAATCATCTCTCACCAGGACTCGATACATGATCCGTTATTTAATAGTCGTCTCTTTCAGTGTTGGATTGGTCACTTGGTAAGGGGGTTCGCTTCATTTGCGTACTACGCTCATCCCATCCGAATCAGCTTGTTCTGCCTTCTGACGCTCATAACGGCGAGCTCATCGACCTTTTCCTCGTCAATGGGCGGCACTGATGCGCTTTACAGTGGTTTGCCTCGAAGACGACTATCTGGAGTACATTCCACCTGTTAACAGGGAGTTGTACGTATAAATTTCTCCCTCTTCAAGGATAACAATTCAATCTCGAACTTCAATGTCATAGGCTATATCAACTCTTTTCTTGCGAGGTCGGTGATTCGTTAGCTTCATTAATCACGACTTGCTCACACCTCATGACCAACAAAAGCTTGAACAGCAGAAATATGTTACGGGAGCGTCGTTTAAGATGGAACGACTCTGCGGACGGAGGTAAGATGTTGCCTTTGATCGTTCCTGCCTGTGCTCAGGAATTGTCAGTCAACACCTTCGGTGATTACGCATTAACGGACCTCAGGCGGCGGATAGAATGATGCACGGGTATCGCCTTTACGCTCGTTGATGGGAGCAGTCAGTTGGTATTATATATATCAACTGTCGATGAAAGGATCTATGACTCGATGCAAGAGAAATTGCGTCTTTACATTCTTTAATGATACTAGTCAGCTGTTACCGCTGGCAATGCGGAGATTTATAACAGATACATCCACGACGCAGCAACACAAGATTATCGCCAACTTCGATACGACACTACGTGGCGGGCAGTGGTTTGTATCCAGTAAACCAACCTTTTCGAGGGCACTGCATAAGGATACTGTTTCTTTCGCCTGGCGTATCACAAGAACCCCCGGTTGCTCCAATATCCAATCCACCGTTCTACTTCTGCCTCATCTATCGGTCTAACGTTCTGACGCAGCACCGATGATGCTTCAAATGCTCTTGTGAAGTCCAAGCTTGGTAAACCCCAAGCTTCTCTACCACTCCCGTTTTGCTCCCAGCCCGCCTTCATCGTCCGGAAGAAATGTGGCATCTTTAGTGCAGGGATCTCCCGTAAGTCATCTGAGTCCGTGCCTATCGTCGAGGCTACTTGGGCTCTGGTTTCTAGGAGATCGAGCCATTCGATATAAGGGATGAGTGGTATCCTGAGGGTCGAAGAGAAGGCCCGAGAAACGAGGTTGGCGCGAACCGGTTTGGGATGGACCAAGTGGAAGATATTGCTACCCTCAGAAGGCTTACTTGCCAATTCAAGGAGTACCTGGGAAGCGGCCTCCAGCGGGATCCAACTGACGACCTATCGACATGAGGGGTTAACTGAGTCCGTGCCCGACCGGAAAGGGTGGAAAGAAGCAACTAACTTTGCTGTCATCGAAATCGGGGAAGAGCCCTAGAGATCGCGAGGATTTGACAATAGTAGGCAGCCAGTCAGACGCCTTCCAGTGGCCATTCCTTGCGCCGCTAAGTTGCCCGACACGCACTATGGAGACCTTCAAGGGTGTAGAAGAAGCGACGTTTTGAAGGATGGACTCCGCTACCCATTTCGATTGACTGTACCCTGTGCCTGCCGCTTCATCTGCGGTAGCGGGAACTTCACTTGCGATTGTTTTTTCTTTTCGCCCTGATTGATGGTCAGATATCAGGTGCAATGACATGCGTATTTGCCATAGAAATATGCGTACGTGATAGAACACCTATGCTGCTCACAAACGTTACAGCAGGTGGGTGGGTTCGATACGAGGACAAAGCCAGGTCGATTAAATTCCTAACAGCCTTAACACTTGGTTCGAAGGATGGCAGCGAAAGGTTGAAGTCGACCGGCCATGCTATAACATATAAGTCCAATCATTCCCCTACTTCAGAGCCAGGGGAACCCTACCGTTGATAATGATGTGCGTAACAGAGACGCGGAACTGTGAAGACATCGTGAATAGGGGTATAATAGGGATTAAGGGGTATCACACTTGTTCGACTAAAGTTGATGTCAATCCAGAGTTGTCGTCTGCGAGGTCCGTCTCGACGAGGGTCAAGCGATGTGACTGGTCGAGTAGATGCAAAGGTAGACCTAAGTTTTTGAAGGCCTCTTCCTGCCTCGCTTGCAGCGAGGTTGTCCGACTATACCTATTCAAAGCATAGATTCGCCGGATCTTCGGGTTGCGTAGTAAGTCTGCAAGCAAGGCAGTACCTAAAGTGCCAGTGGTCCCCGTAATTAGATATACGTCACCGTCGCCATCTGATACCTGACAATTGCCATTGGGTATTCCCCTTGAAAAGTTCCGACTAAATCTGTCAACCATTTCTTGCATGTTTTCTGCCGCAAGTTTACCGTCTTCACTTGTGGATGCCACCACTATTCCACGTGAAGCTAAACGGACAGCGAAAGAGGAGAGTTTGTTGACGGTGGGATGTTGGTAGACAATGTTCTCGGCAACGCCATTCGTACTAAGAGTGGTGCTATCGCGAATAGCACGTAAGAGGGTATTGCGTATCCACGTCGCCTGTAAACTTTTGGAAGTGGTATTAGCGTACAATGAGACAGTGCGAGAAGTTTGCTACCTGTCGGAGCCATGCTGGAATACATCATCGTCGTCGCCCAAGCTTGAAGATGCCGACCCTAACACCTGATGGACAAGCTTTCTTACGAAGGGAAGCGTTTGCTCCATGTTCCACGCAGCCGGCAGCTCGACGTCTACTTGTGAAGTTTCTGCTACAGACTGATACAGAGCTTCAATCTCCGGCTCATAGTTGTTGATGATGGTCTGCCTCCGAGCTGTGCTTTTGGAGGTATAGTCAAAGGGCTTGCTGGGCGAGACGACCAAGATCATCTAGATTCGAACCGTGAGTGGCGGGACGGACTCAAGGGTATCGATTCCATACTTCTTTGAAAAGGCGCGAATGCTGAGGTGCATAATCGTTCATTCGCTCGACGGTCGGCCTTACCCATATCAAGAATTATTGAAGAAGAGGGTGTAAGTAAATCAACTCACCAGATGGCGTTTCGAAACTCAGCCAATTTAGCGGCGTCGGATGGATCAAATCGATACTCTGGGCGAGGGTCGACGATAACGCCAACGTTGAACCGCCCACGCCCAAACATGACGGTTGTTTGGACCCTAGGATCTTGATTGAGGATATTTTCTATAATGCCGGGTTAGATGTAGTTAGTTCACGTAAGGATATTTCAACCTAAAGGTCCTGGATTGGTCTGATTGCGCTCAAGAGTCAGTACAGTGACCATCAGAGAGCTGTAGCATGGCAAGCATTCTTGCCTTTTCACCAGTGCTATGCATCAATTGATCATCTGCGCGCCCGAATACCTTGTAATATCCCGGCTTGATGGGATGCGCAACGAACAGGTCACTCGTATAATAAGCATCTTGGCCGCCCAGTTGGCCGTTGATGACAGAGGGTATCTGGTATGGGTTAGGCTGGAGAGGTCGCTTGAATTGCTGGACTTTTGTATGGTAACGAAGTCGTACCAGGATAACTAGTTCATACTGCCCAAAGCCGTTTGGCACATAACTACCTGTGTATTGCTTCGTCAAGGTAAAGTATTCCCAATCGAGGCCGGGGTTGTCTGCTAAGAGTGTCAGAAATCACGCAACTGAGTCATAGGAATTGCCCAACGAGGTAATATTGGGGCGGGGATCCCAATCTCGGAGCTGTCGCCCTCCCATGTCAAAATAAAGCTGTGAGAAATGAACAAAAGACGAACGAGCCATATAAAATGTAGATTGAAACCCCATTACGAGCCACGAGATCGCCCGCCTTTTTGTTTAACGGGCCCCCGCCAAAAAACTGATGATCATCAACAACTGTAGTCGAAGTGTCAAAAATAGGTGCTTACTACTCCATCTATACTCTTTAGATACTCAATTGTTGCTCTGTTGCGGGACCAGGCCTGGGTAGGGTATAGGCATACGGGGAGTGGGTGTCATCGCAAGACCCACCTCGATAAACGACGGTACGCAAAATATGATGTCTGCTCCAGTAGCTTGGGCGCTCATCAGCACATTTTCAGGTGTCGCGGGGACGGGAGGCGCTTGAGGTCGGGCAGCAGTAACGGTGATACCCATCGTAGCCTGAACCAGATAAATCAATGCGTCCTCACCTGCTAATGTAGAAGACATACCGTCCAAAGTGTCTGTGATGCGCCCATACCGTGGTACATAGGCATTGCCTGCATTACATGAGCCATTCACATCATGTTGATTTCTACAAAGTGCTGGCATACTAACGTGGCAAGAAAGCCTTACGCCTGTTAAATCGCGCTCACCGAAGTCTACCAAGATCTCAGCTCAAAATTCCGAGAGAGAAAATAATGTATACACACAGGGGACAACGGCTAGTTGGAGGAGTTGACGATGGCTCCACCCAATTGGCTTAGGAAAGGCAGTACTACCTGGGGTCAGTCTGATTAGACATGTCATGACGTGATGTAATCATTTTAGGCGAGTACCAGAGGAGTGGAAAATCAGGGCAAGACTATTCACGTCAGGTCGGCAAGGAGGCAGCAATTCGAAGGCGGTATCGGCAACAAAGATCTCTTCAAATGTAGGCATTGTGGAACGGCCAGGCAAAACTACGGATGGGTTGCTTTCTTGCATCAAGTTCAACGCAGCATCAAGTGCTTCAAGCAGCGCGGCATCTGAGCCAACTATGACGTGTCTCGCGCTAGTAGTCGACAGTAAATGTGCGACCGCGGCGGGGGAATTGCGGGCAGATATTACGAAGGGGGCGAACCCGGCGCGGAATGTTGCAGCAATTAGCGTGAAGTAGGTTATGGTATCTAGAAACGAAGATTTGGCCCAGGTAACAGAGACCCGTAGTTTGAATAAGTTGCGCACCTGAGGCTGCGAAAATTCCTACAATCGTCTCAGCACCTTGTTCTGCGGAGATAGTTCGCTGGAGAATCCTGGCGCAGGTATGAATCGCTTGCGTAGTCTCTGCCCATTTCACGGTTCTCTGGCGACCATCCTCTTCAGGAAAAATCAAGACAGGGTGCTCAGGGGAATTGTGGTAATGCCAATCATAGAACTCAGGGATAGTCAGAGAGCCGTCAAGAGGCGGCGGCTTGAACGTCAAGCTTGATAATGCTTGCGTCTTCGGTACAGGAGGGTAGGGGAGAATGTCGAAATCCAATCGCGGATGGGATAGGAGGGACATAGTCGGGAGCGTTGGGAAATGATGTTCCATGTGCTGTATTTAACCCCAAACCTGCGTCGAGTTTTGGACTGTGTGAACGTCTGTTAGAGGCAAGGCGTCGAAGTAAATGTGAAGTGTCTCACCTTAGAAGCGCTGCCCTAGTTCACCAGATATAATAAGGTCTCATCAATCATATTAGATGCGATCACGACCGCAAAGATGTACTATCACTCATACGGATCACACTCGGTAACATTTGTTGTGCATGGTTGGCCCTCTCAGAAGCTGTAAAGATAACGCGGATTGGAGGCTGCTCTCGTCAAGGCTCAAATGTGGAAGATTACTTGCTTGCGTGGGTAACTCGGAACAACTGCGTGAGTAGATGGAATCTTCCAATGATTCCACGTACGATGCAAAGTGTGATATCCGAAAGAAGACACCCGAAGGGAGTAACGCTTTACTTTCTCTTTCCTGCTTTTGGCTTAGGGAACACCACTGGAGCGTTCAACACCGCTCTCTTCGTGTCTTTGGCACTGTCGGGTAAACCCAATCTCGCTCTCTCCCGGTCGGAGAGCGCCGACAGTTTGCACCCTATAAGGAACAATCAGCTCTGTGTAATAACAGTCCTCATTAAATTGCTTGCCTAATGACCTGAACAACTGGTTTGTCCTTAATACCTCGTAATCAGTCGATATGATCGATATAGACGGGAATCAGACATACTGTGCGACACCCAGGCTGAGGTCCTTTGCAATCACCGTCGAATCAGCAGCGTAGTTGTCCACGCGTAAACATAACGCGAACATGTATGTGTGAAGCTTAGTTAGCATCGCCGTAGTGAGAACGTGTCTAGGTAGGGGGATGAGTTGACTGTTAGGTATTGAGAAAGGAGCGCGCACTTCGTGGAAGCCCTCGTCGTCTCTGTGAACCGCGAAAGTAGGCCGTCAAGCACCACTCCCGGTAATCCTTCGAGCTTCTCAGCGATTGCCTCCTTTTCCAACCCTTGAATGCCGCCCCGCTGCATGATGTTGCGAAACAAGAAGAGTGCCGAGATGTAGTACAATATTCGCCTAGTGTGGCTAATTCAGTCGCCATTATGGATTGCTTCGCTCGAACGTACAAATTCTTCTTTCCATGTTTGCCTTCTATGCCACCTCTCCCTTCAGTCTGTACGATTCGCGCAATATGATCATTAACCCACGAGCTGTGCTTGAATGGGAATATCGCCTGCCGCTCCTTTGCTCGACTTCCAGTACCTAGAGCGATCACGGGTGATATGGATGGCCCAAGGGCCTTCCATTCAACTTCTGGTATGATGTTGTGCAAGGGGTAGACGTCCGCGGGGTCGGTAGCTGTATCAGAAAATGGAGGAACCAGACGCGTGGAATTAGCCACTTCTTGTGCTTCCTCTGAAAGCAGAGTCAGCCATTTGAGATCGAAAAGGGACGTAGAAGGGCATACCTTTCGTTGTTAAACCTTCCGCGCCCTTGTCAATGGCGTCTACAATATGGGATACGACTCCTTTGACTGCATCCACGTCGACCTTTTGGCGTTCGCGTTGTTTTATTTGGGCTTTGGCCTTTTTGGTACCGAATGTCTCTCCGAGGGTGTTCCTTGCCTCAAAGTACGGAAGGACAGAGGGCAGCGAAGATGGGAGGGACTTCAGTGATTTCACGGTGTGCTTTAGAAAGTGAACTGGAGTAGGAACTGCCGCACCATCGGAGGTAGGAGTGAAAAGCCGTAGAGTTTTCGTGCTTCGATCATGCAGCGCGACGACGTATCTGGATAGAGTACTTGAATAAGTCAGATTATCCGTAAATTTTATTGAGCACGCACCGGGAGCCTGGAGTGTTCGTTTCGGACTCGAACGAGGAAAAGAACTCGACCGTCGGGGTTTCTCCTGCCACCATGGTCTTTCCCGGTTCAACTCCACCATTTTTGCGTTTCTTGCCATATACTTTGAAGGATGTTGAGCTCGGAAGGTCCACACCAGGCGTACTGACTGCAATGTTTGATTGGATACCGTGACATGGATGGGGACTGGAGATAACAACGCACCAAGCACTGGTACAGCGGCGCCAGACTCAGGGATCTCGTGGCTCGACAGTTGCAGGGAAACTCCTGCATTCGAGACCGACTCTGCGCGCTTTCGCTTCTTGCTGAACGTCGACATCGTTCGCGTCAGCGGGCGTGGTTATCAGTCACAGTGAGTCAGGAGCTCGGCGAAATTTTGACAATGCACTATGGGCGCTAATTGAATCCTCCCGCTCGTTCCTGACTTCGATCACTCGGACTGACCAGTCCATGCTCCTTTCCTTCTCACAAGGTGGTTGAGATAACCAGAGGTACCCTGGACAACTTCCCTTGTATATAAACGCCAACGGGACTCTGTATTCCCTTTTTCTGTTTTGGGTACGTCCGCCATACTGAAATTATGGGACAACGGACCCATCGCTGACAAGTTCATTCAATAGTACTACGCAGTACAGCTCGTGTACAACAATGGCAAGGTCAACTAGACAATCCAAGGCGCGCAAACTGAGCAGGAGCCCTACTCCTGACCCTGGTCCGGAATCAGAGGGCGAGTCTGACGAAGAGGGTGTCACTATGAAGCCAATGCCAATTCCCCCCAGCCGCGCAGCAATGAAAGACGAAGCTGGTCACCTTGGTGTAGCCACGAAGGATGAAGACGTCGTAATGAACACCGAGTCAAGTGGGACGGATAATAAACATGCCGAATCAGTGAAGAGTGCTAGTGAAGGGTTGAAAACAGAGCTCAAGCAGGATGTTGAACAACCAGGGCTAGGGGCATTGAATTGGTCACGGTCAGATGTGCTTCGTCCGTCCTCACGGTCTACTCTAGATGTTGGTGGGCGAGAAGAGCTCAGGCCTTCGCCCTCAGACCTCTCTCAAACCACTCCACCCACACCACCAGCACCATCGATGTCTGCTTCGGTCTCTAACTCACCGTTTGAGTCTGAGACTCCCTCAGCATCAACCCCACTGACAGATACGCCTCAGACCAGTGAACCTATCAACAGACCGTCTACCTCAAAGTCAAAGAAATCCTCGAAGCGCTCAGAGGCGCAGCTCATTGGGGACCTCCCTGTGGCAAGGGGGGCTGCACTGGAGACCTTCGTCGAGATTTTAGACAATCATTATCAATATGGGACGTTGGGTAGGTCCAGAGAGGCGTTGGAGGGAATGACCTGCGATTGCTCGTATGCTCACGGTCAGTCTCGTTCAGTCTCTGGGATCATCAGGCGACACGGTACACGCTCGTAGACTCGTAGTTGATTCCTTGCCCCGTATTTTCAATGCTGGCCTTTTCACCGCTCGTATACCGTAGTCTGCCCGTAGACGTTCCCATCCCCTCTTTGATCTAACCGTTTCGCTTGCAGAAGTGGATGACCCATCAACTGCTTGTGGCCATGGGTCGGATTGTATCAACCGACTCACTCAAGTCGAATGCCTCGAAGATGACTGTCGGTGTGGCTCCTACTGCCAAAACCAACGGTGAGCCTTCTTCTCAACGATATCTCAGTCGCTCCGTGGACCCCCGTTTTAACTCGCCCTCCCGGTATCTCCCCATGCAGGTTTCAGAGGAAAGAATATGCCTCGATTGAGATCGTACAAACGGAGAAGAAAGGGTTCGGGTTACGGGCAGAGGAGGATATTCCCAAGTAAGTTGTCTGAGTTGTTCTGGTTTTATCGCTTTAAACGTCGTGTTGCGTCTCGCAGGGACGGATTCATATATGAGTACGTGGGCGATGTTGTGAACTCCCCATCATTCAAGAAGAGAATGCGTGACTACGCTTCCGAGGGCCTCAAACACTTCTACTTTATGATGCTTCAGAAGGATGAGGTTAGTTCGCCACCCTTTCACAGTTTCATTACTCACCACTTTCTGGTTTCTTAGTTTATAGACGCCACTAAACGCGGAGGCATCGGGCGCTTCGCCAACCACAGCTGCAGCCCGAATTGCTATGTTGCCAAATGGACCGTCGGGAGCTACGTACGCATGGGCATTTTTGCCAGCAGGGATATCAAGCAGCACGAAGAACTGACTTTCAACTACAACGTGGACCGCTACGGGTGCGGAATACATTATTGGTCTTGAATTATCCTTTCTCATATTTTATCATGCAGACATGAGGCGCAAACCTGCTATTGTGGCGAACCGAATTGTGTGGGGTACATCGGTGGTAAAACCCAGACGGACATTGCGACGATGGATGATCTCTACCTCGACGGTCCGTCCGTGTCCTTCCAGCGCGCATATATTCTGATCTTTTCTGACATAGCTCTTGGCATTACTGACGAGGCTGATCTCATGGAACTGAAGGGTACGAGGAAGAAAAAGGGCAAGAAAATCGATGACCCAGATTTCATGGTGAGTTCGCGTATGACGAATAACTGCGTTTGGGTGCTCATTGTCCCGCAGCCCACTCTTCACCCGTTGGTCAAGAAAGATGTACCGAAGGTTATCCAAGCAATACGGCAGACACAAAGTCGAAAGGTGTTGCTAAAACTTTTGACCAGGCTAAAGGTACAGGCTTCTATTTTTATCTTATCAGATCTCGCGTGTTTATGGCTTCCTCGCAGATCACGGACGATCCACGACCTTTGAACCAAATCATGCGTTTACGAGGTTTCACCGTCATGAAGAACATCATGGACGATTATGCAAAAGACCCCGAGATGATCACCCTGGTATGTGCTTTGCCAAAGATCGGGCTGGATACTGTTGACCCGCCATGATAGTCCCTGGAATGCATGTATTTATGGCCTCTCCTGGCACAAAACAAAGCGAGAGACTCCAAAGTCCTCGACCTCCTAAAGAACATGGTCAATAAAGAAGAGGAAGAATCTATCAAAGAACTCGCTGAGAAAGTCAGTTTACAACTTACTCATTTTCGTCATCGTCGGGCTTACATTTTCATAGCTGGTCAAGAAGTGGGAAGAATTACCCGTAGGGTACCGAATACCTAAAAGAGGCCGGGAGGCAAGTCCCTTAGATGTTACGCTCTCATGTCTTATTTATTGTTGCTTAGGATAACGAAGAAGAGCCGGCTCCTGTGGTATCACTGGCTGTAGACGAAGTCTATCAGAAGAAAACTTTCACGTCGGTTTATCACCCCACTACGCGCCCGCGTCTCCTGCCCGCGAAAACCCCTTCCGTCCCTAACCAACCTTACAAGCTGAGAATCCCTCTCCCGGTACCAGAAGCGTGGCCGCCAAATTTTCCACCACAAGGCCCGTCCCGATTCTCTGAATCTGCGGCCAAAGCCAAGATGGTAATTGAGGCTGCAAACCGGGAAAGGGAGAGAGCTGAGGAGTTGGCTGCTATGCGTGCAACGGAACAAGCTGCTAAGGAAGAGTTCAAGAAGTATCTGAAGGCAAAATCGAAAGAGAGAAGAGAGAAGAGGAAGCTCATGGCCGGCAGAAAGCCTCTCAGTGCTGAAGAGAAAGAGGCACTTAAGGAGAAACGAATGATGAAGCTCGTGGGGCCAGTGGTCGTGAAGTGTATGTCCAGCCACGCGAAGTCAATGGACCACGACACCTTTAAGAAATACGCAAAGGAGGTGAGGGTTCTCTGCCGCAACATGGATGCAATGCTTATATATTTGATGTAGTTGACTCAAATTATTGTTGAGAAGGAGAAGAAAACCTCAAGCTACAAAGAAGGGCGACTCGACTCGTTGTCAGAGGAGAAAGTAGCTAAGATGAAGAAATTCTCCAAGGAATATATCGTCAAGGTTCTCCACAAACTCCGCAAGGCTCGTCGGGAATCTTCATCAACGACCGGTATCCCTTCCTCTTCGTCCACGACATTGGACACGCCTACTGAACACGACGATACTCCGAACGTTGAGATGAAATTTGAGGATATCGTCCCCATGGGCTCCGATCCAGAAAGCGACGATGATACAGACGATGAAGCCATGGGTGCTCCCGACGAGCCTCCCGTGCCGTTGCTAGAAGACGAGCCTATGGACATTGATGCGATCAGACAGTCGTATGAAGATGTTGAGGATGCAACTCAACTGTCGGCTGACCCCAGACGTCGACTTCCTGACGCTCGGTCCATTGATGATCCTCCTTCACAGCCCCCTGACCAGATACTAGTCGAAGATTGATGTGCTGTTTGTTGCTTACACGTGTAGCTCTACCACTGATGTATACATTACTGACTTCCTGCGATAATTGGGGCTTACTCATGCCTTTGAACCTATTCCACGGTTACGCCGTCTATGAAGAATTCGAGAAAGGCTTTCGATACACGCGATTATCTTTATTATCTACATCTTCACGCCTTTACCTTCACTTGCATCTGAACTTCCAAGCCAAGATCAATGACGGCGAAATGTATGGGCTAGGAAGGCGAGAGTGATCTAGTATCACAAGCTTAATACGTCTCTTCGCGACTTCCCCTTCGGATCGAAATATGGCTTCTCGCCAATGCTAACAACCCGGTTACCTTGACGCGACGCAGTGTAGTCGTTCCTAGAAAATAGAAAGTCAGTCGGTTAAGGCACCAATGTGTGGCACAGCAGTCAGACGTACGTCGCGGTGTGAAAGGTGGCTCGATTGTCCCATATCGCAACATCGTTCTTGCTCCAGCGGTAACGTACCTGACATTAGCGAGTTCATGAACAAACCACAATCAAAGAGGACAGGAGGATACTTACCTGTAAATCATGGTTTTCGGACACGTGTCTGAACAAGTAATCAAGAATATCATTGGATTCGTCTTGGGACAGTTCGACAATCCTTCGGGTGAAGCTACGGAGGTCTGGATCAAACCAGTTAGTCGGTGGGAGATGTCGCTTACGATTTGTTTACAAACAATGCTTGGAATTTCGTTACAGGGTGTGTTCTCACTACTGGGCTGGACAGAATTTTATATGATTGGGGTTGTCCATAAGTAAGATAAAGACCTTACTGTATGGCTGTGAGATCGCTCCCCGTATTTTCCGGAGACCCTCGTGGATCTTGGATTTTAATTCCCGTTGCACGCGCATACTAACGCGTTTACTCAGGGTTAAGTGGCTACGGTCCTGATCATAGAATGAGTACCCACATCCAAGAAGAATTCGCCACTGTGGACCGCTGTCAAGCCACACAAGAATTTCTTGAAAGCGGGCGAGAGCCTATCGTAAGCTTCATACGCACTGAAGCGACGTCAATTATGAGTAGAGCCGTGACGTTGACTTCGGGGACAAATTGGGGACAAACCTAGCCCACTAAAATACCGTGTCCCAGTAAAATTAAAGCTCAATAAGAAGCCAAGGAACCTACGAGAGTGTCTCCTCCAACTGACAACGAAGCTGTCAGACGTTATTGGTCGCTATTATCAAGCTACTCACTTGGAGGCAGCGTGTGCATTTTGAGTATCTATTCGTGACGATCAAGACCTCGTCACAAGTTCTGTTAAGCAGCAAGAACGAACTGAATAATCCGCTGGCACACGTTCAAAGGTGATGTCAGAATGCCAGCCATTGCTGGCCCGTGTTGATTCTATCACTCCCGCCCTTGCAATGCCACTGTATTCTCGTCAGCAATGACGCCCAAGAAGCAGAGCTCCACACATACCCCATGGAAGATATAACGGAGACATCAGCCCCGAGCTCTGGAGTATCTTCGGAGACAGGATGCCTATGCAATGTAGAGGTCTTGGGCTTTCCTGATAGTTCCCCTAGACGGGTCGCAAGCTCTTTTTGTTGTTGAATGCCAATGTCTTGATTCTTGAAGAACACGACGCCGCGGGACGAAACAAGTGAGGCAAGTTCCTTGATAAGTTGGTCGCCATCAGGGTCTACCAACAAGTGAGAGAGTTGGACATCCTCGTCCGGAAATTGGGTCCCAATGTGGGTCGTGAGGTCTTGTACGTTAAATCTGCTCAAGAGCGTTGGAGAATTATTCATGGTGCTGAAACAAAAATCAAGGGCGAATGACACTATTTATCACAAAAATCAAATCGATCAAAAGTATCCATGTGTGCTCAACTGGCGTAAGAATTGCATAAGAGAGACAGTTGGTGGGAACATACGGGAACATGGTAAACGCTGGTAAACGGATCGGCCTCTTCCTGACTGTGAGAAAGCGGAGGCGGGTTACGTCCTGGATATGAACCTCAGTTCTTTGGATGAAATTGGAGTAAATTCAAGCCTGCTTCCAAGTCCGCAATGGCATAACCGTCAGAATAAATACGATGGACATTCGTCTACGCTTGGTCTAGGCTATGATAACCTGCTTCTCCTTGTTGAATCTCTGTACTGTGGCCACGGATATATTTAATAAATCAGCCACAACTTGAGGAGGTGTCAAGGCAAGCCTTAGATGGGATGGGTTAGTTAACGTTGGCGACTTGGGACAAAAATTCACCATTGTGTGGCGCTGAAATCAACGAAGCGTTCTTGCTTGAAGATCTCTAAGAATATGAGGGGTTCGGTTGGAGAAAGATTCTTGATCTAGTGGCAACGGGCACTTTAAGTTTGTGTAGTAAAGACCGTATGAGATCCTTACATAGTGTCCATAAGAGTTCGGGAAGACGCCGGTATCACCGGCCTACAACCAGGTTTAGTACTCGATTGTTCTTATTTAAAGGATGATCACCAATCGCGCGTACCTGGAAGTCGAAAGTTCGAGAGGTGCTTGACCCGGCAAAAGCGGTAGCTCTGCCTTTACCGTGAATAATATAAAGCCATTCTTCAAATACACATATCAGTTATCCGTCACGAATTTCTGATTATAAGAGATGATTTGGTACCATCTTTGGTATGCCAATGCAATTCACGAAGACCGTTGGGTTCTACAAAGACGAGCGCACTCGCTACTTCCTTGGAGACCTAGCAGTACGGTGCAAAATAAGTAAGGTACAGCTTTTTTCTTTTTGAAAGATCGTACCGGGAAATTAGTAACCGAATCTTGGATTTTAACCCAACCTCCTCCTCCCTTCGCGACGGTCTTCTCTTGCTGTGACAACCTGAACACGAACGGACTTGGAACCTTGCCATCAGGGGAAACAGGGGCACTTTCGTCTGCATGGCCAAGCGGAGGTGGAGGTGGACTGCCCGTCGGTAGTGGGATGATGTACGGATCCCTCTGTGGTATATTTGCCAGTTCACTGACGTTGACGCCGAGGTTCTGCGCGACAATAGCTAAAGGCGTTCGGGCAAGCCAGTCAGACAACATGAATGTTGTTCCCGTGCGGTCGAAGTTCCCGTCAGTGAACAAGATGAGAATCTCGAGGCCGTCACCGAGAGCCTGGATACTGTGTGGCACGCCTGGGGGGAAGCTGCGAGTTCTGTCAGCGTGCAGAAAAGTTCGCTCTGCATGGTGACTAACTAGTAGATATCGGGGTCGCCGTTGGCGGTAGGACCGACGACATCTGAGATATAGCTTCGACCGTCTTCATCAACTGCCGATACACGACCTGTGCCATTCAAAATGTATCCCCACTCTGCGACGCGATGCCAATGACTGCAAGGAATTAACACTGAGGGCAATTGCGCAAAACGTTGATGGATGGAACTCACAGTTCTCTGTAGGCATTAGGAGCCAGTCTAAGTTCTGCTGCTGCAATATCTACGGCTGTGAACGAGGTAGTTTGAGCTGCCGCATGAGACCCTTGCTCGGTCGGGCTTACAAGGAGGTAGATCTGTGATCGCTTGCTCTCTAACCCAGCCACCCTAAAGATTCGTTGACCGATCAACATCTAAACCTCGTGATGCAGCTCATGGAACCTACTTTAAGCAATCGGGTATGCGAGGACGAGAAGCTCCATTTGAGATTTGGCACAACACCTGTCCCCCGATGTCAAAATACGCACACGTGCGCCGAAAAACAACATACCGGAATCAGTTGGGGGGCCAGCGACATTGTCCGGGTTCTGGGCATCAATCTCGTGGTTTGTATCGTCGCCGCTGAATTCCCCTCCTGCGCCGTTCCTCAGGGGTTGTGGCGAACCACTGAATTCAGCTACTTGGCCAACATCTGGAGGAGTGATGTCGCGCTTCGACTTTGAGTTTGGCGAGGAAGGTCTTAGGTGCTTTGGTTTGATGCCAGCTGCGTCGCGTCGCGTCAGGGTCAGAGGCTTCAACGAGGAATCCTTTTGCTTCAGCCATGCTTCGACCTGGGCATCGGAGAGCGCTGTTGCTGGTAAAGAAGTGATAAGTCCTAGAAAGAGAGAGAATGACAAGGCCGAGGCAGCAAGTGCGAGCCACCGACTCATGTTGCTTGTCAAGGGGGAGGAGTGCGGGATGTGTTCCAATGGGATTTAGCCTTTAAGACGCTTCGGCGTGTGTAGATGTAAAAATACATCAGTCGAAGAGACTATGGCGCGATGTACGGCGTGTGTAGCATCTGCCACTTCTATAACACCGCATCGTGGCTTTTACTGATGTCAGAGCTAAACGACGACGGCGAACAGGTCTTCGCGACGATATCATGGGAGAGGAATGGCAGTCAGCGTGCTAATCAGGAACCATACTTGATTGAAGAAGCACGCCCCTACCAACGGCTGGGGAGGCCCGTCAGACGATCTTCTAGCCGTAGCATCCGATGCTGTTGAGGATCACCAAAACAGTAGTAATTGCGGAAATAAGTTGAGGGATTGCGCGTTGTGTCGTAATGGGATACATCGTCCACCGCAATAAGTACCATGCGTTGAAGTATACAAGTTAGGCCGTAGGGCTAAATCAAGTCCAGCTCTTTGATATCTATTCCCTCGAAAGAACGGTCTTTGACATGCCGGCTTTCGAGTTCTCGCTTCGTCATCCATAGATGACAAAGTTGAATGCAGTCTTTCGCCTATGACAATCACTCAATAAAGGAACGAAAAGGCGAATATAGATGGGACTGACCACAACGAAGAGCCCCAGGCCAACTGCATTTCTCCACCTGCCCCAAAAGTCAAAAGATTGTTCATTAGGAAGTGAAAGTAGACATACCAAACCGGGTCGCTGTCCGCCCAAGTCCTTGTACCACCCCATACGCTGCCAAAGACCAACCTCAAAGCTAGCTTCGCTTGTCTCAACGTACCCAATCCAGCCCAATTTTGGTTATAAGAATACGGCCCTAGCGGAGGCGAGGCTACGTGGCCGCGAAGAGGCGGCTTTATGGCGAGGAACTGTCTCAGGAGATACGACCGCTTTGACAGTCTAAAGAGCATGTTTCCCATGAAACTAGAGATGGCGGGGATGAGCAAGGCACCCCCAATGAAACGACCCAATGATGACGTTGTGTGGTTGAGGGTCCTTTCAGCTGCAGCGGCAACATCTTGGGGTTCTTCTTCGGCATTGCCATCGTCCGCAGCTTCCTCGTTGTCGGCGTTTGCATCCCCCTCACGTCTGATGCCTGCTACGATTCTGATATTCAAGATGTTTCCTTCATTCCGCTGCCAGACAAATTGGCGGTCGCCGGGTAAGGGGCGAGATCCTAACACCCAATGCGTGAGCATCGTAAAGTACCTCTTGTAGATCATTTTCGTGACAGGAACTACGAATAAACCAAACAATAAAGGAGAGGGCGGCCAGGTGGCCGCGCTTGGGAGATGTGAGATGCGTAACTCCTGGGCGTGTCTTGGGTCTGTCCAGTGTTCACGCAGGGAGCGCTCTTGTTGAGGAACGGGGCTTGATGTCGGCCACGTAAGGAGAATGGATATTACGGGCAAGATGTGTGACGTGATGGAAGTGCGCGATAGGATGAGACTCAGTGGGATGAGGGGGAGGTTGATGAAGGCGTGCCACGGCCAATTAGCGGGCTCCTCAGTCAAAAGGAGGTTGAACATCCTAGCTTCTGGGTTATGTTAAATACCTAACGAGGCAATGATGTACTTACTCGTTGCCAATGAACTCCTTCAGGGCATATGCGCCGTACGCTGTGCTCACGATATATATCCCTACGTGACTTGGTAAGAGGGACGGGAGAAGCTAGTTCCTCACTCACCCGTTCCAAAGACTGCAACGATTCCGGCCATCGTAAAGACAGTGAACATCCGCCCCATGAACTGCATAGTCCCGTTCACTGACGTGAACACTCTGAGGAATATTGATTTCTCGCTCTGCAGCTCGTATTGCGTGCCACACTGTGGACATTTCAGAGCGTTCTTGGCCCTAGCGGAATCCGACTGCGCGGTCCGAATCCATTGCAGCAGACATGCTTCGTGCGCAACCAATGTGCAGTTGCATGGATGGACCCATGCCTTCGGAGGATTGGGGCGCTCTTAATGATCTTCTTCAGAATCGACTGCAATGGTTCTGGTCTAAGCCTCGAACATACCTGTGTGACGCTCCTCCTCCCGACATACGTAACATGTGCGAACCTGGCAATATCGTAGGTACCTCGAAAGTAAGATTACTAGACTCAATCGAGTAATTAGGAGTAGACTCACCTTCAAATCATTGACGGTCGGATATTTCAGGGTGGAAGACATGGTCTCTACGCGGCAGCCTGGAGTACGATGTCCAGCGGGATGAAGGCTTCGATGAAGGCAAGTTTGGCGCCACCTCTATTTGGAACTTGATTCCCACGCACTCTAGAATTAACTTCTGGCATCCGTTGACTCAAAATCTTGAGGCCATCCATTTCTTGCTTCCAACTTCATTGAGGCAGGGAATCCCCTCGTCGGCAGGATTATCGCGAAAGCAGAAGACTATTCGCAAGAATCTTATCTAATTCCCCAAATTACACGCCCCCATAGTCATATCTACGACGATCGAAGATGTCAGGAGACGAGAAACTACAGAAGCGTCCCGCAGAGGACTCTGAATCGGAGGATGAGGATGTAGAGGAGGAGGTCATACCTAAGGTCGAGATAGATCCGTCCACGCTTACCCCTCTATCACCAGAAGTTATCTCAAAACAGGTGAATGTCGCAGTATAAATTCGCGAAGGATTATAGCTGACGATGTGATAGGCAACAATAAATCTGGGTGTGTTTTTGTAGTGGCCACCTGACCAGATCTCTCTCTCAACGCCTGATAGGAACCATCGGGCATGTCGCTCATGGTAAATCAACTGTGGTGAAGGCGATCTCTGGTGTACAGACTGTTCGATTCAAGAATGAGCTTGTTCGAAATATCACAATTAAGCTTGGTTATGCCAATGCCAAAGTGAGTGGTCGTCCAATGGACCAGACGACACGCCGCTGACGGTACACCAGATCTACAAATGCGAAAATCCCGCCTGTCCGAGGCCCGGATGCTATCGCTCGTACCGATCTGACAAAGAGGATCAACCCCCATGTGAACGGCCAGGATGTGGGCATCGCATGAAGCTCATTCGCCATGTCTCATTCGTCGATTGCCCCGGTCACGATATTCTGATGGCCACCATGTTGAACGGTGCCGCCGTCATGGATGCCGCTCTCCTTCTCATCGCCGGTAACGAAACGTGCCCGCAACCCCAAACCTCGGAACATCTCGCCGCAGTAGAAATCATGAAACTAGAGAATATCATTATCTTACAGAACAAGGTCGACTTGATCAAGGAAGCGCAGGCGCTGGAGCACCAGAAGAGCATCAGCTCTTTCGTGAAAGGTGAAGTGTCAATCATACACGGGTTTTCGGTGCATGTTCGCTGACCTTGATACGTTGTCTTGTAGGAACTGTCGCCGAGAACTCGCCCATTGTTCCAATATCAGCCCAGCTAAAATACAACATCGACGCCGTGAACGAGTATATCGTCAAGCGTATACCTATTCCTATCCGCGATTTCACATCCGACCCTCGCCTCATCGTCATTCGGTCGTTCGACGTCAACAAACCCGGTGCCGAGGTGGATGAGCTCAAGGGTGGTGTTGCCGGTGGTTCGATTCTCACCGGTGTCCTCAAGCTTGGTCAGGAAGTCGAGATACGCCCCGGAATTGTCACGAAAGACAGCGCGGGGAAGACCAAGTGCCAGCCCATCTTCAGCAGGATTATGTCACTACACGCAGAAAATAATTTGCTGCAGTTCGCCGTCCCGGGTGGCTTAATTGGTGTTGGGACAAGAATTGACCCTACCCTCTGCCGTGCCGATCGTCTTGTCGGTCAAGTACTGGGTGCAGTAGGCAAGCTCCCAAAAATCTACACCGGTACGTATCCCTTTCGGATCATCCCTCTCAAAACAGGTCACTTAACTACTACTTTATAGAACTCGAAATCAGTCTCTTCCTTCTCCGCCGACTACTCGGTGTGAAAACAGAAGACAAAAAGCAAACCAAAGTCACCAAGCTCGTCAAGAACGAACTCCTCCTCGTCAACATCGGCTCAACATCCACTGGTGGCCGCGTTCTCAGCGTGAAAGCCGACCTGGCGAAGATCCAGCTGACGTCGCCTGCTTGCACGGAGGTGGGAGAGAAAGTCGCGCTGTCCCGACGAATTGAGAAGCATTGGCGGCTTGTCGGTAAGTCTTTTGCTGTTGCGCAAGTGGCTGTCTGGTGACTGATCTCCTGACGCGCAGGATGGGGGAGTGTGCAACGTGGTACTGTGCTGGAAGTGGAAAGTCGCTGAGGGATTATGTAGACATGTACACCTTGTGCTATTATACATTGAATTCTTGGACTGCACAAAGTTGTACAATGCACGATGAGCCCCCCATGAAGCGGACCCGCTGTCACTACCGCCCGTCGATAGTCCGAATGAATTAGTGCCATACCGTACAGAGCCTGTTCGACGTACAGTACATTATTTGCATTCTTGAAACGCCTTTCTTTGGAGAATCTCGTCTGCCGCGGCAAGGGTGTTGCACAAGACTGTTTACCTGATTTAACAGAAGAGTACCTTCGAACCTGTCACACCGAAGGAAAGAACACCTGGCACTTCGATTCTTCGTCTATGGAGCCAGGGCGACTCCAACATCCTCCAAAGGAGGCAGGTTAAATCCAGGCCACTTCGCCGCGGCCTGCGTACAACTCAAGCAAGTGTCGCGTGTGCTATTCACATCACCGACGCTCAGCCACTTCATAATTGATATGTTCATTTCACTATCAACGACTATCAAAGGACAAAAAAGATACTCGGCAGTCTACAAGTACGAGACAAGTGTATGTGTACTTTTACGGAAACGCAAGAAAAGAAAACGAATCGCGCTACAAATTGTCTCTCTCAATCAATGATCATAGGGAGGAGTTTGAGCCCGATCGTCATCCTTCTTCATATCAATATCCTGAGGGGGCGGAGGAGTACGAGCACGGTCGTCTCTCCGCCTGTCTGGAGAGGGGCTACGACGTCTCTCAGGAATGGGAGAGCGGCTGCGCCTTCTCCTGTCACGGTCTCTATCACCCCTGTCCCTGTCAACATCTCTATCCTTGTCACGATCGTCTCGTCGGCGAGGTGGAGGACTGCGAGAACGGTCGCGGTCGCGGTCACGAGAAGAGCGGTGTGGAGGTGAGGATCGCCTATCGTAGCGCCAGACCGAGGAAGGAGGATTCTTGGCCCACTGCGAAGAGCTGAGAAACGGTGTTATTCGTAACACAGAGAATACTCACCTGGATACTCAACCGGGATCCTTCAAAGTACCTACCATGCCTGTGGAGGGTACTATTAGTTCAAGGATGAACTAATGAGTAAGAGTACGTACATATCATAGTAGGCATCCTCAGCATCACGCTGGCTGCGGAATTCGACGAAAGCGTAACTGTATTCGATGGATGTTGAGTGCTCGGTGTTTTCTCTCGAGGTGAAAATCGAAGATGGGGATCGCCGCAAGTGCTAAAATTGACGCGGACGCGCAACGGAGGAACGAAAGCGACGACACGAAATCCGACGGTCTTTCACGGCATGTACGACGCGCGGGCAGTAGTCCTCTCGCGGAAAGAAGGTTCGCATCTTTTTCGGGCATCGACTCGATAGGCGACAAGAAAGGGGACGACGTCGGTTGGAAATGAAACTTACGGGTTCGAAGTCGCATGCGGGTTTCGAGGAGCAGGAACGTCGCAACGCACCAAGGGGCCAAACCTGTTAAAGTCAGTAATGGTGACGACGAGGAAGGGGGCTGCCTTTACCTTTCAAACTCAAATGCCAAGTCCCTAGCCCGGGTAGCAGGATGGAAACCACTGACGAAGAGAATGCGCGGCATTGTCGATGGTGATGGTTGGGAATGAACTCGAACTTTTCAATGTGTCGCTATTTGTTTGTGCGGAGCGCCAATTTTTGAGGCTTTTGACAAACAAAAACAAATTTGCCCGTACGTTGCGACGCGAGACCCAACCAACCGTGGCCCGACACTTCTCCTCAAGAACTGCCAGGTGCGTCGCGCGACACGATCCTAAACGAATGCTTCAACTTTGCCATAGATGCCAGCGCTTAGCGTATGCTAAGTCTCTCGGGTCTTTCAACGCTTTCGAGACATATACGAACGCTATCCACGTGGACGCGCATCCACAATTTCGGACTGCCTTCGCGCCCGACAAAAGGAATCAAGCTCGCGCATATCTTCAAAAAGGAGTCTCCTAGTCCAGTATGGAAGCTGGTCACTCAATTGTATCAGCCTCAAAGACTGGCGCTGTCTTCGGCGCTGTTTGAGAACGGACTTCGCATCGATCAGTTCAATGCATGGCAAGCTATCTTACACCAGTCCGACATTGGATGCGCGATGAAACTTCTCTCCAAAATGCGTCCTGGAGCTGGCGTGGAGCGCCCTGACGGAGGGGGGAAGTCTCCTCCATCGTGGGTGACGCTGTACCTTGTCTCCGCCAAAGTACGCACACCGCGACACGCTGAAGGACCAATGATGGACCTGGTACTTTCCAGCATAGAGTCCATGCCTGCCGTCACCAAAGGCCCATTGCTTGTTATGGCAATGGTTCAGCTTGCCCGGTTCAATTTGCTGTTACCGATGCGAACCATTGTCCATGAATTCCTTCGCACCCCTCTACACAACGCCACACTTGAATTCAATCTATTTCTCCAAGCCATCTCTACCGTCTCCGTACCCACACTCGAATCCGCAAACCAGATTGTAGCCATCCTGCAGGCCATGGAGTCGCGACAACTTACTCTTCGATCTGAAACGTACAAGCATCTACTCAGAGACAGGCTTCTAAACGTACAACTAACGAAGTACTTGCGGCAGCGCATGACCCTCGAGGGCTTTGTACCGACAGCGGAGCACCTCGAGGCCTACTTGCAGGTATTCGCTAGGAGAGGATCAATCCACGATGCCCAACAGTACTTCGAAGCCATACGAACGGAGGCATTGAACAAGGGTTCTGCCGTACCCTTGGTCTCTCAGCCAACGGATGGTGGACCCACTGGCGTCCCACATCCAGCTAATGTGTCTCTTCTTCGTGCCCACGGAGACCGCTCGTCGGCCTTCATGTATCTCTCGAGGTTGCTGGATGCGAATCAAAGCCCGGAGATCAAGGCCATCGAGAGCACAGACCGCAAGGTTCCGCCATCAGTGACCCGGGTTTCACGTACCAAAAGATACCCGCGAACCTCAGTCAAGAGGTCCATAGACGCATACGATTGGACGACAGCACTGGCGGTAGCGGCGAATGACCTTAGCACCGACTGGAGGGCCCTCATCAGAGTTTTCGAGCGCGTACGGAAGTCTAATGATCCATCTTTCCGCCCTACGACTGTCACATACACAATCTTGCTTCGAGGACTGTATAGGCGAAACAAGTTCGACGAAGCGGAGAAGTACTGGTGGATTCTCCTTCGCTCTGGACATATCATTGACTCTTATGCACTGGGGATTGGCTTGCAGATCATCACAAGGGCGGGAAGGCCGCACGAAGCGTTGTCGATGCTTGAAGCGTTTGCGTTTAACCATTCGAGTCATCTACCAGCGCCTCGCAAGCGGTACAAACCCATCAGTATTGGTATCATCGAGATGAACCTTTTCATGGTAGCGCTCAACAGGGAGAGACGTCCTGACATCGTGTTCAAACTCTGGGATCACATGCGTAATCTATACGATGTACGACCCAATCATATCACGCTATCTATTCTCTTGCAAGCAGTGCGTATAGCGTACAAGCTAGACGATTCGCTCTCTGGCGCCGTGGCTCAACTCGCTGCAAAGAACCCCTTCAGAAAAAGAAGACAGCCCCCATCTTCTCGAAGCGACGTCCTCGCAATGTTCAGAAGTATTGCTGGCGACCCTGAAGCTGGACTGCGCAAGTACAGGTCCGGTATATGGGATGATCAGCCGCCCTTCGAGAAAGCGAGGAAAATATTCCTTCAGGTCATGTTTGGCGAGGCCCCAGAGACTTTGCGGACGATAATCTCACCTGCCAATGCCGTCAGGCTGACGCAAGAGCACCATCCCCTCTCCGAACTGGCATCTCCATTCGGTTTCTCAAGAAAGCCAGCCGTATCCCCTACGTTCTTCAACGACTTGCTAACGCCAGATGGACGGAGTCACTATCCTCAAATAGTGCCCACCAACCTGAATTGCTTCGACTACATCGCCCTGCTAGGGGTCTGCGATCGGGCGTCGGAGATCCCCTTGGTGCTTGCGTGGATGCGTCGCCTTAACATCCGGCCGTCCCGTGCGACGCTGAGCCTCGCATTGGCGTTTTGGGTGGAGGTTAGCACGCAGGCGCCATTGATTGAACAGCTGTCAGGCGGTCCTGCGTCAAGCCAGTATACTAGGCTGGTGAACTGGATGGAAGGGTGGGTGGGAAAGGGTATGATGCCGACGGATGTAGATATGAGAAAGTGGACAACGGTGGCCGCTCAGATGCGAGATACCCCTCGATGAATATACGCATCTCTCGTTTGCTTTGAACGTGCGCTCCAAGTTGTCGTCAGACGGCCTCAAACAGCCTTGGTGGTATAATTGGACCCTCGGGAAGTTACACGGAGCCCTAACACCATGTTAGGGCATCGTTGGACACCCTCCAAACTTCGGAGCATCATGGTGTTGCTGCCACCTAGCCAAATACGATATATCCCTCAGTGGATGAAAAGCCCACAGCTTTATCAGCTAAGAAATACAACTTTGTGTTTATTTCATATATAGGCGTTCTACCAGTCTTCAGGCGTGAAGAGCAATATTTAGCGTCTGAAGACTGTTGTCAGTCAACATTCACGGCCCTTGTTTGGGAACGCTTACAGCAAGGCGAGGGTAACATCACCATGTACCTTGGCACGAAGTTCAACGTCGACGTCGAGGTTAAGATCGAGACGGAGTTTCAGAGGTTTGTCTCCCATGTCGTCTTCATCCGCTCCTCTGCGTTCAGCTTCTCGTGGCCCATCATGGCCTCTGGCGACCGCGTCCTGTGCCCCCCTCGCGACCTGTCTGTCATTCTCCTCTTCTTGAAGTGCCGAAAGGTCTCTATCCTTTCCCCGGCGCCGACGACGACGGGAAGGGACCGGAGACTCAGCTTCAGAGTTGTATGGAGATAGCCTTCTAGGAGTAGGGCTTCTGCCATTGGCAGGACGAGATCGCTCACGAACAGGAGAGTGTTGCTCGTGATCTGAAGGTGCAACGGATGCCGGTCGTGATTGGGAACGAGCGGGCGGTTGTGACATTATCGTTCGTTACTGTATTTGTAGTTTGTGATGTGGTATGGGAAGGTTAGATACGGGGTAGGATCATTGAGCTGTTACAGTATCGCCCCTCGTAGAGGCCTCGTTATATACGCGGCAGCGCAGGGGCGTTGGGGCTAGGGTTGTCCACTCAGTTCCAATGGCGGCGTCAGCCCATTGCAGAGGGTTGTCAACGATGACGAATTCGTGGTGATTGTGGGTATCAGTATGCGTTGCTCCGCAATCTCTGTTCTCTGATATTTCTCACCGTGGTGGAAACACCACATGCAGATTCGAAGCCACAACAAAGTTAGAGCCTTGGATAACATGGCTGTGTTTCTAATACACGTATGGCCAGGAAACACAAGACCTTTCCCATTTACACATTTACCGTTCTAACTTATGTAGGGACGCCCAGGGCTGTGCGACGAAGGTTATAGTTCGAAGGTCTGCCGTAGGTAGGTTGATATCACTATCTCCTGACAAGTGAACTAGGTCGCACCTTTCCTTTGCCCGTAGCCTTCCGCTCTCGTAATATCTCCTCCGCCGGCGTTTTCCAATCTCCCTCGACAAGTATTCCGAGTCGGTACTTCAGAGCATCCATGCTCATGTCAGGAACGATATATCTAAATCAACGCCGCCTTCGTCGCTGTGCAATTCATGAGGGCTTGAAGACAAACCTTGGAATCGGGTGATCGACTGCCTCTTTTACTGCAGCCCATAGGCCCTCTCCATCATCTCGCCTAACGTGATATACATACGGTGGATCCTGGAATTTGAGTCCGTCGTGTTGGGTATCCCATCTGTTCCGATCCTGTGGATCATCCCTGTTCCAGTTGAAGATTGGGTTGATGAACGGTACGCCCATGCATAACGCATCATATGGACTAGGACTCAATCTCGGACTTCCAATGCCAATGAGTACTCTGCTCTTCGACAGTTGCTCATAAAAGTTTTGCTGATTGAGCTGCCCTAGATTATTAATTCCATCTGGGATTGTTGATGGGCCCTTGGTGTCGTTGCGCATGCCAGCGACCAGGTCAAGAGGGAAAGGAGGGACGAGAGACACGCCCTTCCACATGTAGTTCTTGTCCGTGAAGTACGATAACTGTTTTGCAAGAATATATGCTTGCATTGGACGCTCGTCGCCCGGGATGAACGGCTTCTTGACACAGGTCCGTTCGATACTGTAGCCAAGGTAGAAATTTTCCTTGGAATTCCCTGGCGCGAGGATCGGGTAGTTCTCTGGTGACAGCGTCCAGCGATTTCCAAGTGGATGCTCCGCCCCAGTCCAGAAGTGGAACGAGAACATCTTCCAGACTGGAACACCCAGCGGATGGCCAGGGGTCTTGATACATTTCGGGTCATCGAAGCATCTCTTCGAGTCGGCCCCTTCAAGGATCACGGCCTTCACAAGATCTGGGAATCGGCGATACGTCCTGGCGAGTTCATCGTTCTTGGGTGCGTAAATGGTCGTGTAACCCATCTCTTGAAGCGCTATCAACTGGTTATTGAGCAACGCATAAGTCGCCTAGCTAGTTTCTTCCGATGCCTTGTCGACTTACTACGCTTATTGCCCTGTTGTAGAGGTCAGATTCAAAGATCGCATCTAGGATGTGCAGCCTCGTTACCAGATATCTTCGCCTGACACATGTCCAGCGATCGAGTGCGAGAAGTGTTCCGAAGATAACAAAATGATACTTGTTTGATTCTCCTTGCAAGTCCTCTCGACCATACAACTCATCAACGCGTTCATGGCTTTGTTATTCTCGTTTTGCCAGTTGTCTGTGACGTCGGGGAGCCCGACGGGCCATAGCTGCTTGAAGAAGTTAAGCCATCCCTTATCGCCGGATGGCTTTTGTCCTCTCAAGCGAAGAAAGTCGACAGTGAACAAGGCAATGCTTGAGCACAGAAGACATGCCGAAACGATGAGGACGTAAGCGGGGCGTATTTGCCATCGTTGTGCTCTCCTTCTGTAGATGGTAGGATTAGATGGTCTCGACGAAAGACTCAGGAGAAAGCTCCACCTTCGCTGTCCGGGACTCAACTCGCCGCCTGCAGTGAGTTCATACTCGCCATGGTCAGCGTCTGTGGGGGTAGCAGTAGGCCACCACTTCATAGCGTTGTATCGTGGGCGAGGCTGAGAGCTGAGGATTGGGCGTGGGTGTACGGCACTCTCTTGGGCATGATGCCAATACGAATGTAGCACACGTTCGTATTGATGCTTGATAAACGCCGTTCAACTCCCAGAGCCCACCCAAGAATTCGGGATATCATGTCACTAAAACCAAAGATAGTGAGTTACAATGTGCGCCCGTCAGATGAAATCTACCTATACGATATTTGTATGACCCTTCCCATTCATCCACGCATTCGAGGCATTGAATACAAAAACAAGTACCGGTCGTCTGAGTCACAGTTGCCCCCAAGGGCTCGAAGCTTCCAACAGACTGTGGGAGCATATCAACAATTCATTGAACATTGTCTCGGCTGCACACAGGTTTTGCTCGTCTGCGGTACCTGGACATGATCAATTCAAGCCGATTCCCGAATCAGAATCAGATCGGAAGAAGTTACTTCACCACGTTCTGAGAAAATGGCGAGCGGCGCAACAGGACGCTGGTTAATAGGTCAACCCCCTGATCCGTTTTCAGACATTTTTGAGCGGCCGAAGGCCGCTCGGCCTGAGGCTTTTCAGACATTTTTCACCCAAAAAAGCGAAATTCCTTGATCCTTTTTTCGGACATTCTTGGGATTTGGTCCCTAGGCGGGATCCATTTTCGGACATTTTCAGCGGAGGTGCCGACGTTGGATGCTCCCATTAGTCAACTTTAGTAAACTAAGTTAGTTACCGTAGCTACTCTTTTTATTTCCAGAAAAGCTTTACCGATCGCATCAATTATTGACGCCTTCACCGGAGTCAACATGCACTCAAGGCTACTACTCGCGTTCGACTTCGAGAAAACACCGATGAGGATCTTGAACATCTTCTAACGCCCCCGCAGTCGTTCAGCCTCCAATTAACTTGCGAATTTCATGCCATTCTGAAGGAGGACCAGCTTCGTGGTGTTACAACGGGACTCGGACGTGCGAAGCGTACTCTACAAGGCAGCGCTGATGGTGCACCAACAGTCGGTAACACCGTAGATGTCTATTCTCAGATTACTCGACTTATCATAATCTCGACTCAAGCGCTGGTTTACGAGCCTAGTACTAGCTGCAGACCCAATCACCGTAAGGTATGCGACAGTATCTTAAACATCGTTGAACAATCACTAATCACATCTTCACAAAGAGCGCGGAAATTCGCTCGAAATTGTATTCTACGGGTGGGTTAACTGGAACCCTACTATCCCAAATCAAGATGGCTGATATTTCAACCACTCGTCACCTTGGTCCCGGCGACGTTGGGTTCATATCTCTTGAACACGGTCTTACGGTTGGTGAAGGTAGGGCATGTCATGTATCTCAACAATGGACTCTGCATCTGACTACGATACAGTTGTGGTGCTATATGTCAAAGGTGGCGGAAAAAAATGGCCAACATGCATCGAAATCGGAAGCCAAGTTCAACGTTGCCGCAATGTCATGGATAGGCTTCAACGTGTACGACCATGTCTATGGACGCCGATTTAGCAACATCACGGATACAACATCACACTCCCTAAAAACATGGAGAGGGAATCGACGGGGAAAGACCGGGAAGTATATAAACAGCAAGATGCATCGAAAGCGAAGCTAGCGAAGGTAATGGTACAACCAAGGAAGAAAAACAATGCCAGTGCTGCATGGTTATTGGACGAACCCGAAGCGTAGAATGATAGCTACATGTGTAGGGGAGACTGGGGAGTCTGTATACGCTGTACAAAGTTCTTGTGAGGTATCCACTAGCCCTGGAGAGCTCGCAGGAGGCCTAATATCAAATTTCGGACATTTTGGGAGGCTCAGGAGGCCTGAACCGAAAATTCGTACAAATCGTGAGGCCCGCAGGGCCTCCTCCGAAAAATAGACATTTTTTCGAAAATTGAGGAGGGCCGGGTTCAAATCAGACACTTTCGGGCCAAATCCATTCAGACATTTTTGGCCTCGCTGGATCAAGCCTTCACGGTCATAAACCAGGGTCCTGGCGCAACTCAAGTAATCTCCCTCATTCGAAAAGAGGGTGTTCCTTGGCTCTCAGTAATGTCACTGCCAGGCGGAGCATGGTTTGTTTACACTCGAGTTGCTTTGACTTCTGGGTTGGATGGTATGGATCAGAATAGTAATACGCTTTGACGTGCACGCAACACCTTTGAAAGCTGGACAATAGTTAATTGATGCTTGATACAATGCCATTCTGGTAACTTTGGTCGCGGAATGAGATTAAGTTGTATCAACTTGACAACAAGTAAGTAAATGCGCATTGCGACGTGGGGTGAACATATATCTGCCACGCCGAAGCCAAGAAAACGAAGTATACGTGAAAGTAAAAATACATGAGAGCATGCTAGCGTTATTAGGAGTCATCTATGGCAAACCAGAAGTGGGGGAGAGTAATTGAACAAGGGAGGCATCATGCATCATGAGGAAGCCTTCGATTAGTATAATATCACAGTGGAGGGAAAGTCATCGCCAGGGATAACAACACAGTCCTCACGCCCTAATCCGCCAACCATCACCACGTCTTCGCTCTTTTCCGACACCCCCGAAGCTTTCTCGAACAACTAGCCACATCCCGGTAGAGCATACCACATCCTTGAGTTCCTCCGCCGTCAGCACAAGCCCGCTATTGCTGAAGTCCGACACGGAACGTTCACCGCCTGCGCTAGTTGCGGGTCGTGGGGGAAGGTCGGGTTGAGGCGGGTGCCCGGCGACGCCAGGCGAAGGGCGCTTCTGCACAATCATTTGTCCGACGTTGACATCCGAGAGAGGGAATGGCACCTTCAACATCGCAACAACCTTCGGATGATGAGGTGTGGGGCTGAGTGTACCCAACTTCAATCTCAACGTCGGTGAAGATCCACCCTTGACGGCTGCGACGACGGCAGGATTCTGCAGGTCCAGAGAACCCCTCGAGTATGCTGACGACCGCGGTGACCGTGACGCGGTCTGAGTCAATGGCAGAAGCAACGAGTCGCCAGCTACTTGCGGCGTCACACGCTTCACCTTCAGTGTACATGTCCACGGAGTCTCCGAATCCTCCGGATCGCTTTCTTCACCGTCGTCCTCTTCGTCATCATCATCTAAACGGGAGTCCTTCCTTCGAGGGCGTGATTGGGAACGAGGCTTCCGGCCTGTATCAGATCGCTGCTCGTCCGACCCACCAGCTGAGGTGCTGACGCTCTTATGGGATATCAAGCTTAAGCGTTTGCTTGCCTTGTCCTTCGGTGATATTTCGTCGTCGCCTTCAGGAGTGTCCTTGCTGGCTGGCAGACTATTTCTACTGGCATGTCGGCTGGTACTCCGGTTGGCCCTCTCGCGTGGAGGCGGTGGATTCCCTATGACAAGGCTCGACCTGCGATCTTCTCTCTCCCTGCCTTTCCTCTTGGCGCTCTTCGAACTCTTCCCCCTCTTCCACTCAAACCTCACCTCAAACATATTCCAATTATTGCCATACTCGCTTTCCTCTCGAAGTCCACTTCTCCTCCTATCCTCCTCTCTCCCAACGCCGAGCCGCTGACCCACCCCTGTGCCAATTTTACCAAGATTACCGAGAAGCCCATTCTCCGACCCTTTAAACCACTTTCGCACAATCCAGACGTACATCGTAGCGCGATTCGATTGAACATTGCTTCAGGGTTTTCCAGGAACAAAGCAGATTGCGGGGTTGTCGAGAAAGTGATATCACAGCAAGCGGAGAAGTAGACAGCCCTGAGGTCAGTATTCGATCATTGCGTCAGCGTTGGAAGCAAATGTACCTGGCGGCTTTGGATCCAATGGGAACGATGGAAAGCGCGGGTTGTATACCAAGGACAGGTGGGCGTAGGGCTATAGAACGGTTTAAGGAGGAGGCACGTATACAACGCGATAAATCTACCTTGGACAGGTGCGGGAGCGAGTTGGCTCTGAGACTGGGTCGGCGTAGGAGGATTCTATTAACGAACGGGAATGAGGAAAGCAACGGAGAAATCAGGATCAAGAAGACTACTAACGTGGACGTTGATGCTTCCACTAGAGTCAGTTGGGGCACCAAATATTCCGCTATCCCTCTTGGCAGTCTCACCGACCGTAACGGCAGTGCTCCGGCTTCCAACAGTTCGGCTACCATTCGTCGCAGTTTGGGTCGAATCTTCCGAATGAGGCGCATGATCTCGTGGAGGTAATGGGGGTGGTACTGGCGAGGGTGTTTTACGACCGCCAGTCGGATTGGCACCGCGCCCAATGAACGCACTACCCTTTCCTATAATCCCCGGTAGATTGAAACTCGGAGCTTGCCTCTTCGAGCGGGGCGTTGGTGTTTCACCGCTGCCTTCACTCAGACCAAGTTTGTGATTATCTTGTGGCGTGGTCATCGATGGAACGGGGGCACTTGGTGCACGATGGTGATGGGGACTATCGGCGTTGAGATGCTGAGAAGGGTTGATATACATATTAGGAGTGGAGGGCATTGTAGGTGTCGTAGCATCGGGGGACATGACGGGAGACATTAACGAGGGCGAAATAAGAGATGGCGATCCTTCCGAGTTTTGAGGCTTCGGTGTTGGCGAAGACATGCTAGGGGACGCGGCGGAGTAGAGGCTAGGCGAGGCACTTGGGTCGGGGGAAGATGCAGCGCTCCCACCTTTACGCTTGAACAGCTTACCGAATATATTCTTCTTTGTAGCACTGGTAGGCATGTCAACTGAGGGGGGACCCTCAGGGAGACCGCCTATAGTTTGGGATGGATATGGGTGCGGAATGTGTGGATGGTATTCACGGTATTCAGTGCCAATTGGGTAGCCTCCCTTGCTTGGCTGATGATGTGATGTCGAATCTATGCCAGCAGAAGAGACAGAGAGTCTCGAAGACGTTGGAGTATGGCCGTGTAAATCCTCCGATACTGTTGGAGTCACGGGTCGACTTGGCCTATCTTGCTGGGGGTGCAGAAGACCACTGCCGTTATGGGGAGCACGCCGAGCGTCGTTTGGCAGGTTATTCGTCGGCCAAACTTCGACCGGCTCCAGCATCGCCAACCCAATCATCTCTAGCCCGCGTTTCTGGAACTTCGCGATCTTGGCATCAGTCCCAGCGTCTACAATAGTATTCGTCATGACATTATGGGCTTGAAGATTGTACAAGGGGATGATCGTGCGCCGCCCTGGCTGCGAAGCATTGGTGCTCGTACTGGCGACAGACGAAAAACTGGACACCGAAGAATAACCAGAGTAGACGGACGTCGAGACATCTGAGCGGTTTGTGCTCGTGCGTGTCAGCTCATTTGCCGAGTCGTCTGTTCCCTGCCTCCGCGATTGGTTTGCATCGAATGACTGGCGCGCCGGAGTAGCAGTCACTGGAGTATTGACTGTTCCCGTGGGTGTAAGTCCTGACGGTCCACGGGAATTGGGGGGTACAAGTTGCACTTGCAAATTCAACGGGTGATTCGTCTTAGAAGGAGGAGGCCGAACAAAGATGAACGTCTGCGAACTCGTCAGACAGTGATGGCAACCAAAGCGAACCGACAAACTTCATTCGCTCCTTTCTTGTCTTTTTCCTTCTGATCCTTCACCAACCCAAATTCATTGACTGACGGCTGTCCTGGCGAACTATTGGCGCGATTGGTATTCTCATCGTCATCGTCATCGTTGTCGGGGCGGAAGTTGGACGAAGGGGCGACATTAGCTTTCTCCGGAGAAGCGTGTAGCTGAAGAGCAGAAGGTAGGAATGATGTAAACGAAGCAAACATTGCTCGGGATGATCAGATAACAGCCAGCTCGGCGTCGATGGCGTCTGGGCGCTGAACGCAGAGGGCCTTGTGCGTGATACCGAATTCTCAATCCGAGTGATTTTATCAACGAGCACAATCAAGCCTGTGGGTTACCGTTGGCTGCGGTTCCCAGTCGGATAATCTACAATTACTGCGATCGTGTCACGACAGGACAACCAACGTATGGACTACATACCTTTAGCGTTCCAATGGTGTGGACGGGGCTTGCCAGCCCTGACTGCGCAGTCGTGGCCTAATCAAAAGGAAAACAACGCCTTTTCCTTGAGAAGATGGTGGAGGGAATGTCCTGAGAGGAGCCACGAAATCTGTGGGATGATGAGGAGAAGGAGCAAGCCTTTAAAGTCAGTAGTAATACGTTTTGACACATTTTTGATGACCGACATTTCCCTATCAGGAAGGTGTTTGGTATAAAACGCGACTACTTTCACTCAAAATTCTATAGAATCAGTGAGGAATAACGGAGGCGCCGGCGGAACTGCCTGTACTACACATCCATGGGAAGGATGAACCATTCCCGATGGTCGATAGGCTACGGATAGTCGACCAGGTAAATACCGAGCACCCTGCGGGACACCCGCTAGTAGTGCCTGCGACTCTGGATCAGAAAGGTATATTGTCCGAGTAGTACGGAGGGTGCAAAATGGCGGAGGTCTGACAATAGCTCTACAGCGTCGTTTTAAGTAGTTCGCCATTAAATCAAAGGATAAGAATCACGTAGAGGAAGGAAATGTATCAAAAGGAGTTGGTCAGCCTGATGACCATCAGAGTTCGAACTTACTATTCATTGCTCCCAAAAGAGGAAGTCGAAGCCAACGTATGTTCATAGGAAGTTTGCGCATCACGTAAGTAGCGAAAGATCACGACATACCCAAGACGGTTGTGCGGAAGGCCAACGCGTGCGCGGTCAGCGACAACGACGAGCACTAGTCAAATTCAAAGTCAGTTCTAAGGTACGAAGTCAGTATGTGCATTCCTCCCTGAAGGACTGGGCATGCGTACCGAATACAACGGTCCGTATGTCTAGGACGCTGGATGTCATGAAACACGTCGACAGGGAACGTGGCTGAACCTCAGACAACAAAGAGATGAAAGACCCAGGGATATTCAGCACTATCTCACCATCGAGCAGTCTAGAGTGCTCACAGCAGACGGATGGGTCGGATGGAATAATCTCCCAATGTTCCCTCCTGATAGCTACTGCGCTTTTCGTGTCAGAGGTGCTGACCGGATGTACCGTCGTATGGGTGGAGTACTTGAAGGGCGAAAGGATACCCGCAGCAAACACCAGTCTGTAACGCTTGACTCCACCTGATGGTTTAAATCAGTCCGTTATCTCCTTCCAATTCACAAACACGATCGAGGACGAGCGATCTCCGACGGGCATGAAGCGGTCCACGATGCACATACCCATTAGCGCTGCAAGCAGTTGGCGAACAAGCGCTTGGTAGAATACTTGAACCGTTGTGTGCAAGGATAAGGCGATCTAGTCTAGATGTGCAGGAGTAAGATACAAAAGAAGACGTAATGAGAAACCTGCACCTCTTGTAATTAGCCTGGGAGAGGAACAAGCGGATCTGACAGCGTGCGTGAAATAATCTCCTCGTCGGCGCGAAAGGTGAGGGGAGCACTTACTTCCTTTCGGCGTTTTCAAGATGAAATCACTATCACCGGCCAGCCCTGTCAGTCCTGAGCACGAGGCAGCTAAGGACGGCATGGTCTGGCATGATCTAGTTGCTCTCCCGCAAAAGGTTCTCCGGAGCGATAAGTACTTCCATACGAGACGGCTTAACGTAAGAAGTGTACCGCCCGCGACGCAAACGAGTACATTGGGATGCGATCGATCAGGCGCCAGCTCGGGGAGCAAGGAGATTGGATACTCGAAGACGGCCCAAACGAGACGACTCGTCAATTATGGATCCGACCCCCGCAATGCGATCGGGTCATTCGCATTGAATGCGTCGGGGGCCAGCTTGTTGGCTTCGTGGATAATTGATCACGGGGAATGGGAAACGGGAAAGACGATGTCAAAGTTTTGTCATGATGCGATACTTCAGGAGACTCCGTCTGATTGATCACATTTCATAACGCATACTTGTACGCGTGCAGAAGCAGGCTGACGTAGCCATGACGGACCAGGTACGGACATTGGCCATCTCGAGCTTTCACCAGCGTGGATCCCGTACGGCGGCGTGGAGAGCGTATCTCATTTGCCGCGACGCATGTATACATACAAAACTGTGATGATGCGGAGGTGAACAGGTCCCTGGGTCTCGATCAGAATCACTAGGTCATTTTTGTGGACTCTGATGGAAAGTCTGTGAATGTCGTATTTCAGGATATGAGAAAAGAACACCTCCGTTCCCCATGAGTAGGCCTCCGATGATCGAATAACTAGTGACATGGTGTAAACGGACCAAACGCGGATGGTGCGGCCGATATCGCAAAATGTGTCGCTACGGATCCCAGCGAACAAAGAAGATCGAACTCGTGTCCCCCCAAAAAAGTCCGTAGTCAAACCGCGCTGTGAGTCTGAGCAGCGGTGAATCAGTAAAGGGCTGGCGGCATCTTCAATTGCTGGAACGCGTGTGAAGTCAGACGCAACTGACGAACACTTTGGGAAGAATGGAAGAGACATACATGATCCTATTCACCGATGGAAACTCTCTGCTTCTTCTTCTTACGTTTCTTTCCCTCATCTGCAGGTTGTTCCTCGGTGACTTCAATTTCCCTCTTGATGGTTGGGATTCGTGCTACAGCATGCTCAGTTTGAGCGGCAGACCCGGTGTTTGGGGACGAAGGTAGCTCAGATTGTGGTCGTTGGCCTTCCATTGGCGCGTCGACCCCAATGGGTTTCATGAATCCAGGCGGAGCCGTTGTGCCTTCCTGCTTACCGCGAGTGGGGTATGCTATATTCCTGGCACGGAGGTCGGTGCCGGTTCCACTCGTATCGAAGATGCGTTGCTTTGTAGTCTTGCCCGTTGTGGCTGAAGCTTTGGGACTCTTTGGAGCTTTACCATGAGCAGCGGAAGATCCTGAGATCGACTTCAGCCGCGTGAGTTTCGCCTGGGAGTTTGTCTGACTCGGCTGGCTGGTTTCCCCAGCTCGTGGTTTGTCCTTGCGCGAAAGCAAGTCAGAGCTATAACCAACGGCGATAAACTAAGCTCCATGGACCACTGGACACGCACCTGGTCGCTTTGTACTTCTAGGCCTAGTTTAAACCGCCGTCGACCCTTTGGAAGCACTACATCAGCCTCTGTTCCGAGTTCCGTTTTTGTGTTTTCTGCATTTGGGGGGCTCTGTGACCGAAATACGAACGGAAGGTACGACGCTTCGTATGTGATCTGCGGTCTACTCCCAATGTCAAGGGATTTTATTACGCCGATGAATCTCGGTGAGAAGAACAGCATGAACGGCGTCTAGGTGCTCACCCTGATTCTGACTGCCCCACGCCCCAGGTTTCTCGAACATCCTGTCCAACTTCCCATTCCCCATCGTCCTTAACTTCAGCTTTGTCTAGTTCGACTTGTGATTTGCTGGTTCTCTGGGAATTCTGCATAAACCGCAGGCTCAGCGTCCCTTTGCTAAGTCCTTTGTGGGTGGCCATTGTTTGTGAAATGCGAAAGAAAGAATTCGAGAAGGTGGTGGCAGTGAAGAAGACGCGATCGCGTGTGGGTGACACCGTCGTATTGCCAAATCTAGCATCTTTCGCAGGAGAAAGTCAACAGACGCCCATATATTGGTGCCCAGGCAGTCAGGCCAGGCATGGAAGTATCGCGGATTGTCGCATGCTGACCGGGGAACTCAAAAAAGTTCCTGGCTCGCCCACAATACACATGAAGTCGAAAAAGTCAACATGCGTTCACCCGTTAACATGGGGTAAATAAATAGCGAAAAAGTAACCACGGATGGGACTCGAACCCACAACCTTTGCCTTGAACCCTCGCTAGTAGGAAGGCAACGCACTAGCCATTGTGCTACAGTGGCTTGTTGAGAATGGGTCTCCGCTCCTGGGTAGATACAGAAAGGTACACCCTACCAGACCGTACCTTGTGTCCGACCAGGCACCCAAAACTCGAGGCATATGTGATCGGATAACCTCACGCGGGCAATTTACGTACCGGAAGAGGCTGAAGGACCTGATCTGACATGCTTTCGACTCACTCTCTCCCCGAGTCGCCCAGACATTTGGCCGTTGCAGTGCAGCGGAGGCCCATGAACTGATCGACCTTATCATAGAGTCGGAGCTCCCTCATATCAGATCAATGACATACCCGATGAGGGTTAGATATGAACGACGAAGGTCTCCTCAAGGTCTCCTACTGGGTATATGTAGGAGCAAAGCCGTAAGTTGCTTGAGCATCGTGCCCCAATCGATGAATAATCCTTACCATGTTTGACCAGTGGTACCTGCTGTCGTGGGCAGGTAGGTTAGATGGTAGGGGCAGCCTAGAAGGCTCGAAGGCATAACCGAGATGTTACATACGCCCGCAAGCCAAAATGTCCTTTCTTCTATCGGATCGCATGACCTTTTGGAGGTTAACTTATTTAACATTCATCCGACAAATAGTGCTATAACTTCCGACACGCCACCCTTCGCGAACGAACTGTGCTGTCTGTTGTACTTAGTCCTGGAGTCAGTGACACGAACTCTCCAGTAATCAGATCTCGGAGATCAAACCTGCTCCGAGTCAGTAACGCAGTGCTCGATCGCACACTAGCAGATTTCGGGATTAATGGCGAATGCTGAGAGGACATGATACAGGTAGCATTCGTCATATCAGCCTCATCGTGCTGCGGACCAGTGGAATTTGATCCCCATTCACTTAGGCGAAGAAAAGAACTCGCGAAGATGTCGATACACCTATGAGCATCATGAGACTACACGGAGCACTCCCGCCGAGGTGCGGACCTCACCCACATGTTACATACGAATTCTATCATCATATCACCAGACACAATTATATTCTGATGTTTGCGCGCTTGGGGTTGTAGTTCGATAACAGACAGGTGCTTCGACCGTGCGGAAATTAGACGGCGCACGCGGAGTCTACATTGACAGAGCAGTGTAAGTACTCATTGAATTATACCTATGGGAGTAAGTGGTGGACATGCATGACACAATTGTGAATGGGGGGTGGTCCCGTGCGCACAGGGTGGGATGGTGCCGTATACCCACAAGGACAAGAAAAGCAGGGCTACAGCTACCCACGCACCTCGTGTGGGAGTCTAGCAGAACTCAATAGATCATAAACGGTATGGTAGCACGGTGCGGGACGATAGCTGTGTAACTGCCGCGTTTCATAGCCTCACGAGGACTCAAGCCGAAGAAATATGACCTCCGCCTGACCGTAGCCAAGAGAACTGACAAAGTAGTCATCGAAGTCGCGGTGAGTAAATTCTCTCAACCATATCACATATCATGGTTCGTCTTCTGAAGTAAGAAGTTCCCCACTGACCGTTACGGCTAGCCGTTGTGTGCGTGAGGTCTGTATTCCAATGTGAGAAATCGCGTATCTGCAGAAGATAGATGCTCACTACCTCGGTACTGTCGCCATTGCTTTGCCATCAAGTCTCCTAGTAAGCGGGGCACCGGCATTGAAGAAATCTGTAATACAGCCATCCGGGATGTGCAAAACTGCTATGCCGGCCTCATCCTTGATTAATCCTGCCAAGATGTCCACGGTAGTGACGGCAGACGAAGGGCAAGCTGCGGTCTCTTCCCTAGCCACGATCACGGACCATTTCACTGATGAACATTCAGAGCTCCCGCAAATTACCTAGTACCAAAGGTTGGGTCGTTCTTTTGACTGCCGCTGGTTATTTCTGGACGCGAAGTATTCAAATGTTATCGCCGGCGCCCATGTCCCGTGGAAGACGAACAGGCGATTCGGTTGCCGAAATCAAGGAGATCTGAGAATAGTTGCATCATGAACTTAATTTTCCAGAGACAGAAGAAAGCGACCAGATGGGCGCGAAGGAGGCACAGGGGAATTCCGTTCCTCCTTCGAGACGATCGGAGAATTGTTCCGCATCAAGCAGTGTGGTGGAAAGACTTTGTCGTTTCCCATAGTTCGGTGTCTGCGAACAGGTGTTTCCATTCTGGCCTCCCTCGAGATGGCTAGCTGCAACGGGTGACGGTAGAAGCAGGTGCAGAGGTGCGAGAAGCCGCTGTGAAACGCGACGTTCGGACGTTCTATCGTGAAGCTAGATGAGGTCCGGCTACTCACTTGCAGGCTAGATTCGAGTGAAAGCATGCTATGATGCGACTTCTGATGACGCAAGGGGACGACCGTCGGCCGGTGGGCGAAAAGGTACGCTCAAGGGACACCGCGAAAGTGACACAGAAGCAGATGCATTAATGTCCAGCAGGAAGGATGCAGGCGAAGTTGAGTGCCAGCAGAGAACCCAGGCGTGACCCGATATATCCGGGAGCGGTAAGAAGCGCTGCGATGAGGTCCAAGGTCGATGTGGAAGAAGCGGCCGAGTTTGTAGCGATATCTTTCTGCCTGTGAACTACCCGGGAAAGAACCTGTCGTATTTTGATATGTTCGACCCCGTGGCAAGAATTGGATTCTGTGGATACTTCCCTATACCTGGACAGTGCGTCGTGTGGTATTTACGGCATCGCCCGTCTTGCAAGAATTTCCGCTCACGGTGCCGGTCGTGACGAAGATGCGTATGATAGTTGACAGTAGTAAACGATAAGGATTGAGTGGCGTGGGCTCGCGAGGCATGGGCGATTGGCCTGTGAGGCCACGATGCGATATACGGGCGAGCACAGCTTGTGATTGCCCTTTCAAGCCCTCGAGAAAGGACTGAGAAAGCAAGTCGTCCTCGGGAGAGATTAGTCCTTTTGGCATTTTGGGCTGGTTTTGGAGAAGGGCCAGAACTAGCGTTTCGCGGTGGATATAGCATACCTGTCTCGCATGGGAATGATCCCTATTTCTGTGTGAGGCGATGCCAGACTATGTACGTGGGGAAGTGGTGAGCGAATGAATGGTGAATTGGGAGAAGGTGCGGGGGTATTAGCGATCCCTGTGAAAGGAAATCTGAATCGCGCAAATGGATCCATGAGTGGGGGTGCTGAAACGAGCGAGGCTGGCAGTGATCCTCATCATCATACCGACATGGACGGTGATGGGCGAAGAGATATGGGCGAGCAGTGATTGCTTTAATGATATCTATCTCATCGAATCTGAGCTGACAGGTCGAGCAGGGTGAGTGAGAACACGTCGCTTACCGCCTGGAGATCCACAGACGAATATCCAGCACCGTATGTAAATCTCAACGGTCCGAAGGAGCTGGGTGTGGTTCACCGTGACCCTCAGCCGAACCAAGCTCGGCCTTTAAATTCGATTGCCGCATTCGCAGGTGCGGTATATAAACCTCCGTTCGGACTTGTATAAAATCCCCAATCGTGTTCCCAGTCAGCACTCTTCTCCCTTTCCCCTTTGCTCTCTCATGGCCACTTTCCATCTCAGGCCAGTCTCAGACAATTCCCCGTCTCCATCGCCAAGCGCCTCAACAACGCCGCCAGGCGACCACAGCCCCGCTTCGTTCAAGGGTCGTCCAGGAATGCTACCCTCCCCGACATCCAATGCAGCTGCAGGGGGCAGAGGAGTGCGCAGACCACTGTCGCCCAGTTCTCTGAGAGGTACGCTTTAGAGTCCTCTTTCACTTGCAACGCACTTCTCATGTGTTCTTTTCCCAGACGTCGATCTCACTCCTCATTCGTCCGATCCGCCACTCAGAAAGTACCCGGCACCACCCACAGGACATGATCTTATGGCCATGTTCCCCCCACCACCGCCCGACTTGTTCCCTGAAATGAGACCAGGGCCGACGAGCGGCTTCTTTCAGCGACAGGAGCGCGCGTTTTTTGCTCAGGCTGGGAAGGAGATAGTCCGTGTGCGTGTAGAAGTCGATATATCAGACCTCGATCCTGCGTCCTCAGCGAAGATGAGAGCACCGGCGCGCGAACAGTCCGCTCCACCGAGACCGTGGCCGCAGCAACAGCTTCACCCTGCGCCTACAGCCTCAGCCTCATCAGGCCCAGGCGCTCCGGGTCCAAACTCACATGCCTCTCCATCACAATCATCGTCTTCTCTGCCATACCCACCACAAAACATGCGATCCGGCAGGCAGAACGTTCCGATGACATCCACTCCTCTGTTCCCATCTCCTCATTCGCAGCACTCGCAGCCGCCACCTAATCTCCATCCTCCTCCAACATTGCATCACCCAACACTTGGTTTGCGTACTCCCGGTCAAGAAAATGGACCCAACGCTACACCCAAACAGGAATTCCCTTCGGAAGAGTATCGCGAAGACCCAGATGAGGCGTGGCGGCGGCCGATGCCTTACGCCGAGAGGAGACGGGCTGGGAAGCACACGAGACGTGTTATCGTCAAGAACTGAACATTCCTTTGCCGGTGAGTAGATCACCTCCGTGACGTGCGTTTCGAATTATTGATTCAGGACTACTCGCTTCAGCTATAGGGTCCTCTCGCCCATTCTTGTCTCTTGTCGCTGCCATGATGTCTGAATTCGCTTGGCACGTTGTATGTATTTTTGTCGCATCGCATCTCTTGCTTTCCTGTCTCGGCGTCTCCGTCTTGGATCTTCAGACACGGTGGCGAATACGTATAGTAAAGTAAACCGATGTTCTTACGTCCTCCAGTACGTGCTCTCCCATCCACTTGAAGATGATAATTCGTATATAATTCATGTAATTCTTTACCGCATTTTCTAAACCAGGCTAGATGTCACGCCAATGGGTAGTTTGCCATTAGACCGATCTGCGAATCAGTTGCTGTGTCCCAGGTCAGTCAGATCATTCCACCAGTGATCATGATCGATGATTTCCGTTTCCGGGCCCTCGGTTTCACCCGGATCTCAGGCCCTTCTCTAGTTTCGGCACTATCTCCTTTTATAATTCAGCCTTGACTGAAGATGGAGGTGCAGGGGGACAGAGGGACCGATGAAAGCTATCTGCTTCCGCTTCGGTGCCTTGGTTTTGCCCACCAGAGCAGTTCGGCTAGCCGTGTTCTCGTGTCCAAATTGTTCCGGAAAGGCCGCTTGCTTGAAGAGCTTTGCCTTTGTCCCATGACTCAGAAAAGAGGGCACAACGGGGGATTTCTTACCCTGTAATTACAGTGCATCGTGCATCTCTTCGTCTTCCTGCGCTCCATTTCACTGCTTGTATAATAGGGTCCTAACAGGAGCTCTCACCTACTACCCGCGTCATGTACGATCGTTCATCACGATGTGCTGTTATGCTTGCTGTTTCCCAAGCTTCGCAGCGGTGCCTTGGAGTGCCTTAGTAGTACGCCTACTTCTAAGATTGTTACATAGGAAAAGGGACGCTTTGACACGACTCTGGTTCTAAGCTTAGCATGGATGTGACGACGCACTGGTGTCTTCTTCATCGCATCCTCGCTCTTCTCGACGTTTGAGGAGATATTGCCCACGGAGGACAAATAACTAGCGCACCTGCCCTGCTGATATCACCGACGGTTGAACTTCGATGTTTCTGGGATAGATCCGCTGCACACATACAATTGCAATAGTACCTCATTTATAGCTGACGCAAGCACAGGACTCACTCACTCCTCTACCATTGGCTAGCTGTAGCAGTTAGTTCGGAACGGCTTGGCGCATTACCGGCTGACGATTGGCTTCTCGGTAGATTTGGTAACTTATGGGAGAAGCGCTCTAGACCTCCAAGTCCACATGTTGAGGCTGCGTGGGGTGCATCTAAAGGGTACGATCACGAAGCGTGCTGGAAAAGGAAAAGAGTACTTCATGTCCTGCCGCTGGAAGAATCGGCGTTCCCTTTCACTATTATGTAGGCTTCCGTTGGTCCAACGTACGAATCTACTCCGGGAACTTGAACGACTCTTCCAGAGTTAATTTGCTGGTGCTGTAATAGATCAAATACGTAGAGCCTACGCCGTAAGCACTCCACGTTTACATGGATTGCAATACGCCGTGACCCAGCGTGGCTCCCCTTGAGTCAACTTGAACGGGTTTGAGTCGATCGTGTGCATTCGATTATGATGAAGTCGGGTAGCCTCGTGGAGAAACCCTGGGTATAGCCTGAGGGCCACGGCGGTGCCTACATTAATATGCCTGAGAAGCAGCCAACAAAGGATAATCCAAGTTTAGGCTGTATCACCACAATCTTAGCTGTGAACGTGTTAGAGACTTTGGTGACGAGATTCATACATACAAATACGATACTTACGAGACCGATCGTGATGGGCGACCTTCCAGCTCGCACCACATCGACTATACATTTATACCTTGTCGGTCTGATGATGGATGTGTCCCCCGTTCGCAGAATGAACTCCTGAGCGTAGCCACCAGCCGATGGAGGGGGTCCCGGTCATTAATTGCTTTACATGATCTTGTGATGAACCCAGAAACGTGGTACTCAAGTCTTGAGCTTGTGCCATCATGCTTCCATAACGGGGGAACAGATGGTGTAATCCCATAATATCCGCCTTACATCAGGTATCAGTTAGAGGGGGGTTCAAAGGGGCTGTCAGCGAAACTTGCGCCTTACTTTGTGAAGGCACCAATTTGGCTACACGCCGCACCGCACCATCAGCGCCAACTGTCTGAGGGTTGTATGTAGCGAAGGTTGATGACGACTGCCGGTTATAATATTACTTGACTGTCGGCGGTCGCAGCGACCTATATCCGTAAGATTAAGATGCGGTTACCACCGGGATCCCTGTGAGATGGATATAAGATGAACCCACGATGCCTGACATGTCACGTCATTCCGAGGCGACATCAACACTTGTGCGGGCGAGCAAAGTGGGGATAGACGCGCTAAAGCCACAGAGGGTGCCTTTTCAAGGATCCAAGCGATACGAGGCGATACGCAGTACGGCGGCCTACCACGGCTCACAGTCGGATACATAGAGCTCGATTAGGTTTGAATTGTATATGCTGAAGTCCAGACCAGCTAGAAACCGTACCGGAGGGCAGCGTTCGACGTGATCCGATTGACATGACGCTGGGCGACAATTCTGTCCGAGCGTTCTCAATAGATGGAAGTCAAGAACGCTTCCAATATTGTGTTCATGCGCAGACACGCGTGCCAAAGCCTTGATGACAGCTATACATGCAGGACCACGAGGGGATTCGGCCGCATGAACGCCATGATCGACAAGGCGTATGTCATAGACATTTCGCATAGTATTTCTTCCCGAATGATCGCAGGTCACAAGAATATAACGGTGTGAGCCAATGAGAAACCCGTATCGGATACATGTCCCGCTCGTGGCAACAGTTGGTTTGAACAATTAACCCTTGGGACAAAATGGCTATAGGTGGAGCCAATCTACGGCAAAGGATCCAAGGGCCGATGTTAAGGAGCTTTTGGACATCTTGGGTCGATCAGTCATCGAGAGAGTTGGTCGCGAGAAAACCTGTGGACTTCGAGTCGGAGTTCACTAAGTTCAATTTCCAACTCAGCGGCTCCCTTTAGCGCCTAACGTATGCCGTGAACAAGCGCTCGTTACAGCTTGCCATCACCATCACTCTCGTCTAGCTCGCACATCGACACATCTATACAGTACAACGCTTTCAGTCATAAGGATAGATCATCTAATAGTAAAAACCTTGGCCCTCGCTTGCCTGGTTTTTGTATACCTGGTGAATCCACTACTTGCTAGTTCTAGCCATTTGAATTGACCTCTCTCGACTTCGGAATCTGGCACGTGCGGACAAAACTCGCGATATTACTTGCTATACCACCCCTGTCTGTACTACATCGCCCTGCGCCCGCTCTCGCAGAGTATTAAATTCAAGTTCAAAGCATCAATGGAGGATCAGATCGCTCAATTCTGCGGCGTTACTGGGGCATCGTGAGTGGTTGTGTTAGTTGGCCGAGGGCAACGATCTCGTAACCCTAAGATACCTTGGCCGCACAGCACTAGGGATGCTCGCAAATTCCTAGAGAAATACAAGCGTGTTGACATTGCCATCGATGCATACTACAACGACCCGAATGCTTTCTCCGGTGGCTCGAGACGGAATAACGATTCATCGGGCCCATCCACCAGTAAGCTCAACAGCTTGTTTGACAAATACAAGGGTGCGCTTGGATATGACTCGGGAATACTATATGCCTTGAATAAATCCAATACCAGATCCTGATGGACCTGAGATCACCATCGATGGTACGATCAAGTTGTGCGAAGACCTGCAAGTTGACCCAGAAGATGTGGTGATGCTCGCCGTCGCATATGAACTGAAATCCCCGCGAATCGGTCAGTGGAACAAGAAGGGGTGGACAGATGGTTGGAAAAACCTAGGGTCAGTCGCTATGGTTCTGATTCTCTCGACGGCGATCTATAATTGTTGGTGGTCACTTTTCCTTAGTTGCGACTCAATACCTGGTATGAAGGTGGCTCTAGTACGGTTACGAGACAAGCTTGGCTCCGATCCTGGCTACTTCCAAAAGGTATACAATCATACGTTCGACTTTGCCCGCACGGAAGGCCAGCGGAGTCTTGGTAAGCATCTGTTTCTACGTCCTGAATAATGTTAGCCACCGGTTCGCCTGACCGTATGACGGCGTGGGTTGACAGGCATCGATACAGCCCAAGCGTTCTGGAGTCTGCTTCTGCCGCATGGCTTACAGGGCGGTGCACTCGCCCACATCAGATCAAGGGACAAAGACGAAGATGTCGACATGGTTGAGGAAGAAGGGTGGAAAGATGATTACAACCAGTGGTGGTTTGACTTCTTGACTGAGAAGGGCGGGAAAGGAATTAGTAAAGACACTTGGATCATGGTGAGTCTGCCATTGCACTCCTGATGGCAAACGCCGACAACTGGACAGTTCCTCGACTTTGTCCGTACTATCGACTCAAAGTTCACCAAGTATGATATGGAAGGTAAGCTATTTATAAAAGATGGTACTCTTTATGCTATGAGATCTAACAACCGCCAGCTGCTTGGCCGTCGACCATCGACGATTTTGTGGAGTGGGCAAAGCAACGGATTTCTTCCTGAACTTGATTGCCATAGGGACCTAGCCATAAGCCCGTGTATTTCTCTTCAACTTCCATCTCGACAATAGACATTCAAATATCTCGGCGACTTGAGTATCACTTTGCGCGGCCGTCGGTCTGATTCGGGGGTGACTTCACCTTGGGAATACACAGTACTCTAGACTGCTGGAAGCTGGCAGCATCACGTCTGGACGACACCAGAACCAGGGGATATAACACGGCTGTAACTTACATTCCCCAGATGATGCGCAGTGGACAGTAAGACTTTCCGACGATACCGTAAGGAGCTGCGGCGGCTGAACACCCAACTTCCAGCGTACACATTACGGCACCCTGATTCAATCTCCATGAAGATAACGACAGTGAGAACATCGCAAGGGAGTAAGGGTTGTTTCCATGAAGACCTCCTTTTGATGACGGTTCGCTTCTCTCCACACATGCCCAACTTGGTCCAGCTGCTGAAACGAACCGACCAGGGGTCTCCAACGTATCGTATGATACGTGCGTTGCCTGCATTATATCTGTCCCTGTCTGGTAACTGGAAGCAATGCAGACCTGGCAGGACCTGCCATAATTCAGAAACGTGGGATTGACAACTCGAATTCGATGTTCCAAAATGACGAAACTATCTAGATCTATACTGAGATGCAAGGCGCTATAGTAATACTGGAGCAAAAGTGGTGCAAGGAAGCGGTACGTACATGCACGCAGGCATAAATGATTGACGACTATTCAGCGGGCCAACGGGAAAGGTGGCATACCCGGGAGGTGATTCTCGTTTCTTGACAGACCACCAACTTGTAACACACACGAAAGCGTAATTTTTGGGGCTGCGTGAGTATCTCGCTCTTCGTGCAAACGGCAAGCGCCGCGTGAGGGTTGCAAGATGCTGGGACTCTACTAGATGGGTATGTGGTATGGCATCGTAAGCACCGTGTTCTACCATAGGATTCCAGAGATAGGTACGATCGGCAAGAAGTAAGCCGAACGACGTCCTCTACCTTGATAACGACCTGTGTTTCATCGGTCCTCATTCAGCGGCGGGGCGCATGGCAGCGGGAATATTTCAATTCAAAACTCACGGTTTTCGGCGGTAATTCGCATCCTCTTTTCTCTTGGGAAGATGATGCTGGGTTGCGATCATGATCGGTACTTCTGGGCGACACTTCTCATTTCGTGGCTTAAATTAAGACAATAGGGAAATTCAACGGGGTGTTGACCGTGGGCCTTGACTTGGTTTGACTTGACGGCGACGTATAAAAACTCCAATCGCGCCGATTGGTTAGCATTCAGGGAAATGGTGATTTTGGAGAAAACTTCCATTGTAAATCAGTACCTGGTAGCAAAGCCAACGCCCCGTGCAGGTCGATTTTTGAATGTCCCCAGTCTACTTAAACCGTGAAGAAGTAAAACAAATTCTAGGATTGGAGGGATCGTATTTTCGGTAGCATAGTTCGACTGCAGGCGCCCTTGGGAACGATATATCTCCAATTTGCTGCATGTCGACTTGGGCGTACTAGTGCTAACGGCAGGGAGATACGCAAGGGAAGTTTAAAGCCATCCCATTGGTCTTGTCTGCAGTCCGAGGGCTTAGTGCTCGCCGGGGGCGATTTTATGTCAAGACTCTTGGAAACGGATAGATTCAGCCGGTGCCTGTTCGCTGGGCGAAGGAACATCGGTTGTCAATGTCACAACGCGATCCGAAGCTGGCACCTTTGCCATACCCGGACATTGTCGTCGAGTCACACGGAGGGGGCGTGGATAAATCTTGAGAGAATGTGAGCACGGAGCCTCAGAGACGAAGACGACTTACGGAGAAAGGTGCTAGATGGAATCAGGATGGTAGTGGTTCAGCGCCGACAATTGCTGTCAGAGCAGGTAGAAACGCTGTGTCGCTGATGACAGTCATACGAGGTCCTGAGTTAGAGGCAGCTATAGCGGCCATGACTTTCATGGCGTCACTACAGTCTATCTTCAATCAATGCTCGCTGGTCCGCTTGGCCACAAACCGTTTGTCCAAGCGTACAATCATGCGCTTGGTATCATCGCACCACCACATAACGTCAAGTGTAGCGCCGGCCATGGTCATTCCATGATTTGAGGCCACTGATTCCTGAATTGCCTGGCGAAGTGACAAAACGTCTACAGAAGTGCCTGGATGGGAGGATGCAGCGAGTAGAAGATAGTGCCAGTTTGCCTGTATCACAGACGAAGTTCGCCTTCCGCCTCGCTTCATCGTTTGTTGTGGTGGCTCGAAATTGAAGTAGTCACTGCAGTTAACTCAATTCCCAGTGAGAACAACGTGGGAACTAGGACTTCCATATTGCGTAATTACCAAGGCCGTTCTCAGCACTCTCTGCAGTTGGAATGACCTGAGTGTCCTTAACGAAGCTTGTCGGCCAAATCACTCTATCTAGATATCGCGGTACGGCGGGGTCATGGACCAGCAAATTGGGAAGCAGTCTCCAAGAACTTGCTGCGGCGTCATTCAGGAGACGAAGTATCAAGTTCGAGAAAAGCGTGCGCAGCGGGAAGGTCCTCAGTCATGGATCGCGTTGAAGTTGACGATATTTGTCGCGATTGGGATCATGGGATATGCTGCGTATGTCTACATCGGGCGATTCTGTGTCCCCATGATCAGAGGGGACCCGGATGCGTTGGGCAGTCGGGCATTAGCCAGTGAGTGAGTTCTGGGATGTTGTGAACAGACATGTTAACGGAGGCAGTCGTATTTCTCGTGATATTCTCTATATTCTACCTGATGATGATCTGGACGTATGAGAAGGTCAATTCAAACCCACCTTTGCTAGGGCTTTGGTTGCTAACTTCTTGACTAGGCCATCATAACGCCTCCAGGGTTCGCCAAAGATGTGTGTTGCAATATTCCTCGATCGTGTTTCTGCGAATGCTGACACTTTTTAGCACGTTCCACGGTCGGTGCAGCCACTGTTCTCCCAGCCTCCGCCTGTGGCCCCTCTAGATGGGATTGTTGGGCACCAGTACGAAGCTAGCATACCCACCTTTCCCCTCCCCACAGACACAAGCCCGTCGACGCGGTCTGGAACAGGTAGAACCCACCGCACCAACACCCGCAGCTCTCTTACCCACGCCACATCGCCGCCAATGCCACCGCCTCTCCCTCGAACTCATTCACAGCGTAGCCATCATTCTGCGCCCGCGACTCACTCTTCGCAAGGTGTACCGGATGATATTCATGCCCCTCCTGTGTCCGTGTCTTCCCCTTACGAGTCCAGTGAAAATACCAATGAACGCATGACCCCCACGACTCACGAACCTCGCAGGAGACGTCGGGACAGCAATGAGGATGGTCTACCACCCCTAATGTACTCTAGACATCCGCGTACCACCCCCATATTACTTCCAGAATACAGATATTGCCAACGCGATCAACTAGTGAAGCCTACAAGGGCTCACCACTGCAGGGCTTGTGGAACAGTGAGCATCCATCTCGTCTGTCGTAATCTATCGTGCTTACGGAATATAGTGCGTCTTGAAGTATGATCATCATTGCCCTTGTGAGTCTTTTGAATCTCGTAAACAATCAAACTCAAAATATCCAAGGGATTGGGCAATGTGTGGGTGCTCGCAATGAGAAGGTAATCATTTCGTCATCTTCGATGGCCATCGCGCTAAAGTTGTCGCTATTCTCAGTTTTTCATGAACTTCCTTGAATGGGCAGTGATCTGTTGCTCGTGGTTGTTCTCCACTCTCCTGGGGCTGAATGTCAAAGCCCACGGTGACATTGATCCACAACATATTGTCATAATCGCTCTGTAAGTTACAGATCGCGATTTCATGGACCTTGCTTCGAACTGACCTTGCCTAGCTCAGGCTTATTCCTGCTTTTCTGTGCAGCCATGCTGATTTCCCACTTTCGTCTGATTCTCCTTAATCAGACGACCGTGGAGTCGCTTCGATCCCAATACATGAAAGAGCGAGAAGATCGAGTGTTATCAAGGCTGCACCACTGGTGGGAATTTAGGTGAGGTAGTTCTGGTGGTGAAGAGATTGTTCTACGTCGCTAATGTGAGCTCAACCTGTTGCCGAACTTTTGTTTGCACATGGCTTGCGTGCTTCTATCTTTGACGGTACCCTCTCCTCCTTTGTCGATGATGGACGTCCGGAATCCAACCGTGGCCGAACCGAACCGATTCGCCCTCGTTTTTCTTTCTCAACTTCATCTCCGCGTGTCTATCTCACTACGTTCATTCGGCTTTACCGTTTCGAATCTTCTCGCGAATGCTTCGAACCTCTCGCACTCAGGGCGAAACACCGAACCAAGAAGCAATGGGATAGCGAGTGGGGCAGGATAGATTACGAGGGCAATATATGGTCTCTGGGAAGCCTGAGGGCTAATTGGGAAGCGGTTATGGGTCAGAAGTGGTATGAATGGATCCGTGAGTGCCAAGTTTATATTCTCTGATCACTTTCTCTGTTATATTTGCCTAGCACGCGCTCCCCGCGATTGCTTGCGATTGTGTCCCGAGCAGGACGACTTCTGTTATCAGCTAGGAGCAGATGGCTGGGTGTTCTCGTGCCGACAGTCTCACAACGCCATTCTTGGCTATAGTAGACATGCCACATGACCGTTGACCCATTCGATTCGGTGTAGGTCGCACATCACTCAGGCGCTGCTTATCTTGTGGTGGGCTTCTGCAACGCAGTGGAGTCTCTCACATGTCTCTCTCCATCTTGGCCAAGCGTTCTCGCTAGTTGGTCGGGCAAGAATCATATTTAGCTGTCAAGGTCGTTGCAAAGCGACTATTGACATTCATTTTCTTGCCATGTTCCGGTATCAGTCACTCATGCAATTTCCCCTCCCTGATAGTGCCCATCGGACGCAGCTCAGGTGATGGGCTATCATATCCTGTCAATCCTCGATTTGATCAGCAAGGGCGGTGGCGCAGACGGATAGAGTGGCCGAAGGAGCTCCAGGGGACGTAGGTTGTCTCTGTACAGTGCTTGTTGTCTATGATAGTGCTATTTTTACTGGACATTATTATTATACGAGGAACATTCACGATTTTCATCAAGCGACCTAATGGAGTGACGCTATTCCAGTCGGCTTTGTCGCCTTCGGCGTGGTAGCGGAGTAGCAATGGAACATGGAAGTCGCTGCGACAACGACGGGCGGAGCCTAGAGGCCTAGAGGGGGTGTGACACCTCGGATTAGATATAACGGGCGTTACGGTATTGGCTTCCTGCTCTTCTTCACCAACCACCACAATCCCCACAGAAGAGCTCACCAATCAGCGGACCCTCATTTATAATTTAGCATGGCACCTGCAGCTATTCCCAGTTCTGAGTCCAATGGAACTCATGAAGTTCACGCTTTGAAGAAGCAACCTACTCATTCTACACCAAGGCTCACATCTGCAGATGTGATCCAAATGGAACACCGGTATGGGGCACACAAGTGAGTTAATTCTATCTCGATTTCCTGCTACCACAAAGGTGTCGACGACGATGCCTGCGTTCCCCGTAAACAGCCCCTAAAGCAAGCGAGACCAGTCAAAGACAGTCGACCTTCAGGTGGTAGACGGACGGAAGGTGGTGTTTCATGGGAGCAAGTGGGGTGATGATCTTAACTCGTCATTCGCTTTCTCGTCTTCGTCCTTTAATACATGTACTGATTGTGCGCTCTTTCTGCTGTTAGTTACCACCCATTGCCTGTAGTCTTTGACTCCGCGAAGGGATCAAAGTGAGTTTCTTTGATCCGTGCCCACCCTGGCGCCCCGTGCAGCGCTTGTGTCGTTCGTGTCACTCATGGGTTCATTTCACAGGGTTTGGGATCCAGAGGGCAAGGAATACATTGACATGCTCTCAGCGTACTCGTACGTGCCGTCTTCTGCGGGGGTCGCTCGCCGTGTACTTATTCCGTGGCGATATAAATAGCGCAGTAAACCAGGTCCGCCCACCTTATTTCCTCAGGTTACTTCCACCGAGTTGCTTATTTCTGTGCTTCTCCGCAGGGACATTGTCATCCAAAGATTGTTGCAACACTGATAGAACAATCGCAGAAGCTGACGCTTTCGTCGCGCGCGTTCTATAACTCTGTGTTTGGCCAGTTTGCCCAGCAAATCACAGAGATGTTTGGCTATGACATGGTCCTTCCGATGAACACCGGTGCTGAAGCCGTGGAAACCGGTGTGAAGTTGGCGAGGAAGTGGGCTTACACCCGCAAGGGGGTTAAGGAAGGCGAAGCCATCGTGCTTAGCGTAGAGGGTAACTTCCATGGCCGCACATTAGGCATAATCAGGTAATTGCACGTCTCGCGAGCTTCTGGTATTGGCGGTTATTAATTCATCCTGTTCGCTCCCAGCATGAGCACTGACCCAGAAAGCCGAGGTGGCTTCGGGCCTTATTTGGACAAGGTTGGGCCCACGTTTGATGACGGCGGGAAGATGAGAACTATCAGATATGGCGAAATATCTGACGTGAGGCGCGCATTGGAGTTATATGGAGACAAAGTTGCCGCATTCCTCGTGGAGCCCATCCAAGGCGAAGCAGGGTGAGTTAGTTCCTATCCTTCGGTGTAAGTTATAATTGACTTTGATCAGAATCGTCGTGCCTCCTGAGGGGTATCTGTCGGAAGTTCATGCCTTGTGTAAGAAGCACAACGTTCTCTTAATCTGCGATGAGATCCAAACCGTCAGTCGCCGTGCACGTCTTCTGGAGAACTAACAACCGACGCCGTCTTATTAGGGCCTCTGCCGAACAGGAAAGATGTTGGCATGTGAGTACGATAACATTAGACCAGACGTCATCCTTTTGGGCAAGGCGCTCTCCGGCGGAGGTACGGATTTTCCGCCCACCATTTCGCACCCCCCGGCTTATCTTCTTTTGTAGTTTACCCCGTCTCGGCCGTTCTTGCCGACAAGGACATCATGCTCTGCATTCAGCCTGGGGAGCACGGAAGTACATACGGAGGGTGAGACTTTTTAAAACGGCGTTTTCAGAGGATCTGATGATTTCATTTATTGCAGAAATCCGCTTGGTTGTGCAGTAGCGATGACGGCATTGCGTGTACTCGTGGACGAACAATTGGCGTCGCGTGCTCAAGTTCTCGGGGAGAGGTTCCGCAATGCCATCACTGCCTTCGAGAGTCCCCTCGTTCAGACTGTAAGAGGGCGAGGGCTGCTTAATGCCGTGGTTATCAACGAAGGTGTAAGCAAGAAGGGCAGGACGGCGTGGCAATTTTGCCTGCTGTTGAAGAGCCGCGGTGTTTTGGCAAAGCCAACTCACGTCAACATGTGAGCAATGCCTTAGTGGGTCATCTAGTGGGGTTTTCTCAATTTTCACCGTGCGTAGCGTCCGCTTTGCTCCTCCTTTGGTCATTTCAGAGGAGGAACTTGATCAAGCGCTAGAGGTAATTAAGCAGGCCCTGGTTGATCTTGATGAGGTAAAACTCCTGTGTCTGTTTTTGCGCGACCAACCGCTGACAGCCATCTATCAGCTCGATGAGATCCCAGGCGAGGTGGACAGTGAAAAGGGACACACCGATACCTTAACCCTTTGATTCACTGTTCAATGGGGGCCCCCAAATTGACGATTGTCGGGCAGCACTAAGTTTATGCAGCGACGCCCTAATGCGCATCGTAATGTAGTACTTACTTTCATGTAGCTTGTAGTACTTTCTATGACCACGCCGTGAGGTTTGTACGAGAATAGAATTGGTGTATTAATAGACATTCATACACGATTCATACTGCTAATGAATATATGTACGGATGTTGAGCACCTCGTAAGGTCGACGTTCATAAAAATAAGAAAGCGGCCGAAATAAATGCACAGTGTTGCTCTCCCCCGGTATTAGCAGCTTCCTTCATCGGTGAAATCACTGCCGATTGGGAAGTGAATAGGTAGGGTAAAATCAGGCGTAGGTAAAGTGTAACGAAGAATGCGAGGAAGCTGGTACAGAAAATGAAACATTCACGGTGTAACGTCCTTCAACGCTTGCGAAGCTTGAGGGAACTGCAGACGCCAGTCGAAAGAAAATTTCAGAGATAAGGTATTTATACCCCTGTCCTTGTTGAGGGCAGGTCTTCCAGATAGACGCTCAGGCACGAGCAGCCGTGGGTGCTCCCACACTCGGTATAAATTCAACGGAACACCTCGGCATTGAGCATCAGGACTTCTTTCGAAGAACCTCGGTCGCGCTTTTTGCTCCACCGGACGCGCTTCAGATCATCGGTGGGTACTGGAAAGGACCTCTGCACTTTCCACATGCTCTATTGACGCGACATTCAGCATTGTTTACATGGGTTCCAATCGGAGGTTCTTGGCCAATAAGGCAAAACCTTCAGTCGGTCCGAGGCAGTAAGTCAATCAATTTCGTAAACTTTACACGATTCAACTCGTACGACCATTGACTCTGGAATCCTCACTGCTCTCCAGCATGTCGAGCGCGTCCCCAAGCACGCTGCGGCAACGAACTGCGACATCCGCGGCAAAGGAGCCTACGCCAAACACAACTCTGAGCTCAGGCGCCGATGAGCCTGTTAAAGCAACCCAGGATGAAGTGGTATGGGGAAAAACTCCCAGTGGCGAAGGTACATACCTTTCAAGTGATTTTCCGAATTCATATGCTTATCATAGTCTAGTATTTCGTGTTCCTGTGACATATGACGTCCTGACATTGTTCCATCCATCGTATCCTAAATCGCATCTGGATATCTTTAACCTGAGTCTTTTGGGCTTGCAACTTGTTCTTTTTGCATTGCTACCCCAATCCGTCTCGAGGGTCTTCTTTGTTCTCTACTTCGCGTTCTGGAGAGCTGCATATGATGCTGGCCTTGGCTGGGTCTTGACGCAACAAAGCAAGAAGAAATGGATTGTCAGACAAATCCAGAAGCTGGGTTGGCTGGACGAGAAACGCTGCCCCAAGATGCGAGCATGGATCAGAGACCAACTAAAAGGCAAGATGGGGAAAGACTACTCTTTCGACGTGAGGATTTCTGGTATCTTTCTTTTCGAGATCCTGATCCCTCCCCCAGGAACTTCCCCTCGAGTATAACACCTGGCTACTTTTCCGCCAATTGGTAGATGTCATCTTGCTCAAGTATGGCCTCGACTTGTCTTTACGTCCAATACTGACGCACGTTTCTGTTATCAAGTGATTTCTTAGCGTACTGCATGTTTGCGTTTACGTGTTTTCGCGTCCCTCAAGGGTTGTCGTTGGGCGTTCACGTATTAAGGTAGCTCGGCAAACCCCTGACGCGTGGATCGTATAAATAACTTCCCTCAGATGGCTAGGAGGCATTGCCCTTATTCTGTTCAATCTTTGGGTCAAAACAGAGGCTCACGACGTCGTCAAGGATTACGGATGGTACTGGGGTGATGTATTCTTCCAGCGTGGCGCCCTCGTCTTCAACGGCGTATTTGAATTGGCACCCCATCCAATGTATTCAGTTGGTACGTCGCCGTTACCTTGGGGTTTCCTAGTTGCGCTAATAAACCGTAGGTTATGCCGGCTATTATGGTCTCTCCCTCTTATCTGGCTCGTACGCTGTCTTGTTTGTGAGCCTTGCTGCACACGCAGCTCAATTTGGCTTTTTGGTCACCTTCGAGAACCCTCGTAAGCTTCTTTTGTCGTAGACGCCGACACTGAGCGCCTCATGTCATTCCAACGAATTTCCTAGATATCGAAAGGACGTATGGTCAGCGAAAGCCCATTGCTCAGCGAACGCCGTTCCTTCCATCGGCGGCTTCGAAGGCAACTCTTCCCAAATCCTCTTCACCCCTTGCAACTGCTGCACACTCGACGCCTGATGTCCCTCAGAGACGTCGACAGCCAAGTGACCTGGATGACATTCTTTCGACCCCTTGTGCTACAGAGGGCGATACGGCTACTGAAACCGAACTCGAAACTGAGGTTGAAGATGTACATATGGACCCCGTCACGATAGGGAAGATAGCCAAGGGCCAAATCTTCATGCAGTCATCTTCCAACAGCGGTGCTTCAACTCCCGGAGACGGACCAGCGACTCTTCTGTCTGGTGGCAGGAAGGTGCTTTCACAGCATGACTTACTTAACAGGTACTTCCGCAGAGATGCCGTGGTCTTCTACAATGTAGATGTCTTCCGGTGAGATTCGCAGTTACTGTCCTTGGTCCAAGTGTGAACTCATCCTTGAACCCCTCGGTAGTGCCAATGACTTCATGTTTGCGCTGCTTATCGTGTATTCCGTCCTATTCGCCCTCCTGCCCTTCTCAAGGATGACAAATTCGATGGTGCTGGCGCTACATTCGACCCACGCGTTCATCTGGTGTATCTTCCATTGCTTTGGTTTGGGTTCTGTATTGAAGGCGCAGAGCGAGAGGAAATTCCTTGTCAAGCACTTTTTGCGCAACTATCATTACGACAACGTTCACAGCAACGGCGCCAGGGGGAGAGGTCGGACGGACGCTATTGCGGAAGCCTTCTCCAACTGGAAAGCTGTCTACAACTTGAGTATGTGTATGACAAACGGTGCGAGGATAGTCCCCCTCCTATCTTGTATATACTAACCTCTCCAAATGCGAAGTGACCTTCATGAGTGTTGTTTGGAAGACATACTCAATCCCACACGACTGGACAGTGGGAAGCGAGCTGCTCAGACATACTATTGGCGTCGTAAGTGACCATGTCCGCTATGGGGTTGGCTGTGAGCTGACCTTAAATACAGATCCTTTGTGGCCTGCATGTGTGGTCAACAAGGGAATCGTTTGAGGTCCTCGGTGTTTTCGGTTCGCTTCGAAATTGTCTGTCCGCCGCTCCCTGGCTCATCGTTATCATACAGGCTGGTTCTTTGGGGATTTCTTTATGGAGGAGTTCCCTACCAACCTGGAATATACTGGGATTTACAGGTACTGCCTTTAGCGTTTACATCCCTTCCCTTCCCTGTCACTCAGTTTTTCAAGGTACTTGAATAATCCCGAGGTCATGGGAGGCGCTGCATGGTTCGGCGGAGCGCTCATCAGTGGAAGTAAACTGGTCTTATCGCTCGCTGTCATGAGGCACCTTTCCCACTGGTGGTTCTTGAGTTACGTGGAAAAGTCAGCGGTCCTTTTTATATTTCATATTACCACTACTGACTGACCACTTCACAGTCCGCACATGCGTAAGCTATACGGAGACTCGCTCCGTAAAGATGCTGGATTCGTCAAAGTAATGAAGACTGTCGCCAGTCGAAATGCCCAGTTATTGGAGTCGCGCGCCGGGAAACACGCACCTGAGCTACGCCGCGTAGCTAAGGAGGTTAAGGGCACCTTCGATAAAGTTTTTGAAGAAACCGCCGAAGCAGTTGAAGACTTCTTGGCGAAGTGTACGCATCTCCGACGCTCCATTCAGTTGACGCTAACCACCTTTACAGCTCGGCCACGGATTTCTGAAGTAGTTCAAGATACGAAAGTCTTACTCCAACAGTCCAGAGAGCGCCTCGTTATAACGTACGTGTAAAGCCCGTTCTACCGGGTACCTGGCTCATTTCAGTTCATTAGTCGCATTTCAAGCGATATATCGTCGTATGACACCACAAAATATAGACTTTCCATCATTCCTCACTCCCCGGATGAATCTCTCCGTTTCCATATAGGTGAACCGATCAAAGTAAAATGGCAGGCTCCTTCCGTACACTCGCGGCGTGATTGGATCGGAATTTATAGGGTATGTTTTGCAATGCACCTAGTAGCGATATGTTCGTTTACGTCGCGGCCGACAGGTGGGTGCCAACAAGTCAAAGCTAGTAACGAAGACCTCTTCAATGGGGATGTGGGTCCCTGTCCACGACGATGAATGGGACGGCGACATACCCTTGGGCCGTGATAAGCCCATTGCGCCACAGCATGAAAGCGAAACGGGGGTGGTTGTCTTTAAAGGTGACGCACTGCCTTGGCAAGTTGGAAAATACGAGGTGAAAAGAACCTTGCTCCATCCATTTCTTAGTGCTGAACCATAGATCAGGTGAGATATCACCACGACGGCAAATATAATGTGATGGGCATCGACGGACCGTTCGAAATTTACGGTGCGTTATCCAGACGCTCAGATTCGCGTTAGTCTCATGTCTCTGACCCTATCATTAAATCTAGCGAATGCGCCCGCCACACTCGACTTCGCCTCAGTCAGGGAATGCCTCATGCAGATCGTGCCTCTCTGTCTCGATTCTGACCCTTCCCTGATTCCGCTGTCTTGCAAAGCTCCTCCGACGTCGGGAACTGAAGCGTCGCTTTCTTCGGAGTATCAAGGGGCTCGTGACCCAGATGACTTCAGTTTCTGGTCGGAGCGTCAAGCAAAACGAATCAGTGCTGTCATAAAGCAGACCTTTGACGAGGAGTATGCACCGGAGGTGATTGTCGCCGACGCGAACTTGACCACTCTGGCACATCGGATCTTACTTTCCAAGGAGATCTCCTCTTAGTCCGTAGATTTACATGGATGTTTCTACCGCGTTCATCTTGAAGCGCCTTTTAGAATTTTCATGACCGATAGGCCAGCCCCTATCTAACGTCCCTTTCATTTCAACCTTCACATACTCGAGGTGAACTCCAAAGAATCAAATGGCCACCAAGTCGCAGTTTTACCTTTCTATGTGTGCCGAGGCGGCGTCGAAGGCAAGGATCAACCTTCTGATGTCGATTCAATGTTCTGAACCGATATCTGATCAGTCACCGATGAACTTCAACCTCGGTTCAATCATTGTCAAGGGTGGCAAGGTTCTATCCTCAGGATACAATCACCAGCGGTCCCATTATGACGAAGCTTATGACAACTCCCTTGCAACGCCGCTGTCCATGCACTCCGAGATGCATGCTATCTTCAAATTTACTCGGGGAAAAGCACCTTCTTTCAAGCAACAAACAATGGTACATTGTCGTGCCGGGGAACGCGACGGTCGTGCTTTCCGAAAACTACATGGAGTTAAACGGCGGGTTCAATGCCCTCCGGGACGACATGCAGAAACCGTTGCAGAAGGGCTGTTCTGATCCAAGGTACTCGGACGCAGGCCGTGGCCGCGGTTCCCCGAGATCGTCTCAAGAGCAAAGATCGATATGCTCTGAACCGTCTCAGGATTTACCTCTGGTGGAGCCGCTCCGAGATCACAGGCTGAATGGAGCCGACTTGTATGTGGTACGAGTAACGAAGGTCGGATTGGGCTCAGCTAAGCCGTGCAACCGATGGTAAGTAATCGCAGGGATCACAAGGTACATATCTTATATCATTGACAGTGTGTACTGGTGTCGGTGGGCGGGGATCAGACGCATTTACCACTGGGATCAGGGCAGTTCGGCGTTTCTCTGTGTCAAAGTCAACGACTACGGGACAGAGGGTTACGAGACACGAGCAGATGACCTACGCCGTGTGTCTCCGAGCCGAGTTTCAAAGACAAAGGCTGTTTGCGGGTGTACTGCGGAGTAGACCACGAAGCTCGTTTCGTTCACATGGAATCATATCGTTTCTCAGGTTGCCAACAGCGCAGGAAATAAACTAATTGAGTAGATGGGAAACAACCGTTGACCGGTAACTATCGCTTGCTAATCAATGAACTCGTAGCAACCACCCTCTCTACATCACGGCATGTTAGGCTGTATCGCGTCCCCCGTTTCAATGACCCGCCCGACTCCACGACTTGTTTAATGTCTGGATCCGTAAGTTTCGTCCAGTTGGCAATGGACGCGTTGTAGGGAGAGACAGTGGGCGGTGATAAATCTCCCTTTGGCCGAAATTCATCTACCTCTGTATCATTGATTCCGTGGAGGTGCGTTGTATAGAGTTGTGATCGAGTAATGACCACACTGCGCGGTTCCAAGAGTAGTGTCAATACAGGGGTAGGGTTGATTGCCCTTCCCTGTGGGGCGTTTTGCGAGTGAGGCGTCGCGTCATCGCTCGTATATTCGTAGTAATTGAATACCGTGTGTGAACCTAGTGAGATCGTGGCGACCACGGGATAGTAAGATGGCCCATCTTCGTGTGGCTAGCATACCATACGTCGTCCGTTTCAGCATGTAAAGTCGTGATCACATACCATGATACCGTGTCCGGGTAGGTACTGTAGCAATTTGACAGCGGTCAGAATAGGGAAACCACGCCGATATCAAGCCCCTACCTCGTTGAGTATGACGTGATTTGGTCCTTCATGCGGGGAGGAGCTGAACGCCTCTGTGGCCCGGAGCCGCGAAATTAGGTCAGGGCTACATCAAGAGTTCATAGTTTAAATTTGGGAATATTTGGTGGAATATTACTATGAATTCATCCATGTGGGCATCTCTTGGGAGAGAAGTACATTCTTTTTTGTTAATTCACCGCCTATGGCATGGTCGTTAAACCGTGGGTGCACTTCCTCGAAGCCGACCGCCTACCGAGCAGTTGAAGTCTGGGCGGATAGGGTGAGCTGTTCCGTCGAATTTATTTTGCCTAATTGATGGCCAACTTACCGTCTGTTTGCAAGCTGCCTCCATTTCTGGCGAGGCGCTTCCAGAATCTGCATCGGTAGTACGTTCCATCTATCAGTTGAATCCATGGATCACGATCAAACAAACCTTTCTTATGAGGTACGCTTCCTCTACTTCATTGATGAAGTTGGGAATATAAAAAGCATCTGATTCTGCGATTCGATATTCCTGTAAATTGAAGGGCATGCTCAGCGTGGCTTGCACAAATGCCAGCAGTGTATTTGACGGCGTAGGTAGAGTAAATAATTGCCCAAATGTTTGGGCGACGCCACTCCGTGGCTGAGAAAAGATGAGTGCTAGGACAAACGACCGTGACAGGGACGGACTGATCGTCTTACTGCCAGCCACTGATCATCCAGGCTGGATGTATTCATGAAGTTCACACACTCGGCAACGGCCGGGACAGCCCGGACTCTTTACCTCTTACTTACAACTAACGTGTACAGCACAATGCATGAATTCCTCGTTCCTACGGCGCGCGAATGCAAGTTGCTGTTTTCGGCGGTCAGACGAGGGCTACCTCCGGACGTGGGATTATTTCTGAGTCTATGCCGTACTACATATTGTGTCAACTCTATTGACGTTTTCTCCTTTTACGCGACCTGGGCCACGGTAATCGGCTTTACCGCTGCCATATCGCTGATTGAAAAGGTAAGCAAGCACACCCTAATTTGGCGCCACTGACTTCAGATCTTTCCGCTCAGAAGCGTCCTTGTCGATTACAATGATCTCCTCCGTTGACTTGTGGCTTTGCCCTGGCGTGGTATAGCCTGCAGGCTCGACGAGTTGGCACCTCTTGAATGAAATGTCCGAACGGCTGGTCATCTCCAAGTTGAAGGCAACACTGCCACTTGCACCTTCTTTAGTTAGGTCCAGTACACGCTGGCAAGATCGGTCACGGCTATTCGAGCCATCGTCTCCCAACTTCCCTCAGACCAACGCTGAGCGGTTAATGTCGGACTAATGTCCTTGCCACCCAAAGTAATATTATTAGCCTCCCACCATCACAGCATACTGCCATTTCGAACGTCCGGGATTGGGCGTCGTCTCGAGTCCTCAGGACCTTCGGACGCAGGCGGCCGTAGGAGTAAAGGTGAGCATGAATTATTAGAGAGGAGGCTGAAGTGTATCTACTGAAGGCAACTACATGCGTTTCAACAACAGGATATTAAAAACAAGGTACATTGAGAGGTTTAGTGACTAGGGGATCATGAAGAAGGCCAAGGGTCAGACTCAGGCTCAAGCCTGAAGTGAGGCGCAACGGCCGATTAGGGCAATGCCTACTTCTCAGCTGAGTTTCTGCGGGTGAAAACAGATGAGTTTCCGTACACTTTCTATCAAAATGGACTTACACCGGGGTATAGTTGCATGGGAATCCACGACGATTGCAATTTCCACAGGTTGGACGTACGCCATCGCACTTCAGCTTTCGACCTGTCAATCGGTGTGAGCGCATGCGAATGGGTAAAAGAGTGCTGGTGGCGACCTCGGCAGAACTGACATGCCATCGGCGTCCTTCTAGGGACACGCGGGGTGTCCATGTCGTCGTCCTGTTGGGGGCGGTTGTTCCCTGTCTACACGAGCCACGACATCAACGGGAGATAGCAGTAGAGAAAATGCCCACATACTTGGGTCGAAGACATCGCGACTTGGAGAGAGAGCTCGGTTATCTGGATGCAGTGGCTTATTGGTGAGTGACTGCTGTTGACTATCCTGATTATATACTACCCCACCAGCATTGTGACGGGTCTAATTCTCAGTATATCGGTATAATCGTTTTGGAACTCAAAATCGTCACGGAAGATGTAAACACATTATCAAGGGAAGCTTCTTGGCAAACTCGAGCACCTTTGTTCAACGAGTCAGCTGGAATCGGACCCTTACGTGGAAACTTGAGTCGCAGGTGGATTTAACTCTATTAGATTATGTGACCACTTTGTTTGAGATGGCCCGGTGTACTTGTTGTACGATCGGCGGATCCCTGCAATGCTGCGCTCTCTATTAGCACCATATCTAGACCAGTGTGACGTTCCAGAACAGAAACCTCACCTGCCAGAGCACAGTGGCCAAGGCACGACAGAAGTCGATTGACAACCGAGCGTGACAGGCTTTAGATTGAAGATCAACAGGCAAAGGGAACTACACTGCCTAAAAATTAAGACTCATCTAGTGGGAACAAGGAGTGAAGGCCGAATAATTGAAAACACCACTTTACGGCGTCGTGAGCGTCAAAGGTTGTGATCGCCGACCGTTCGACTTTAAGCTATGTGGATCAAATCCAAACAACGGCATTTTTGGGAGATTTAAGGGATACGATTGCCAGTCGTGATCATTGGATGGAATCTACCGTAGAAAGTGGATCCTGTCAAACCCGCTCCCGTGCTGATTTTTGGAGTGTGTACTGAGCAACAAGTATTTACGTCCAGGGTCGCTCCTTCGAACATAGAATTCCGCTTGGTGCCTCACTGGATTCACCTTACCCCAGGCATTGACCGATATCAAGCCGTGTGCGACATGCGAGAGCCACTCAAGTGGATCGCGTCCGAGAGAGCCGAGGTGTTATCGAATCAGGACTAACGGGAACCCAGAAATGCAAAGCTTGCATGAAACTAAGTTGGCCTTGCGGACATAAGATACGGTGTTAATGGTCTGTGCGACGGTGATTAGAAATGGTCTACACACCTTGAGTTTGATCAGCACACATGGCTTTGCGTAACTCTTGGCTATGAACGCTTCTTGGATGTAAACACGCAGTACAGAAGCTTCGTTATTGAGGCGGGTGATCGCGAATTACAATTCCAAAGTGGGCTGAACTGCCATTAATGGGAACAACCTCAGCATTTATGGCAGCGAGTTGCGCAGAAAGCTGAACGACCAATTTTGGGAAGCCTATGGCCCTATTCGAGGGTAGAATAGGCTTCATTAGGGCATGTGAGTAACCATCCACCCTAATTCGAAAGTTATGTTACGAGTAGCTGACCCCCACGACGCACGCGTTGACTGAGGTGCCGGCGATATATGATGTCTTCGATGTTGCGAATAGGTTGCGAATCCTGATTGATGATTCCTTGCAAGCGATAGAAGCAACCCTTGTGGATTTTTATTTCGGTGGGGTGAAAATTTAAAGGCCGAATGACGAGAGGGCGATCAAGTTACTTGGGGATTCTAAGAATATGCCTACAAACATGGGCACAATGCGAGATAATCGCCGTTCAAAAATTCAAACCCCTGAACGTGGACCGGGCTACTGCCGAAGCTGCTTATGTCATCACCAAGCCAACAGCTGTAACGGATTGGGCGTCGTGACTGACACGACGACTCTAACGACCAGCACAAGTTTCTCATTCTCCATCGTTATGGCTGACCCAAGCTCCATGGTGAAGCCCAAGGCCGACTCGACTGCTGCTGTCAGCTCAGACTCTGCAGCAGGCACGAGTCTGTCTTTCGCGCAGGCGATTGAGCAAACCACTGCCGAGGCGGAAGTGAGTGTCCATGGAACTTCGTCTTAAGTCAATTGTCTGAGCTCACGTACTGCTGACTTTAGTCGAATATATTCATTGCCGCCCAGCGGGGAGATATTGCCCTAATACGGGACCTGATTGAATCGGGTCGTGCCACAGCTACCGACCGAGACGAGCAGAACATAACGCCGCTACATTGGGCTGCAATCAATGCGCAGGTCGCGACCTGTAGATACCTCTTGGAGCAGGGCGCCGAGGTGGATGCTCTTGGAGGTGATCTGGTCGCAACACCCATGCAGTGGGCTGCGCGGAATGGCTACCTCTATGTTATTCAGCTTCTTATTGCACACAACGCGGACCCTACGATAGCCGATTCCCAAGGCTACAATACTCTTCACCTCGTCACTCATTCCTCTTCCATCATGCCCCTCCTGTATCTCCTACATCAACCAATAAACGTCGACTCCAGAGATGCGCAAGGTCATACGTCTTTAATGTGGGCGGCATACCAGGGGGATTCTTTATCAGTCGATCTACTGCTCAAGCATGGCGCCAGTCCAACTACGAAGGATGACGCTGGTCTTACGCCCTTGCACTGGGCCGTTGTTAGAGGGAATCGACCGTCGATACGGAAACTCATTGAGAAGGGGGCTGATATCAATGCAAAGGACGGAGAGGGTCGCACGCCTCGAGACATGGCCGTGGAATTGAAGAGCTTGGGTGCGTGGAAGCGTGCTTTGGAGGAAGGTGGCATGAATGAACACGGGGTAAAAAAGCCAAAACCTCTCAGTGACGTTGGTGAACCATTCTTCATTCTTAGATTTGGCTGATCCGCTTTGCTCTAGCGCAACACCAAGATTGCTATATTCGTACTACCCACCATATTTTTCTATCTAATATTTACCACTTTAAGCTGGCTTCCGTGGTATACGGGAATAATACTTGCTATGGCCGAATTCTTTGGCATGCACCATGTACGTACACTTGGAATATGCTTTCTTCGTTTTGCTCACTCTATTATACAGATTGTGACAAGAGTACTCCTTAACAAGAACACCTACACTGATAGCGTTCAGCAGACGCCCTACTTCGCAGGGATAATAGCGGGGTCTATGATCTGGGTTCTGTATTGTTGGGTAACTCGTTTGCTAAATCGTATGCCTTTGCTGTGTTTCAAATATCCTTGCTCATGCTTTACTCCCTTCTAGAGACCGAGTCTCACGCTTTCACTCACTTGAGCTTCGGTCTAGCTGTGGGCCTTTGTGCTTATAACTTCTTCCGCGCTATCACATTGGATCCGGGTACATGTCCGAAGCCTGCTAGTGACGGCGAGCTTAAGTCGGTGCGTGAATGTACTTCGTACTATTCCTTATTATGCCTCAATATTTTCTCTTCAGATTATCGAGGATCTCGCTTCTGAGGGCCGACTAAATGGCCAGACGTTTTGCATCCAGTGCATGGTAAGTATTTGGGGGTATTGAATACACGAGTGGCGCTAAGTGTTTACTTTAGGCTCGAAAACCCCTACGATCGAAGCATTGCCGTGTGTGCGACCGCTGTATCTCTCGGAGCGATCAGTGTGTGATATTTCTCCCTCCTCTTCGACCCCGTTGACAAGCTAACTCCCATTCAGTCACTGCCCGTGGGTTTGGAATTGCGGTGAGAATGGCTTATCAGCACGCGCTTGCCAAGTTTCTCATATTTGCACCCCTAGTCGGCATGAATAACCATCGCCAGTTCATTCTCTTCGTGACGACGCTCGTGATAGGGATCATATTGTTTGATTATTTGACATATGCATGTCAGTGTAATTTCCAGATACCCTGGCGCCATCTAACTCGCCACTCTAGTCTTCTCTGGAATCAGTGTGTCAAGTAGCCCTGCTGATATCTCACCCTCATGCATACTACCCGCTGAGCTGTGTGCCATCACAGCGTACGACACGTTCCTCGTTTCCGTTGCAATGTGGGCAACTCTCCAGCTGTCCTGGACGATTGTCTTGCTCGCAAGTCAATTCTGGCAAATAGCACGACAAATGACAACTCTTGAAGTGTCGAACCTTGGGCGGTATGGATTCATGGGCGGTCGCGGTGGTTCCAGCCTTAGTGGCCAAGCAGGCCATCGCCATTCCCACCGTGGTGCTGATACCGAAGATACGGCACTGGTCAGCGACGCAGCTAGCTCGCATACGCATCACCATGGCGCCCCATGCGCCGGATGCGGAAGTGGGTTCCTCATGAACCTGCTTGGACTCGATAGGTTTACCAAAGGCAAGGCTGTGGACGGCCTAGCACGCGCAAGTAAGGCGAGCAATCCATTTGACTTGGGCCTAGTTGGAAATTGCAAGGACTTCTGGTCGGCTGGGCGGGAATTAGGCGTTGAGTATGAAAAACTTTATGATGTGCCTTTGGAAGGCTTCCGAGAAGCCAAGCGCCGCCGGGAACGGGAGGATGCTGACGAAGATAGGGTCTTAGGCGGGCGTAAAGGGTTACGGAAGACTCTCTTCATGGGCCTCGGCTTGGGCAGTAGCAGTCGAGCTGGCTATGAACCAGTTAGTCAGGTGTAGACGGACCTCTTTGATGACATTGTGACGACCATACGTGTATTGGTTTTGTATTATTTCTGACCGGCCCCCACTAATATAAAATGGCGGTGTACGCTGGTATCGTGATACCCTTCATGCTTCTTTGTGCAAACAGGAAGTGGTGCAGTTTTTCGGGAGCAATACGCAGTTAGAATTGACGGTCGGCGGTCGCGGCTCGGTGTATTGTCAGTGAAAGAGCTGGGATGAAAATCTATGCTTCTACGCGCAACTTTGACATCATCATAAATTATAAGATGACATACTATGCACACACAAAGGATAGCTTAAATTTTGTGATCCGTGAGTTATACTCAACTAATGGAGACATGAGAGGTCAAGCGGCTGGACCGTTGGAGTATCTTTTCATGCTATAGCTTAGCACCACAAAAAAGTACATATGGGGACAATCGTCACCACGTTTCCTACTCAGCCTATCTTCATGGGGCCTGCAAGCAGTTCAACTCAGCCGCTTCACGCTCGACAAGGGAGCTGGGAAATCGGCGTAAGACTTGTGACCGCGTATCAGGCGCTACCACTGAAGAATGCTGCCGTACACACTATAGCGGGGCGCTCACTTCTTGCTCTCGGCTTGGGGCGCCGATAGACATGTAGCGGGGAGAATTATTATGTCCTGGTATATGATGGGCGTTGCCGGATATCTCCAGTGTGGTGTGTTAGTCCCTTTTATCAGCGGTGCATTTGGGCGTCCCAGCCTTCGCCTCAACGGGTGATCTACGGCTTCCACCACGTTTTTCGGGAAGCTGTGGCTATGAGTCGAACCTAGTAGAATGTTCCCACGCATTTTCAAACCCAGCGAAGCATTCCAACTTGAACATCCACGTGGCTACTGGAACTCTCTCGACTGTTCGACAAACAACTCAATTTCGAGAACTCTCCCAGAACTCGCCCGAAAGATACCATGGAGTTGTATAAAGCGGTGAGCCCCAGATCCTTTATCTATATCAGACACTCATCCGATGTTCAGCTACAACCCTTACCAATCGAGTTACTACTCTCCCTACGACAATTATTACCCTTCACCATCCTATGCTCGAACGCGAGCTTTAGCTCAAGAGCGTGCCAAGGCTGAGCTTCGCGAGCGGTCGAGAGCGTTGGCTGCTCAGCAGATGATGCGAGACCGATACCTCGTTCCCGAATATGAAGAAGATCGCAATTCTAGCGACGAGGAGTACTCCGGGTATGGCGCCGGGGACTATACGCCTTACGGTTACGCACCGGGCTACGGTTCTTCATATGATCTATCTCCACGCGAACGAGCCTACCTGCAAGCAAAATACCGGGACGAGAGGGAGAAGAAGGAGCTTTTAAGACGGCGATTGGCTCAAGAGGAGCTATTACGCAGACAACAGGCTGAAGAAGCCTCCCATACTGTGAGCCCCTTCTAGATGAGCTCGGTTTGTTGTGTGCTCATTAGGCCATTTAGAGTCGATCTCCTTCGCCGCGGAAGCATACCATCCCTGTTCGCTCACCATCTCCGGAACCTTGTCCTCAGCATCTTCCATCTCCGCCCCATTCTCGCCAGGCCTCGCCTAGACGTCAGGCCTCGCCCCAGCAATCGAGCTCCCCCCATGTGGGCTTAGCTGCTCCCATCGAGAAGCTGAATGAAGCCGCTTCGACCATCCAACGCGTCTACCGTGTCCATCATGCGCTCCGGACCGTGAAGTCACTTTCTTCGCAGTTTGAACAACTTCGCGACAACTTCCAGCGACCGAGTAGATTAGACTTCCAAGGACCTGGCAGTGAAATCATCACGGTTGACGTTCATTGTCCTCCCGCTTCCCTTCCTCCAACGTTGCCGAAACTAGCGTATACTTCCACCAATGTACCACTACATGGTTATGTGGAGTCGCTCAACCGCCTTCTTGTTGCCCTGGATGCTGTTGAGAGCCACGGGGCGAGGGAGGTCAGGGATGTGCGGAAACAAGTGGTTCGAATGGTGGAGCAAGAGGCATCAGCGATAGAACAGTGGTGGAAGAACATTTGGGAGAAACGCGATCCTGCGGTGGAAGAGACTGAAGGATCTAGGAACGACCATGCGGCGGATGAGCGTGCAGCGATCTGCGAACCATCGGCCGCATCTGATGCTACTCAGGAACATGTCGACCACGACGACGACATGCGCGTCGACGAAGACACTGCGGCGTCAATCACCCCAATAGTGGGCGAAACTGCTTCGCCCCATGTCACGCCACCGTCAGATGAGGGAGCGCAGAGTCCCCTGGCATTATAAAGGGTCTTTGGGCCCTTTCTATCTGATTTCTACAACAGCACAGCTCGCCTTGTTTGACATATATCCTAGTATTTTTTTCATCACAACATAAACATCACGACATAAATTCAATCGCACTGCATTTTAGGTCTTTGTATCAATACTTCCTCCGTTACTGAAATATATCTATATTCTATTATATTCCATCCATGCATCATCAGGTTGTATTCACACTCCGAACACCCCCTGTCGACTTGCGTTGCCATCGAGTATCATCGATCATCCTCGCGAGCCTACGATTGATCTTGAACTAAAATGAGTAGTCAATTTGTGAGTGCATCCTATAAGTACAATATGTAGACTAACTCGCAGCTTCGTTGAAACGAAAGAAACGTACTTGCGCGTTCACTTTCGCCTGACGCTTGAATTGCAGGCTGACCTCTAGGTTTTCGTTTGAGCAGGTCGAAGGTACAATTTGATTGGGGTAGTCCATCCTCAGTTACCTGATGACATTAAACTGTAATCGTCTAGCAGAATATAGACAGACATTAGCGATCTTTGATAAAGGCAAACCTGAGTATTTGATGTAGCAGGGCCATTATCTCCCAGTGGACAATGAACAGGCGCCCACCAAGCTCATCGTGCAATGTGCGCTGTTTCTCCCACCCTACCTGGCCAATCAATTACCAGAATAGACATTTTCTCCTTGCTACAAACCACAACGTCCTTCTAAGTGCCTGTCGATCCAACCAGAATACTAACAAACAGCATGGTATTGAAAGCTCAGCACCCTGGAGATCATAGTTCGCCCTCTACTGAGCACCAAGGCATAGCGACCACTAACGATGCTTGTGCCAAACCTTGCTGTGGTGGGCTTCGGGCTGATGGTGCCATAGATCAGCTGGATGACCGCCGATCACTCATACCAGGTAAGCAAATCAATCTACCAGATCGCACCCTCATATAGTTATCAATCACACATCAGAAGATGCTCCGGATTATCGCAGCAGTTCTCTATCAGAGGACAAGAACTCTGTCGAGAGGCCAGAAGAAGATGAAGAGGCGTGCGGAAAGTCATGCTGTGAAGACCCTTCGGATGTAGTACAAGATGGTCAGCAAGGAAGTCAATCAGGTTAGACTATGTCCTTCCATCTCACGCAGTACACCATTGACTTGATGAAGCTAAAGCTCAGGGAGACGGTTGCGATTGTTGTCGAAGCGACCCGATGCTAGTGGCAGAGACGAAGGCTTCCTTCGATCAGCCAGACGACGCGTGTGCGAAACCTTGCTGCAGCGGAACTCCTGCCGAGACTGGTCTTGGGGACGTGTTGCCCGAGGCTGAATCTGGTACGCAGCACTGAAATCTCCTTGCATTCATTGTTGCTCAACTGTGACGGGTTTGTAGGCGACGACGACTGTAGTTGCTGCGGGAGCAGCTTGGCTGAAGTAGCCGAAATGAACGAAGTGGCGAAACCAGACCCCAAGACGCACTGCCAGGATGCTTGCTGTGACTCGTCTAAAGCTACGGCTGGTGTAGACAAATCGACTCCTCCGGGTCTGTTCCGCCATGCTTCTCATTTGTATCACAGTGCTAACGACTAGTTCAGTTAACAATGGATCTACATGCGATTGTTGTGAGATCCTGGCGTCGCCAAACGTCCAGTTAGCTCAGCAACCGCTTGAGATTCGTCCTAATCTTGGACAGAAGAAGCTTGAAGATAAATCGGATTGCTCGTGCTGCATGGAAAAGCGGGGGGCAGTTTTGTATTCCTCAGTCTCGGACAACCCAAGTCCCGCGGAGGTGAAGGATTACATTGGGAGAATGGTCTGCTGCCAGGCTCCCTGTTGCCAGTCGCCTGGGTCGGTCAGTTTCAGCAGGGCATTCACTTCCGTGTCCAGGCGCTTTTTGTCTCAGCTCCGCCGAGCTCGAGGAAAGGCCACTGACGCGCCATCTTGTTGCGCCGAACCTACTGTTGATGTAGGGCTTTCGGAGAAGCAAGCCATTGATTGGGAGGAACCTTCCACCGGGGTGCAAACCCTCTTCATGACGATTGGGGGCATGGATTGTCCATCATGCACCCCTCGAGTTGAGCGCGCCTTGCAAAAACTGGATCAAGTTACAGATATTAAAGTACGAATCATACTGCTATCCTCTTCACCAGTTTCGCTGAAGACATTCGTTAGCTGGATCATGTTTCTGGCACGGCTTCTTGCTCCTACAATCCTTCGATCATATCGCCAGATAAAATCACTGAACACGTCTCCTCTTTAACCGGCTTTACATGCCGACGTCGTATCGGGCTGGATTCTCAGGATCGTATAGTCTCTCTCCGTTTCTCACCAGGCCGTGTCCCATCTCAAGTCCAGCTCCGCCGAACATTTGGCGTCGACGAGGAAGACAAGGAGAATCGGGTGTTCGTAGATCAAGAAGATCCATCAATCGTTGTATTCCGACTAAAATCTTCGGCCCCACCTGGTTCTGCACGCGCTGTGCTTCAGCGCTTCAGCGACGCGGGTTTCGTGTGCGAGCCTACGTTCGTCAATGAGCACGAGTTGATGCGTAAACAAGCCTGGGACGCAGTGATGCGAGGTGTCGCTCGCGCAGCATTGTCTATCTGCTTCCTAATTCCGACCCTCGTGCTTGTTTGGAAGCCACATCTACTCGAAAACGACGTTATCGCACGCGAAAGTATCGTGTTTGGCCTTGCCAGCGCCATTCTCTTCTTAGCCAGCCCGATTCTCGTAGGGGCTTACAAAACGCTTTTCATAGCTCATCATCTCGACGCCGATGTCCTCGTTACCATCTCTGCCTTATCTGCATACATATACTCGCTCATCATCTTCGCCGTTGGCACCGCTTCCGGACATCACATTGGGTTGGATTCGTTCTTTGAAACCTCTTCCCTTCTTGTCACTCTTATCCTCATTTCGCGCGTCGTTTCGGCACTCGTGCGCTGGCTCGCAGTGTCCTCTTACCTTTCTCATGTCTTGGGCAATGATTTACCTACCCATGCGGAATGGGTGGACCCCGCCACACACTCAACGTCCACGCTCCATGTCTCACTCTTGGATGCGGGAGACACCATCATTCTATCCTCGGGCCAAGTATCACCCAGCGACGGGATTTTTATCGATGGGAGGGCTCATTTCGACGAGGCGCTCGTCACCGGAGAGGCAAACCCTGTGTGCAAAGTTCCAGGGAGCGCCGTGGTAGCAGGCTCCCAACTGCTGAGCTCCACTGGTACGGACTCTACCTCACAAGACAACACTGCCCGCGTTACCCTCACGCGCGCCCCTCACGAGAGCAGCCTCGCCGAGCTTCGTCGCATCGTGTCGGAAGCCAGGTCCTCCCGTCCAGCCATTCAAGACATGGCAGATGCTCTTGCGACCTGGCTTATCCCCTGCATTCTGGTCGCTTCTATCGTCGTCCTTGTGATATGGGTACTCGTCGAGGTTCTGGTCCGGCAGAGCTCTGTTGGGCGCGGGTTCTCGCAGGCCCTTACCTACACCATCGCACTCCTCGCGTCATCCTGCCCCTGCGCCCTCACGCTATGCGTCCCATTGGTCTATTGTGTCGTAGTGGCGAAGGTGGCTGTAGGCAGTGGCATTCTTGTGAAAGATGCTAATGCCTTCATTGGGGCAACGAAAGTCACCGACGTCGTTTTCGACAAGACGGGGACTTTGACCACGGGGAAGCTAACTGTCGTGGGGAAATTCATCTTACCTTTTACCGCCACACCCTCTGTTCCAGGTAGGGATGAAGCCGAAGCCGAAGATCAGCCTCTGGAGAAAATAAGCCTCGACCTAGAGCAAGTTGAAGCTTTGGTTTTAGCATTGGTTCTTGATGACAAGCATCCTGTCTCCTCGGGCGTTAGCTCCTTCCTTTTGTCATCACTGAGCAACGCAGGTGCGCCCGGCAAATTGGAGGACAAGAAAAGCATTCCAGGACAGGGGATTTCAGCGCTTTGGAATGGAGACCATGTCGTTAAGGGCGGGCACCTTGCATTCTGCTTAAATGCTGGCGAACCAACTGCAGACGTTCAAGGGGTTCACCCAGACATCGCTCGTGTTGTGTCTTCAGGAAAGACCCTGTTCGTACTCTCGATTGACTCACAAGTCGTTGCGGCATATGCTCTACAAGACATGATCAAACCAGAGGCTCAACATGTCGTACAAAGCTTGCGAGAACGCGGTGTGCGGGTGTCGATGCTCAGCGGGGACAACGACGAGGCTGCATGGGAAACCGGGAAAGTGTTGGGATTCGCTCAGGAGGATGTGCGTGGAGGATGCGCGCCGCAAATCAAACGAGATGTTGTCAGGCAGCTGGTGTGGAAGTCCGAGTGTAAGCAAGAGGAAGAAGATACAGGGACGACCGAATCCACCAACCAGCCTCCTTCGAACTCATACCCATCGATGTTCGGTTGTCTCAACATCTTCACACCAGCGCGTGCGACTTCAAGGTTCGTTATATTTGTCGGAGACGGATCTAACGACGCCGGTGTGCTCTCTCAAGCGAACTTGGGCATCTCCTTCCAGTCTGGCACGACTCTAGCCAATGCTGCTGCCGACGTTGTCCTCCTCTCCTCCCAGTCCTCGCTATCCGATGGCTTGTCAGCCAACTCGGACTTACTGAAGGTTCTAGCTGTCATTGACCTTAGTGGATCCACGAAGCGTCGCATCGTCACTTGTTTTGTGTGGGCTGTGATGTACAACTTCCTGGCATTCGTGCTTTCGTCAGGCATATTGGTTGTGTGGAGGCTCGAGCCTCAGTGGGCGGGTGTGGGCGAATTGGTCAGTCTTGTTCCTGTGTTCTTGATTGCATTCGCACCTCGAAGGAAGCAAGCGGCTTTCGGAGAGTGAGGTTGTTACTCAGGTTCGTCGGAAGTGGGAAGTGGAAGTACTCGGCCTCACAGTCCGATAATCCGCCGCATGTGCCAGATATTGGTTTCATGCCAACATTTCTGGTATTGTGCGTAGGATATTCAATATAAATGTTTGTGTTCACGGTGGGGATCCAGATATCCAACAGTTTGCCAACGGTTGACCAACCGGCACATATAATTTTCTCCCCATCTACGGCGGAGTGTATCTATTTGACTCTGGGGCGCTTTTTCGCTACGAATATTGATTGGGCGGTAAACATCGAAGAAGACGAGAGTGAGAAGCCCTTGGCATCGACATGTTTGTCCGAGGCTGTTATACTGTGCATTGACGTGAAAACCTCTCTCACTTCAACGCATGTCTGCCTGAGGTGAGTATACGCCCGTTTGGCTGCTTGTTGAAGTACTCACTCATTTCCGGCAGGTATACTAGGATTCATACACTCAGCTCAGGACTTGAATATGTCTTTTGGGAAGACCGTTGGCGTTGCTTGCGCGTCTTTCGCTGTCACAAACATCGACGACTTGTTCGTTCTCGTTACGTTCATGACTGAAGCCGCCAGTTCCACCGTCGTAACGCCTCTCAGAGTCGTTATTGGGCAGTGCCTTGGTTTCACAGTCATCGTTGCCCTCAGCTTGATCGGCTGGGGTCTCTCCTTCGGCATCCCTGTAGAACCAATTGGCTTCTTGGGACTTCTTCCCCTCACATTGGGCATATGGAAAGGCGCCGGCCTTTTTACAGCAGATGAAGAGCCTGATACTTCTGACAGCTATGGGATAAAAAGCGTGCTCAAAATCGCAGCCATCACCATCGCCAACGGCGCGGACAACATCGGGGCCTATGTGCCCCTCTTCTCCCAAGCCAAAGGGGCCCAAATTGCCATCTACATCGTCACTTACTACATCTTCCTAGGGATCTGGTGTCTGGCCGCATTCCTCCTCATCAAGGAGCGCCACATCCTCGCCGTCCTCCAACGTTACTCGCCGTATTTTATTCCGCTCCTCTATATCGGCCTGGGTATATTCATCATTGTCAATTCCGACTGCTACCCTTGGTCCATCGAACAGATCGATTTGCATGTCCCTTCACATCCTGGAAAAATCATAATGGGCGTCGTGACAGCCGTCCTTCTGGCCTCCGCCATCGGCGTCATACTGTGGGTTAGATTCTTCCGGCGTAAGTCGTCGAACGCGGACGACCAGTCGTCTATTGCTGAGCAAGGGATTGAGGGCGGAGAGGCTGATACAGTACAGGTGGATAAGGACAAGAGCGCGACGGAGACGAAGGCTCTTGAAACTAGTACACAGCAGGAAAAAGGTGAACAACAGTTGCCCGCCTCGCGGAACTTGGTTGGCTCGTGACGCGTGAAGTATGATCCTCATGCACAGAGTGAGGCCGGCGTAATCATGCTGTCCCGGACTGTGTTGTCCAATATCATTTGTATATTTCGTTTCGTTCTTCCTCTTTGGAATCCTTGGCTCTGTGGCTTCAGCAAGCCAACCATTTCAGTTGCTACGTCGAGTATTCCTACCTCTTCTCAAAAGAAGCTCGTAGCTTCAGTTCTCTACCTCGATGTAACAATGAGGCATGTAGAACTTGATATCAGTGGTGAGTCAGAACGAGCGCAGCAACCAGAGTGACCCCAGTCAAACCATGAGTAGACAAGTTCCACCATGAGGGGTTCAAGATGTTGAAGGGATAGGTATACAACATTATCATTTTTACTCCTTGGTCTATCTACCAAAACCGACTCGCTCATGTGAAAGGAATAAGTAAAAAATACACGATGTAAGCAGGTATTTACTTGAACTAAAATCAAGGCCGCAGCAATCAGCCAGCCTTCGACGCCGAAAACATACGAAGGACTCACGTTCTTGCCATCAGCCCACTTCTTGCCGTCGATCTCAAGATCCCAGGCCAAAGCGGCCTCGAAGAAGGCCTTGTCATCAGCGTTGTCCAAGTCCAACTTCTTGTAGTCGTATGACTCCCAATCGGGGGCGACGTCTACGACGGGCTTGAAATCTTGGCCACGGAGGATGAAAGCACCAGAGATGACAGAGTCATTGGCGACCCCGAGAACACCCATGGACCCAAAGAGGTATTTACGGGATGCCTCCAAGCGGTTGAAGAAACCACCAATCTGGTTGGAGGACATGAACGTTTGTGTAAGCTCATCATTGTACTTGAAGTCCACGCGCCAAACTGAGTAACCCTCCTTGTCGTAGCTGGGCAGAGTGGTCAGACAAGGATCTACGTATAACTCGCGTCTGGATGCACATACTTCTCGTAGAACCACTCGAGGGCACCGCCAGCACCGCGAGTGTCCTTGTTGGAATAGGCGCGCTTCCAGTCCTCAAGGTTTAAGGTTGACTTGGGAAGGTCGTCCAAGGGGTTCTTGACTTTGGGCTCGGCGGGAACGAGAGGTTCATCCTCCTCCTCATCCTCCTCCTTCTTGGGCTTCTTCTCTGCCTTGGGCTTCGGGGCGGGGGCGGCGGGCTTCGCATCCTTCTTCTCTTTGGGAGGAGGAACGTACTGCAAGGCCTTGTCGGTGTACTCGAGAGGGCCGAAGATATCTTTGAGTTTTGGCTGGTTGGCGATGGTTTCGAGATGGCGGATGAGGTTGGGGAGTTGCGCGCGGACTTCAGCGTCGACGTTGATGGTGACAGCACGCTGGACAGCGATGGCGACAGTAAGATCGGCCAGTGTGATGCGTTCGCCGACGAAGAAGGTGTGGTGGAGAAGGTGTGCGTCCAAAGTCTTCAAGGCGCGGAGAGCGCGCTCGGAGGCGGTGGTGTGGAACTAATGCACGCAAAGGTGTCAATTAAACATGGCAGGCAAATACGAAAAGTCGTGACGAACCGGCTTGTTGTAAGGAGTAATTATGCCCTTGCATAGTTGGAAGATGAGGCCGACATTGGTATCAACTTCCGAATCGGCAAGGTGGGCCCACTGATCGACCAATGCGGACTCCTTCAGGTCGGCACCAAGAAGACCGGAGTTGGGTGCCAATGCAGCGACTGGGAACAGAAATAGATTTAGTACAATCTCGATGGGATCGAACGAATTGAAAGGGGTGAAGCTGATCAGGTTTTGTTACAAGTCTCGACATACGCGATTAAGACAGGGATAACTGATAAATCAGAACTCTCATCTTCTAGCCCCCCTTCCCCAAACAAGTAATAACTTAAAAACATAGATCGGGACTCACGATATCGTGCAATAGCGGCTCCCTCGAAGAGAGTAAAGCCATCGGCGCCCTCCCAGGCCGGGATTTTCCCGTGAGGGAACTTAGCGAGGAACTCGGGCTGCTTGTTGGTCTCGAAGTGGGTGTACGAGGCTGGGAGCTCAAAGTTGATCCCGGCGAAGGTAGCAACAGCTCTAACCTACAAACCAAACAAATCGATGAGCAACCGGATTCGATTCGCATAGATCGGACGTACGAGCTTGCCCTTTGCCTGTTGGGGGATGGTCCAGATGGTGCCAGCAGACGACATTTTGGTGGAGGAGATGAGAGAGATTGAGCAAGGATGAAATTTTTGGATGGGAGTCACGAAGGTATGGTATCGCACTGCTGATCTTTAGGGCAGGTCGGCACGGGACTTATCAATCAAATTATCAGATCGACGCCATCGATGGCACACTCGCGTCGTCGAATCAAGCTGATTATAATCCATCCGGCAATGTTTCCTTTCAACTCTCCACCATGAAGGTACTCGATCAGCACCGTCCGGCTCAGTAGTGGCGAGCACGCGAGCGAGAAAGGTACTTGACGACTGTGAAACAAAGTGTCCAGTAAGTGCTAAATCCATTTCGCAAAAGCGATGAAAAATAATCAGAATTTTCAAAGGTCTCGACATGAAATTGTTAAGACAGGGATAACTGAAAATATTTGAAGCTCATCCTGGCCAACAACTGCCTCGACGAGAGAGGAAATCGCAAACTCACCCGGCAGGCGCGTCCATCTCGCTCTGTTACTTAGGTACGATAAGCGCATGGTGTATGCCTGGCAGCAAGACGCAGAGCATGGTGGTGGTGGTGGTGTACAAGAGGTCTTGGGCAGAAAAAATAGGGCCGAATTTTTACGTGATGGGGACCGAAGTTAGGGCAGGTCATTTCGCGTCGCATCTCAAATTTAATGCGTTCACCATGCATAGCGCGTAACGGGACAAGGAATAATGGCTTTTGTATATTCCCGTGTTGTTCCAAGAAATATGGTGCGTGGTGTGCGCCAGTGATCCACCCAAATAATTAGATTTGGTTATCCATCCATGGTCAGAGAGGGTGCGGGCTCTAACTCTAACCTGATCGCTATGAGGTTCGCATGCTGATATCATGAATGGTACGTACAAAACAGCTAATAGATGCACACAACTGTCCGTTTGCTAACAACTAGTCCTACAACAATATCATAACGGCCTAACTCATCTCACCCATCTTCTCTGCACCCCATCGGACGACCAAGGTCGCACCAGCAGCGACGACGAACGACCAATCAAACAACGATCCAAAAACTTCATATTTCGGTATCAAAGAGAACAAATTTTGGGCTTCTTCGCTGGTCTTAGAGTCAGCGGGTGGCGGAGGGAATGTCGAGCGCAGTTGTACGATGGTGGACAGCATGTAGATGCCCTAGATGGAAGGACGGATGAGAGTGAGAGAAATTGATTCTGAGGATAGGCTTACCATCAGTTGTGCTAGAACGAGGAGCATCAACGACGCACCAAGGCTACGATTGCTCACATGTAGAGCCTAATAGCCAACAACACGGTCAGTAAACCCTCGACGAATGAAGATAGATGATGTAGCTACCCTCGTCACTCCGCGTAATACAAGCCTGATGCTGCTGAGTATGATGACTCCTACTAACACAAGACTGATCTGTCTTGACATGCGCGCGACGTCTGCTAAGTTGACCTCGGATGAGATATGCGTCAGCAAGTAGGCTAGGAATTGGGTGATTAAGTCGGGGTAGGAAGTTTGGTGGGAGGTTGAGCGAGACGAGATAATATTCACGATGGACTAATGAGGTGGTCAGCACCATCTAGTCTTTGAATTAAGTAGGTATACGCACGCTGATGACTCTAATGATACAGTAAATGGAGAAAAGTCTTCCGCTGAGGTTGTACAAACGACCTTTCAAGGTGGCCGAGAATATGGCGGTTTGACGGCGCTGCCGGAGCGCGTTTAGGTCAAGGCTCATTTGGTGTTCAAGGGCTTCCAGGCCCTTCAGCTCCTGAAGACCTGCACGGTAGCATGTAATCAGTGACGAAGTGACTTCAAAGCTTGTTGCTACTCACGGTCATCACCTTCGAACTTGGAGAGGAATCGAGAATACCACGTTCCTTGGCCACGATCTTTCGAAGTCTATTCATGATGATGCAAGTAAGCGTACTGATTCGGGGATGGTATACGATAATGAAAGCTGACCTCCGCTCCGCTCGGTACAGAAGAACCTTGAAGTTGTAGCCTCAGTTGGTTGATATCATCGCGAATGCGCGTAAGCGAGAGGTCCGCTGATTTGATGTCGCCTTCTGAAGGTATTGAGGCGCTGTCACAAACACGCTAGTTAGACTGTAGGACGCGCGAATGAGTTTGTTCGCCTACCGGGAACGAGAACTGAATGGGAGAAACGCCCAAGCATTGCTAATTGCACCAAAACCGGAAAGTAAACCTAGCACGATCGTGCCCAAAACATTCAAACGGGATAATGTGGAGGTCCTGATATCTGCGGATAGCGACTCATCCGGAAGGGGTACGTACGAGAACGCCACGAGGAACAGTAGCACGGGGATGACATTGAGCACGAATCTGATCGTGATGGCACGTCTCTTTGCTGTATTTCCTTTGCCAGATGTCGCACCTAATGACAGGACGATGGTCATAACAAGGGGAATCAAAACCAGAAGTAGGAAGATGAAGAGGAACTGCGACAAGATCCAGTTGAGCAATCGCGTTCTAAGTCTGTTTGAATACGTGCTGGACGACACGTTGCATGTCGACGACTGACCGAGAAGAGAGTATATCGAGAGTCTGCAGGACTAAGAGCAGTACAAGGGTCATGCTCTCAGCAAAGCAGGCAGAGAAGGCTATGCGAGAAAGGCGCGAATGGAGGGATAATCGCGGTGCAGAGGGCTTGGGGCTCGTAGGTGGTGATCGGCCCGCTGAAGTTGGTCGAGGCGAGAATGTCGGGAGCGCCACCCACTCAGCATCGTTCTCTACGACACCCTCGGTTTGGGCAGACAGGTGCTGCAGGTCTGCGTAGAGGCTGCTCCGGAGCAGAAATTCTCTACACGCCCATACAAGAAATAGCCTGTAAATGTTCCCGAAGATGAGTCTCTACATGGAAGTAAACAATAGCCACGACGCACCTGAAGCAACATATTCATGATCATCGGGTCGCCTGCCGCCAGCACCATCGGACGCATCGCGCCGACCGGAAGTCAACGCTAGGCTAGCGAGAGATCGGAACGCGAATGGAACTGACAAGGCGAAAGAAAATGTATCGAGTTCGGGATCAGGGATCAGCGGATGGAAGTCACGGAAGAAATCGACGTTGATAGTACAGTTCATTGTTCTATCGCGCCCTCTCTGCCTTACCCTTGAATCGCGCATCCTCCGATCTGTCATTACTCATACATGCCAGTGAATCCGGACTATCTGTTCAAGTTGAATAACACGAGCCACAGTAATCCAATGTACAATGTACAGTAAGTTCCTTCGTCGGAAGTTAGAGGAAACAAAGCCAGGCAGGTTAACGACCGCTCGGCGAGATACAACGGTTCTTTCAGCGGCTGTCCCTTCAGAAGTCCAGTAGCGGTGATTGAGACAAGCTTAGTGCCCGAACCATTGGGTGGTCGAGGGATCGTCGTCCAGGTACGGCTGCAAAGCATGCAACAGAGATAGAGCCGTTGGTGTTTTGCGGGGATGATGTTCGAAGAGGAACGATGTGGAACCGTTGATCATCGCGATAATGCTTTCATTATGAGCACCCAGGCCTTGATATGCATCCAAGGAATGCAAAACGATTTCATAACGAGGGGCCTCCTTGTTTTGGTCTTGGCGTCTCGTAGCACCGGGCTGTGGATACCTCGGCGGTTGACCCGCGAGTGATGAGCCGGCGTAGCAGTTAAGGACGGTAATGTAAGGCAGCTGTGTCCCGCCGTTGAAGATTTTCAGCTCCTGGGCAGACTGCGTTGCAACGCTTGAAGGGGTGAGCTTTGGGCTGGTCTTGTCTTGTTCCAGGATACACGACATCGAGGCAGGCTGGATCGTGCCTCGCGATGAGAAGTAGATTGGAAGAACCCGGTCGGTGAACTCCTGTGTGGGGTGACATTGAATGGCAACGCCGCGAATCCACAAGGCCCATAGGTAGTTGATATTCAGCGGAGAGCTATCCCTCGCCCTGGAGTAATGAGAAAAGTGGACGTAGGCGCCTCGGAATGCGTCCTCAAACGACCGGGCACTGTCTGCTTGTCCGAGCATCGAAAAGTTGGCAGGAACAGAAATTCTCAATGCCTCCCATTGTTCGTGCGTAAGGAGAGCTTGGAAGTACTTGTTGACCTCGATGGGCGTCTGATATTTCAATTCCGCCCATGTTGGACAACTAGAAATCGCCCGATCCATGGCCATGATACTAATTGTGCGACCAAGTAACTCTCCAGCATCGCCCTGCCCCATCAACCCTTGGGTAACATATTGAGCCAGGATGCGCCAGACCGCCATGGGCTTGCTGGCCGACCGGTCTGAGTTCATAACGATTGCAGCAGCCTCTGCGACGAGGGGTTCGGAAGACGAGCCTGAGATGATTACTTCACGGTCCTCCTGTATAGAGTAGACGACGCGGAGATGAGAGCGGATGAGTTCCAATACGAAATTCTGCGCGGTAGAAATACCCGGGGAGAGATCAAGCAATATTCGGGTGCAGAGGACGGCAAGTGCAGGCGCATTCATTCCATCCGGGAGCGATGTATTGAACTGCTGTCCAGTCAATTTACTGATCACTGTGTTGACGATCAATTGCACGGCCTCGCCAGGTAGCTCCATGTTGAAATGAGAATTGACCATACTTTGCCAACTATGATCATATGCGATGATGAGTCGAATGGCGCAGGAAAAGCTTCGAGCTTACAGAGGACGTCCGAATATTGAGACTTGCTTCAGTGTACCGATGTCATTCAAGGAGAGATTTTTGGACAGGGGGTGCGAGCGACAGTGCACATCAAATGACAACTCTGTGTAGGGCGCCGGAAGAAAAAGGTCACCAGCCCGTTCTCGAGCGGATGGTGCAATCTCCTTTGATGGTGCAACGAGGGGGATGAAGGTGGCTGTCGAAAGCACCACAGTGCCGATGCGTTGGCCAAGATCAGCGAGGACGGACTTCAAACGCGAGTAGATTGAGTGTTGGGGCGAACCCCTTTTGTCGTTGAACAAAACATGGACTTCGTCAAGTGCCAAAATAACGGGGAAATGATCCTTATGTAGCTCGACAGCTTCAAACATTTCGCGAGCAGTCTCAGTCAGCTGATTCGTGTTGGGCAAAGGCATATCGAGGATTTTGAAAATGACGTGGTCGTAGAAGGCACGTCGTTCATGAGGAGTATCGAACAAAATTTTGAAGTGGTTCTGGATGGCAAGGTACGCTGTCTGAGTGATGTCCTGAGTGTCTCCGAGGGGAACGGGAGAGTTGTTGGAAGAACCAGAGCGCCGAAAGTAACGCATAACATCTCTATGGCTGATGTCATTATCTCTCTTGACCAGATCGATCACCGCTAGGACAGATTTAAAAAGGGCGTAAAATATTGCTTGAATATACGCTTTGCAAGAACCCTCATTGTCCTGTGGACTCGGTGCTTTCAATAGGTAGTCGCGCAAGGCGACATCAGGAGGAGGATAAGCTAGACACCGTGAGGATGGTTTTATTGTGAGTGATGGGTACACCCACACATAAAGACACTAGAGTCATTCTCTCTAAAGCAGCAGTGGATTACGATCCGTTTCTTGCCGATCTCGTAAAGCGCCCTTGTCTTCCCCATGCCGGATGATTGAATCATGGGCAGAATAGGAGCATAGGACTGCTCATTGTTCCTCATTGAGTCTATGACGGAGAGAAGATGCTCGGGGACATTTCCGATATATGGCAAGTTGAAAGATTCGTGTAGGACTTCAGAGACAATAGTTGATGGTTATTCGGAAATCAATGTCAACAGCGCTTACGAGTTTCGCGTTTGTCTGGAGTTGCTGGGACCTCCGGTTCACGTAGAAACTCTGAAGAAGATATCAGATGGGCTAAAGTCACCCACAAAGCATCGAATACGCACCCAAATTTCGAAGTCTTTTGAAATCCCTAGCCTGCCAGGCTTCATACAGCGTTTGAACGAGTATAGGGCGGAACCGCTCAGGTATCATTTGCATTTCGAAGTCGGAAAGGAGGGATGGGGAGATCAAGGAGCCCGGGTATCCTGAAACTACATCGAATATGATACGAAGCACCGTTCCTGCGTTGCGACTCCGACCCTCCCAGGGGAGTGTGAGGACACCCTCCCAGGGGCAAAGGGCTACAAGTATCTTGCTGTTGATTTCAGCATTGTAGCGTACCAAAGGGTCGTTATCGTCGTCGTATGTGGGCGTATCAAGCGCTGCCATGATAGTTTCATCGACGTCCATGGTAGAGGAGTCCATGAGTGATAGAGCGTAGCCTCAGCGACCCCAAACTGTGATGTTTGTTCATATTTACTCTTGAACCTACTTCGTCTCTCCTCTCCAACGTAGAAGCCTCTTGGTCGGTAATGGGCGCTGGTTCGGGAGCTTCCTGAGAGTCAGCAGTGACGGCCCGTAGTGCTGCACCGTCTTGGCTGGCTGGTATTATGGGCTGGAGGCTATCGGACATCATTCGGACATCAATGTTTTCCTTACAACCCACGCGACGAGAATGGCGAAAACGAGGGCGGGAGTCCTACAAAAGTGGAACTCCGCGTGGGCGCTAGAGGAGTAATAGGGGCACTCGCGATCGGATGCGGCTGGACTGACATTTTGTGTCCAAGAAAGCACTCTAAATGTCCTACCGTGCGCTCTGTCTGAGCTGATATCGCTGGGATGGTAGAACATCTCTTATGTATCGCGATAACGTACTGATGGGTGTTTTCAGGTTGGAAATCGCGTTCGTTTCGTTGGATAATCCACCAGAAGTCTATCTAGCTATTACCTCAGAAGATTCATTGATTGTCTACTACATAATAAGCCGAGCAATCGTGAAACCACCGTTGTAAAACATCATCTGCCAGTTATTCTTGTACTCCGCCCTCTTGAGGTGCGCGCATTTTGATTCTATACGATACGCCGCGGTGGAAATGGTACCAGCGGGAGAAATATACTGCTACCCAGGCAGAACTCTGCTGAAGCTCTGTTTCATCATCCGAGAGGCTGACGCTGCTTCCAGGAATCAGCGGTGCTGGTTGGTATTTCCGTGTCTATATGTGTTTGGGCGTGACATATGTCTCTCCCAGTTGCTGGGGTACGATCTCGACTTGACACTTTCATGTGTTCCGAGTCAGACAGGGATAGCTTCTCGCGGTCAAATTGACGCATTGTGTCGCTAGACTCTGGGGCGATGCTTTCAGTTACTTGGTCGATCTTGGTCGTCACAGGTGCATCCATGGACGGCGACTCGCCAAAATCACATCTTCCTCACATTCGTGGCCAAGGAACCCGGACGTTACCTAGGCAAGTACTCGTGCAAAGCCACATTCTCATCTTCACATGTAAACAGTATCTCATGGAGCGTATATAAGCATCCCCTCCCAGACGAAAGATCGTCACTGTGCACTTTGTACACTCACAAGTTTCAGGCCCGTGACTTCGTCACGCATGGGACTCAGGCTTCCATGATAGATATAATGCAGAAATCTCAAATCAGAGACTGGCTTTGGGAAATGAATCCCATTTATTGGATACATCTTAAAATCTTGTTGATGTCCTGTATCTTTGGTGCATGACAATCCCTTCCACCCTCCCCTGTTCCTCTGTTCTAGTGCTCCCATTAAATCAGGGGCGGTGGTCACTTCATTTATCACACAGTTTTCCTCAGATTTATAGTTAAGAGTAACATAAAAGGACATGGAATAAAATCAATGGGCCATCCTCTGCTCTGCTTGAATTGGATGTATTTTGAGTGATAAGTGTGTCTCATAGGAAAAAAGGGGTCGGGGGTCATTAGGACAGAGTTTATAGGTAAATATTATCTTTCATAATCCCTCATCTTTACTATACATCTAATCCACTAACCGCTCACTTTGCCTGGAAATATTACATGAAAGCTTCAGCTAACATACAGATCTACCCTTCATGTCTAAATTGCTCTAAGAGATATCAGTTGTTGTTATCAACAATGGTCAGAGTGCTCCCTGGTATTATTCCAAACCACTGTGACAGCTTTTGCTATGCAGCCCCTGGCAACTGACCATGGCCCATCACAACTAAGCTACCCTAAGGGCTGATACATGCTATACAGTATTTACCTGTTCTGCTTGCTCAGGAACACTTTTATGGAACTTGGAGATTTGGAGATTTGGGAACTCAGAAAGGGGTCCAACATACTTGCATCCTCTCAAAATTCCACAGCTTCATAATAGAGGATGTCAGAGTTGGTGTAACAGTCAAAACGAAATGTTCAAAACATTATGGTTCCACCAATATGAAGGATTCAGCTCTGACACCCCAATAATGCAACCAAAACAAAACAAAAAGCACTAACTCCGGCTTAGGGGCAGGCTTGTTAGTCCGTAGCATACCATACAGTAATTCAAAAGTAAATAGCTTTATGTAAGCTATGGCTGAAAGCAGTAACAATGTGACATCCACGGTAGTGTAGATTGGTGACTCAGTGAGTATGTATACAGGCCAGATGTGATATACGATGAAAACAAATGGAACAACAAAGACCTGCTTGCTACAGTGCATTCTTCAAAAGTTCATTCTCTGCAGTAACAGTTTCAGGTGGCAAAGAGCTTGGGGAACTCAGCATATCTGGTGTAATATTTTGACCATTTTGTTTCAACCATTACACTAACTCTGACATCCCCTAATCATGCAATTGCTACATTGTACAACCTCCCAATTGTACTCCCACAAAATCATAGTTAAGTTGTAAGTCAATGTTATAGGCACATCCAGGAGGCCCCTTAGGGGCTACAACAGGTGTTTCTGGCTACAGACCCGGGCCGCGCACACATGCGGCTACACGAACATGTCACGGACTATGGACTTGTACATATTCAAGCATGCTGTACTTATTCCTACTGGACTCATTGCTGTTTTGTGAATGTGCAGACACTGCATGTTCCCCAGTATATATTCCTGTACTATACATACAGTTACCTTAGTTCGAATATTAGTTCCTTTTCTGCACACGCATCCTCACCTCTTATTTGAGGTCCCTCTGTTGCATCCCCTCGCCTCCGCTTGTACCCTCGGTACCCACGTAGGACTCCCTCTGGAAATACAGGGCATGCAAGAGTGTGGGAGGCGCAGCCAGTAGCTGAAGCCAAGCCTGTACGTCCTCACTCCCCTCATTTCCCCTCCGTGCCTCTACGTGGAACTGTGCACCCACGGGCCCGTGTATTCCCGAGCCCCCGTGAGTGTGGCTCTTAACAATCACTCTGAGAGGTTTACTGTATAGATGTGTAAATGGGTACTGAATATTCTCATCTAACTTCCAACTTCCTCCCCTCTCCTCCATACTCCCTTTCTCTCCTCTATCTCTCCTCTTCTCTTCTACTCATACTCCCTGATCTCCTTCTATACTTGAATACCATACTCCTATCCCACCCCACTACCATCAAAATCCAAGTTATTTGATCATGATCATCTTTTGCTCTCACCACCCCCTGCCCTCTCTGTTTTCTGATCATCTTAAAGATATTCTGCTACATAAGCAGCTTACTTATCATGAGTCTTGACATTCAATGGGAAGAGTTAATTCTAACCCCTCAACTTGACTGATAATTGAAATATTCTATGCAAAAGCTCTGAAGTACTAATGTCTTTATTGCATACTTACAATAAGTTGTGGTCATTTACAGTTGAGTAGTTCCTCCCCTATTTTCTATTTCCTGTTCATCTACAGCCTCCTGGTGTACCCTTACTAATCCTGGCCACTGTTCTGATCTCAATAACATATGTCTATCTAAAAGATTCATATTGTAGACTTTTCACCCTGATTTACATTGAGAGGCATTGGTTGTCATTGTTAATGCTTGCCAGAGCACTCCCCATGGTTATCTACAGCCACTGCGTCTCAGAACCCTCATTTAGTAAGCACCCCCACCAACACTCTGTATTCCATACAGTAAATCTGCTATGAAACTTGCATGCATGCAAGGACATTTCTCAGGTATGCTAATCCCTTCATATCTCTTACTTGTAGTCCTGTATAGCTTAGTTTGCTACTCCCATAGGTACAGACTTTTGGCTAAAAAATAATAACTAAGATACCTCAAAGTTCAACCTCAGACATTAATCACAGCTGTAAGTAAGTGATCAAAGCTCCAATTGAATAATAACTGCATAATCCTACAGTCTACATTTTGTTGATATCCTGCTTCAATGTTTTGATGAATTGCTTAATCTGAGTACTTGAGGCTTATTTATTAAAGTATGTTATGCAGAGGGAGAGAAGACATGATGCATTTATGGCTACCCTTGTCATAATCTGGTAGCATTGACAGTCCAGAGTTCAGTCTGGTAGTCCTTGTTCCCTATTCCCTATTCGTCTCCTGTCCCCCTGTGTGGCTCTGCATTGAGGTGAGCGCTTTTTTTTGATTATGTAACATTAAATTTGATTACATAACATTATGGACCGTTGTGTTTTAATAATATAGATCTTCTCCCATCCGATCTGTGATCGGCATTTTGTTCTATTCTACAAGCTTGCAACTTTTGTTCGGTCTTCGACTCCATTCACATTCATTAACTTGCCCCCTTACCGGCGCTCCCACCTCTCGTTCATTCCACCACACTTCTATTCACAATGTTGTTCTCCAAGCTCGCTGTCGTCCCTTTGGTTGTGGCCTTCGCTGGGAATGCGCTCGCTCGTCCCGCACTGGTAAGTAGATGGTCACTGCTTAATCCGCACATTCCCCATGCTTGGTTCCTACAGGCTGCTCGCCAAGTCCAATCCACTTCTCTGCTCGCGAACTTTGACCCCGCGACGGCTCTGGTAAACCCCGACCCGCTCACAGCCGCGACACCCGTCCCAAATGCCGATGCCAACACTAACAACAACGCCAACAGCAACGTAGCAGAGAACGCAAATGTCGCTCCGGTATGTATTTGATCTCTGCACGATTCGCAATGTTTACAATCTATCTCTATAGGCTGCTGTAACCGTTACAGTCACCGCTCCCGCTGTAGCAGACGCAACTCGCCATCGGAGGTATAGCCGCTCCCATTGTTAACGCCATCGTATCTGCCGTTGCACCGGCTGTCCAAGCGGCCGCGCCCGCTGCTGCAAGTGCTGCCGCACCTGCCGCCACCGCTGCCGCCGACAAGAATGCTCGCGTGAAAGAGTTCCTTACCGGGGGTGCCGGTCTCCTCACCAAACTTTTAGGACTCTCCCTCTAGGAATGCGGCCTATTTCTGCGTGCGCTTTCGCGTTCTGACCGTCAGATTTAAGAATAGGTTAACTTTGATGTTTATGTGATTCGAGAGGCGTGTCCTTTTGGCAGCGCTGAAGATAATTCGTCTACACTGCATGCGGAATAGTACTTAATGTTTACATCAATACATCGTAATCCATGGGAAAGAAATCAAAATAATTCCAGCATCGTGTACACAGTTCAGGAGAAGAGCTCCACGAAGTAAGGAGAATGGGGAAACACGAGGTGAATATTAGACTCCTCTCCAGTCTCCTGAGGGTACTAGTGTATGCGGTGCTTTGTACGGGGGGGCTGAGGGGAATGGGGGACTTCGTAGAATGGGCTGTAATACAAGGAGACGATCAGGGAATCTTCGTATGTCACCATACTCGATGTATGATGCGCAGTCGTTTTCACTCAGAAACCCGTAGGACACGGCCCCCATGTGTACTACTTCTTCATCTCCATCTCTTACAACAACGATTAGTTCAATCGGAACCGTCCCAGTCAAAAGGCAATCCGAGTCAGTGTGCTAGTCTTGGCATTCAGCAGATATTCGATGCGTCCAAGTTCCTCCGCCGTAAGGTGCTGGTCCGAACAACGGTGTTCGGCACCACTTTTTTGTCAATTATCGGCGAGGCATACACCGACTTCCCCGTGTGCTCTTCCAGTCAGCCTTCTGAATACATTATTTATTTAACCAGCGCACCGTAGCCTAGTATATCGGCATTGACGTGGAGAACTGAGAATATCAAAATAATTGACTGTGGGAATCCATTTGGACTCGCGTAGTATGTACGCTTGCAGCTTGGCGCACGCAACCACACTTTTTTTTTTTTATTTTTTTATTTTTTTTATTTTTTTTTTTTAATGTCTGCATTTATATACCGCAACAAGCAAGCTAAAGCTACTAAGACGCGGTGTGGGTTGAGTACAACGAATTAACGCTGCACCCGGTTGTTACGAGTAGGGTTGGTCAAATTGGGGTTGGGCCGTGTGCACGCAACCACACTGTCGCGGGGGCTTTCTGGTGTAGGCGCAACGCGCTTTCCCTATGAACAATATCCCCTTGAACTCGATTCGCAAGAACCGAGCTGGATACACGAAACTCGCCGAACAAGACGACCTCGGAGATAGCATGCGGGTTGCAGCCTTAGCTGTAATACTAGACCCTAATAAACTGGTTAGATCCAGGTGCTCCTAAGACACAAACTGTGGCTATAACCACAGGTCTCAGCTATGAGATCACATGATGTCCAGTAGATATTGATTTATTATATTGTGCCTGCGTCGGGATTGAATATTGCGTCGGAATTGAATATTGGCTTGTTATGGCATTCCCATGATATGATTAGATCTAATCAGAACATGTCGGTTATTTCCGTTGCTGGATTTGATGCGCTTTCTTTCCCCTTCTGTTTGTTTGCTTTCCGGATCTGGATCTGATGGGCGCCCCCTCCTTTTTGCTTCCCCCGGAAATTTGACGGGCGCTTTCCCCTTCGGTATGTTTTCCTTTCGTTTCATCCCCTCTGTTTTGGTGTGGGCCGTTTTTTTGCCGCCGTTCATATATTCATAGATTGCCTGCTCCTTTTTGTTTTCCTCCGGAAATTTGACGGGCGCCTTCCCCTTCCATATGTTTTCCTTTGGTTTGATCCCCATTTCGGTGCGGCTCGTTTTGTTGCCGCCGTTTATATTCTGAACCCCAAGAAGGCTCATGTGACATTACCTGTAGTAATTCCGCGAGCCATTGGGGTTTTCTGTTTTAAAACATTTTAAAACATACCAATTCCTGAGAACATCACAATTATGTTTCCTATCTATTGCATGTGATGATTACATAATCAATGTCTCAGATCCCGTTGACCGGAGCAATCACATTAGCAGAAAATGAGCAGAGTTGAAAAGCGAGGGCCGCCCCAACGGTTATTACAAGTCCTAAGCGCCCATGTGGACTTGAGAGCCAAGTCACTACCCCTTGTTTTCACGTTACATTCAGCTCCAGTCTCCGCTCTTTCAAACTATGCGCACAGTTAGCTCAGCCGAGTCTCCACTATTCAGGTGATATTTGGGATTCACACACGAAATGAGGGCAAAGGGGATTGTATTGGTTGGGACGACTGTACTACACTATTCTATCTACGCCTATGCATGCGAGGACGACGGGTGTATTCAATGTCAATGACACTGACGATGCCGTCATCCAGAGCTTCCTCCATCATTTCCCGTGCAAGAGCGAGAGAACGGACACTCTCAAAGACGGCTCCCGGAACTCTAATGACAAGGGGCGCAGTGGCAGTCCAGTTGGTAAAGATCCCAACCTGGCGTCCACGGGTGATGACGTAGTACGGCCCCGGAGAACCAGGTTGCGGCAAGTGGTATCTTGGAGATGCAGGAGTCGGGGTGTAGGGGGTGTCAACAATGGCGGGAGGTACTGCGGGATGAGCGACGGGGGTGGGAGCGGCAGCGGGAGGCCCAATAGACTGGGCGATGGCGGCACAAGCAACGACGGCATGCGCAACGGCAGCAGGCGCCGTGGACTGTGTAACGGAGGCGTGGGTGACGGCGATGGCAGGAGGTGAGACGGGTTGGGCAACTGTTGGAGGCATATGCACAGGGTGAGCGGATGCCGTCAATCGACGTGCTGCCGAAGCTGAAAGCCCTGGCGCCGCCACCGATGTGGCAGGTGGGCCTCCCTGCATGGGAGAGGTGCCAGAGCCGGGGGAGGGGGCAGATGGTGCACTATTGGCCAACAACGTCAGCGCCCCAGCCAAAGTGCGAGCCTGGTCCGGGGAAAGGGACAATCCAGAGAGCTGCGCTAAGAGAGCTGGGAGGCAGCATCAGCTTGCGAGGCTACTCAGTATCTGCGACTAGTACTCACCAGCCATGTCGTCACCACTGGTGTGCTCGTCTCCAACTGGTTTTGATTGAGTCATCTTGGAAGGGCGTAGACTGAAGGGGCGGGGGATTAGTGATGATAAGTAGAGCATTGCGAGGGCTCCTGCATACAGGGTAAGACCATGGTGTAGTTGAGTAGGCTTTCATCGAGGGGAAGGCTTCCATCGGCGAGCAAAGAATGGTCAGGTGCAAAAGTTAGATGGACAACCACATACATGAGGCGACCAATTGCCCATTTTGGGGCTTCCCAAGCTTCAAGATAATATTGCAAAGTTATCACGCCCTCCACCGTGTTGTAGACCGCCGTGTTGTAGGAGCATGTTTTGTCGTACAGGGTGCTGGAAGGTGCGTGGTAGAGAGCTTGTTGAAAGAAATAAAAGCTCACCAGAATCAGCTCACTACACCCCAAGTTCAATGTCAACAAACACAACAGATACGACGAACACCGGGGACCAACCGGACATGACGAATACCAGTGCTGGTGGTGAACTTCCGCTGTAAGTCATAATTACATGTTGATCCGGCAGGCGCTCAATCACCATATTAGTCCAAAGGTTCCCACCCTCCAACGTGGGTGGGCAAAGGGAACTCGCCTGACATGGCTAACAGTGCGGATACAACCTTGGAAGGAAGCTTCGTTGAATCGGCGCTCTCGCAAGGGCGACATTCTTGCGGGAATGGTCAACAAGTATTTTACCAAGTACCCCTGGCGCCTTCCTGTAACCGATGAACCGAGCAACCAAAACCCCGATCCTTATGCGCGTGAACCAGTGACAGCTGAAGAGAAGAAGCTCAAAGGTGAGATTATCAAGAAAATGACTGCGGTGAGTTTTAGGTGATTTACGAAGACATTTATTGCTGCTAACATATTTCCAGTCTATCCAGTCATGGCTAGACTACCGTATATCAAGCGTGCATCGTATCAGTACCAACAATGCTGGAACCGACCCCTTCGCTATGCTCCTCAACCAGTTCATTGGGATGGATAACAAGCCGTCACGACTTCGAACGGGGGACCAAATGTTTTCGAAAGCTCAATATGAAGGCACTATGAAGGCTGATTTCGAGAAGTGGTTCAACTCCAGTGGGATCAACGAGGGCGACCGAGCGGCAGAACGGGCTAAATATGTGAAGGCTAGGTTTTTGTTACTACCTCCAGCGGTTCAAGACGAATACACCCAATCGGGCTTGGCCTTACAGCAGGCTGAGAAGGAAAGCATTCGTGAACGAGAGGGGAAGGAACTCCAATTGACTCCGGCAGAACGTCAAGAGTGAGTACTTCGCCTGTTTCAGAGCCGAGATTAACTTCGAATAGTTTGCTTGACAGGGTAGCTGACTTTTTCGGCCCACTTTTGACCAAAGTCTCCACTGTTCTGGGCATGCACCTCTCCCTTCTGATCGGTGGCCCTGAACCAGCTCACGGAGGACAACTGAACGTCTTGAGGTGAGTGACCTATTGATGCACCTTCCACGCTGCTGACCTAACACTCCCTAGCCTGCACATAGGCACGAATAAAGCTCCAATTCCTCAACGATGGAATGAAGCTTGCGCCGTCGACTTCGGAAAGGTTACAGATTTATTCACGGCATTTCTACAGACTTGCTATAGTAAGTCTGCCTCTCTATTGTTGTCTACTGGGTGTCATTAAGGTTTCCAAGGCCCTGAGGAATGTGAGGCGGCTGCCATTCTGGGAACCGCTCCACTACCAGCCAAACAGGTTACGGTTCTCCAACCAGCTCACAAAATGACAGACCCAGACCAAAGCTCACTTTCATCTAAAGAACCCCAGGATGCCACTGTCTCCAAGACATCTTCAAAGGCTACGAAGCGTGTAAAGAGCAAACGTCGACGAGCGGGCGACGACAGCGAGAGTACCGCACAATCTACTCCCTCCGAAGACGATACTCAACCAGATAACCATATCATTTTCAAGAGGCATCCCCTCGATCGACGACCGAAAAAGAAAAAGGTTCGTGCCTTGGATGAAGACGGTAGATCCCCATTACGCCGCCTCCGCCGTCATCAGGGCTCTGAGGAACCCGCACAAGAAGACGCAGACGAACCTTTGCAAGAAGGTGCACAACACGTGGACGAGGATCAGACATGCGGCACCATTGGCGAAGAATCCAGCCGCCAAATCACCCCCATATCCCTACCTCCGGAGACAGATATGGACGATCCATCCACCAATACTCCCATATCCCTACCTCCGGAGACAGATATGGACGATCCATCCGGCAAGACTCCAACTCCTCTGCCTAGTCCAGCTCACGAGGGAGCGTGGGCAGACGAGCAGGCGGCACATCATGGTCCGAAGGCTTGCGATGTCAGTGCCATTCCCTCGGCGCCACCAGCTAGCAAGACCTGGCCGAAGTGGTTTCTGCCTGCTTATAGTTACTTGCTGCATGAAAGCGAGCATCTCGGAACATCGTGGGCATGTATACTGCACGCCCTGGTCAACCTCGAAGCCGATAACCGTTTTGAAAACCAGAAGGCAGCTTTACCCAATGTAGATAGCTGCCGTCCTTCGGAAATCGGCCTATGGATCAAGAATGCCAGAGTTCGTAGTCCTGCAGTATTGGATATACTCGCATATGAGGCCTCGTGGTGGCGTTGGTGGCGTACTCTCCAGCCAGAATGGCGCAAACTGTCCACAACGCAAGGTCCTATCAACAGTGCGGACTCCGACTCTCTTCTGAATCCACTCCAGCCCTCGAACATTGCCGGCAGCTTTGTGCACCTCGATCGCCCCGGTGCCAATGGCTTCCTCAGCGTAGTCGGCAGTCTCCGCTGGTGGGGCGATATTGTCCATTCGCAATTCGACGGCGAGGGAAACTGGTTGGAAGATCCAACCGCCAAATCATGGAATCAGGCGGTCAGTGAGGCATCGCGCTTGATCGTCAGTCTTTGGCTGGAGAAGGGTGGTGAGCAGAGGCAGAAGATGTGCAGGCTGATATTGGGTCCCTACGGGGCCATCTACGCACGGTCTTAGCTTGTATTCAACATACATTGACGTGGAACTATTGTTTGTATATAGTGCCGACTTATCATGACCATCGGGACAGTAGATACCTGGGCATGATTCAATCTTTGCAAATTTGAGTTTTTATTCGACGAAATGTTGGCACCATTTTGAGTAAACTTTAAACTACAAGTCCGAACCAGGTTCTCAGTTACACACCTTTTCCTTGTGCCGTCTTGTCCCTCCCTATCCTTGATTACAGATGGGTCGTCCTCGCAAGTATACCACAGAGGAGAGTCGTCTAGATGCCATTCGAGCCAATCGAAAACGCCACTATGAGAGGTACAGCAGTTCTTGTTTCACTCTGGCAATTGCTTATCGTGCATTCAGGCATCGGGAGACAGTACTCCAGCAGCGTCGACAAAGATATCATGAAGACAAAAGATTGAACGGCAAGCAGTCACTTCGCAGAGTCGTGAACATTGCAAAGGAGAATTCAGGGAAGCCAGCCCGTATCACAAAAAAGTATGTCGTTGACTTACAACTAGGAATGTATATTCACGCTATCTACAATAGGGCATCTAATACCCACGATGTTTCTTCAGCCCTCCATGATCTAGAACACGAGCTTCGTGAAATAGTGCACCCATCAGAGGCCGAATACGCCACACAGATATACACAGAGGCCATGGTTGATAACACTGCAACCACCATTGACAGGGAGCTTGACATACTTGAAATTCTGGCGCAAAAGGCACAGGTGGAAACTAAGAGGATCTGGGAGAAGGAGGGGTGTGTGCCAGAGTTCGAGGCCAGCCAAAGATTCTGTCGAAGGGTGCGAGACACCATTATGATATTGGAGGACATGCTCGAATACGCACTCAGTAGTGTCGATGAGCTTTCGGAGGCATACGAACAGTGCAAATTGATGTTTCAAAACATGTAGTTCATACTCTAGCTACATACATAGGCTGTTATACTAGTGGTATTTGCCATGCAACACGAGCTTCATAGGAGACAACATACCTGGGAGAAAGGTTATTGGGCTGTCAACTAGTTTGTAGATGCGTAAATGCGGCACGTGCAGCTCACCCAGTCAAAAACTGCGAAAAAAATGGGCACCCAGAAAGGCGTGCCACCGACAAATGGAAAACTCCGACAGAAGTTTCGACTTAGCAGTGCAAGAGATAAAACGGGGCCGCTGAAGGGTAGCATCCATGCGAGGACCGTTACCGTCTCAGACAACCTTCGGCGTGCCAAAGAGACGCCTCGCATTCTGCACACCCAAGGCAAGGTGGAGCCGACAGCCTTTGATTGGAACCCGTCAGAGAATTTCGACGGTGGAGGGGAATATGGGAGGGGAGTATCACGCGAACATGTTGATGCTGGAGTCGTTAGAAAGCGTTACGCTGTATCAGTAAGAATAGTTGTCTATGCAACAGAACGCCGCTGACCCTTGTGCAGGACACGCCAATGCATGAATGGAGGCCGTACAGCCAGGAGTATCTTATGGAGAGACTTCGCCTAGAGGGACGTGGAGACGCGGCTGCCCTGCAAGCTTGCCCTACTTGCGGGATTGATGAAGCGCCCGAGTACACCTGTGACGAGTGCTTTGAGGGTCTGCTAGAATGCCGCAGCTGCTTTCTATCCCGACACCTCCGCATGCCGCTGCACCGTGCTAAGGTGAGAGTGTGTGAACCACTATTTGACCTATGCTGAATTGCGACCAGCGGTGGAGTGGGGCTTACTACGAACGTGTCTCAATGGCCGACTTGGGCCTGAGTATACAACTTGGGCACCCTCTTGACCTTGAATGCGTTAACCCGGAGCCTGGCCATAAATCCTTCACTGTGATCCATAACAACGGAGTTCATATGGTGAATGTTCGGTTCTGCAATTGTGAACGGCGCGTGAGCCATCGCATACAAATCCTTCGCGCCAACTGGTGGCCTGCAAGTGTTCATTATCCACGAACTTGTGCGACAGTAGAGGTATTGAAAACATACCACGTCTTGACGCTCTCAGGCAAGATATCGTGCTGGGAATACTATCAGTCCCTAGAGCGGATGACAGACAATTGCGGCATCAACATACCGAATGCGAGTTTCAAGTCCATCCTTGTTATCGGTAGCTAATTAGCTCTCTTGATTGTTCAGACCAGATACAAGTCGTTCTTCCTCATGGTACGCCAATTCCGAACCGAGAGAATGTTCAAACGTGGGGGGAGAGGGAGCATCGAAGGACTGATGGCTGATACGGACAAAGGACAACTTGCTCTGAAGTGTCCAGCCTGTCCAGAGCCAGGCGTCAACTTGCCGGAGGGATGGCAAGCGGCGATCTCAGAAAAGAGGTGAGTGGGAAAACAATCATATGCCAAGCATGGACAAACATCTGACAGTTGTCAGACACCTCTACAGCCTTCTTGTCTCCCTGGACGCCAATTTTCGCCTGAAAAATCGTTTACGCTCCTCCGATGAAGCCGATCCTGGCCTTGTTACAGGTCTAGCGTACTTTGTCGAGCCTGCGGCATATGCCACACATCTGAAGAAATACTCAGAGCAGAAAGACGTACGTGGCAATACCTCTCCAGTAGCTCAGCTGGACTGACCCAAGGGTTTTAGACAAGTAATTGCAGTGGCTTCAAAACCCTGGCAGCCGCTGAGTCCAAGTTTTCAGCTGGAATGAGAGCGACGGGCGTCGGGATGTGTGTTTGCTCTCGACACGAGATGGTCAGGCCTTTGGGGATTGGAGACCTACAAAAGGGAGAAAGGTATGTTGCCTAGTCATTTGACCATCACACCGACCGATTGCCTGATCACTAAGGTGCCAGATACTGCAATATGGACTGGATTCTACTCAGTGCCATCAACTCATTCTCCCTTTTTGTGCTCTACATAATATACGACATCGCCTGCCAATACAAGATCCATTTCAAGGACCGGATGGCTGCTTTACCCGAGGCAATGCGACTCCCGGAAGGCCTGGCACCGTACTTTGCGATTCCGAAGTGTCACTGTCCGGCGCATAAACAGGAGTGCCAAACTCCTCACTCGCTCAACCTAATGCCAGGGGTGGGCCGGACAGATGGAGAAGGAATTGAACGTGATTGGGCAGCGCTCAACCCAGTCGCCAACAGTACCAAAGAGATGGGTCCCGGGGGTCGTCACGATACCTTAGATGACCACATTGCCCATCACAATTGGCGAAAGCTAGCAGGTCTTGGTGTGTGCTTTCAGCATACACCCTCAACGTGATACTAACATCATTCTAGGAGATACTTTGCACCGCAGACTCTGGGTTGCAATCGCCGAGAGCTCACGACAAACAATACTATTTCAGGAATTCACCTCGTCTATTGAGGTCCGCGACAAGGGGATTATCGAGGGGTGGACCAGAATGGTGATGGATTGGGAAGTTGACAAGACGAAGCCAAACCCGTACGAAGTTGCTAAGCAACACTCAGGTAAGCTTGATGTACTTTTGTATCTTCAATTGACTGACACGCCGCCGATGAAGCGAAGTCGCAGAAGGACGTTCGCTTGGAGTTGATAGAAGAGGAACGGAAGGTTCTGTCGACACACAAGACAACACCAACAACATTTCTTACCACGTCAATGGATATAGAAGATGCTCAGTGAGTGCTTTGAGCTCGAAATTCCCAGTGTCAACTAACCAATGCTCGTCAGGCGGAAGGTTCGCAATGCTCGCAATCAGCTAGACATGACCCCAGCACAAGCGGAAGACCTTCAAAAACGTCGCCTTACCATTCAGCGTTCCCTCACCCGGATCCGCACTGCACAGCGTATTTACATGCCAATTCTAGTGGCACTCGATGACGACTCCGAAGATGAACCAAGCCAACGTGACATTGAAGACGAGCCTGTCTGGCTTCCATCATTACTCAATACGGACCAGCGAGCGACATGTTCCTCAGCACTTGTGGAGAAAGAGGATCGTCTTCGGGAAGCACAGTGCCATGACGCCCTCGACAGCATCCGTTCGCTCCAGCGAGGAAAGGCTCAATATATCATATACAAGAATCGCAATGTCCGAGGCCAGCGGCCAAGTACCAGAGCCCGTGCATCACTGGATCGCCTTGATGAGAAGATCCAGCTAAAGGCTGCACAGTACCGAGATGCGCATCAAGCCCTTGTTAGGCTCCGGGGTACCGGCGACTGGGAGTCAACACTTCGCCCCCTCTCGGAAGAAGATCTTCGTCCGCCAGCTGCCTTTGACATTGACGACCCTGACGACACATATGGTCCCGATGGACGTCGGAAAAGCAAAAAGAAGATGAAGGAGATTGAGTTGAGGCTTGGGGAGGGGTATAAACATACCTCATGGGTGTGGGCCGCTGGGGCTGCCCTGCCGGATGACGAGGATCTGGAAACCAGCGATATTAGTGATGGTGAGTGTTATCCGTCTTCTTGTTGGCCATGCTAATGCTTGCTCCCAGTGGTTCGAGTTGAGTGGGCCAAGGCACGAGCACGTTCCCAGCGTTGGCAAGAAGAAGTTGCCCTGCTCCAAGAAGAAATGCGGCGTACTCGTGTATCGCTGCAGGCACGAGCTGAGTGGTGGTCCCAAACTACGCAACCAGTGCCTGGGTCCGATTTGGCAACTCTCAAAGGTGCGGAGGCCTATGCAAAACGCCAGGCAGCCGTGTACGTCGCGCTCAAAGACCATTTCACATACCTATGGGAACAGCCACTACGCAAACGGCTACGGACAAAGCCTATCGCCGTGATCACGCTCTCCGGAGCCATTGAGGGCCACGACGACGAGTGTGAAGAAGATGAGGAGGACACCCAGCCGGCCTCTAATGATGCTACCAAATTCACCCCATTCACAGCCAGCAACAACCCACATCCAAGGGGCGATTCTACCGGTGAACCAACGCTCCCCCCGCCGCCTGACGATGCTCCCCCGCCACCACGCAACGATGATCCCCTGCTGCCGTGTGACGATGATCCAGCCGTTTTGTCCCCTACCATGTCTGCAGAGGGCTCGAGTACCCCCATGGACTTGGACTAAGGACCAGTGTTTACCATTTTCTCCCCGCTTTCTTCTGTATGTTTTCTTCCGTATGTTTTGTCGGCCCTGTATGTTTTTTTGTAGTGTAGTATAATGATCATAGTTTAACGAGTTTGCCATGTGCCGTTTAGGTTGAACAACAGGCGCTGGAATATAAATTAGATGCTTGAGTAATGATATGACCATACCTTCTAATATGGAAGGACCCAGCTTTTAAAACCAATGTGTGGGATCATTGAAGGTAGATGGACGTCGCCTGCGCTTGCTGTATGCCTATATAAGGTGCACAGCGGTTATTACCATGTCTTGGGTCAATTGCGACCTGTGGCTATAGCCCCAATTTCTGTCAAGGCTTGGCCTGGATCTAACTGGGTACAAGGGTCTAGGAGTACAGCAAGCGGTGCGAATCGATGCTCCGAAGGAACGTAACGCTTTAAGTGGGACAGATTTACTACGGGGTGCATAGGGTAGTTGGTTGGCAGCCGTAATCGGTAGACCAGAGGATTGATCTTCTCTAGGACTTCAAACGGCCCTATCATGCGCTGTACCAGCTTTCGCCCCGTGCCTTCGGCCTCCACGAGCTGCAGGGTATGTGGATTGACTAATACTAGGTCGCCCGGCTGGATAAGCTCCACTGGCCTTCGTTTCGCGTTGAACGCGCGAGCTTGCTTTTCTTGTGCTAGAATCAACGCGTCTCGGGCAGCGGCACGAAACTCTTCCAGATTTTGTGTAAATTCCTCCGCGAGCTGGCTAGGGAGGAAGGGGCGATTCGCATCGTCATGGTTGGGGACCATTAGCGCTGCTGATTGCTGAGGCTTGTAGCCTAGCAGCAGGAAATCCGGCCGATGTCCTGTAGACGAGTGGACCGAGGAGTTGTATGCGAATGCCAAATCACTCAAGTAATTGGACCAAGAGGCTCTGTCTTTGGCCACGTACGCCCGCAACATGGTTTCCAGCGTAGCGTTGAGCACTTCTGTCTGACCGTCCGTCTGGGGGTGATGCGCCGACGATAGCGCCAAATGGCAGCCGTAGCGCGCTACGACTGACCTCCAGAACGCCGAGGTCCAGCGTTTATCCCTATTGCATATCACTCGTGTCGGTAGCCCGTAGACGTTGACTACATGTTTGATGAACAGCTTGGCGAATCCTTGCTGGTCGAGAGTATCATGTGTCGGTATGAACAGAGCGAACTTGGTTAGCTTGTTGACTATGACGAGTACGGCCGTGAATCCTTCCCCTCCAGATGCCGGCAGTCCTGTAATGAGGTCAAGCGATACGGTCTCGTACGGGTAGGCGGGTACGTGTGCGGGACGTAGGCCCCCCATCTTCTTCGTATGGTCTACCTTGGTTTTCTGGCAGACGTCACACGATCGCGCGTACTCCGTGGCGTCCTTGACCAGGCTGGGCCAGAAGAAAATTTCTCGGAGCCTGCTCGCGAACCTTCGAGCGCCCTCGTGAGCGCTTTCGTACGGTGATTCATGAATCTGCCTAAGCACGAAAGGAATTTGCCCATGTGGTACGCATAGTCGATAGCGCCAATCTGCATCCACGAAGTAGAGCAGCCCGTTCGCTCCCTTCCTGAATCGCGGGGACGTGAGGAGTTTCTCGGGGTCCTTCAATTCCGACGCCTCAAATTTCTCCTTGAAGTACGCGTCCTTGATATAGGACTCCTTCCATTCTTCTAAAGCTCGGGGCGTGAATGCGACTAAGAGATGTGCTTTCGACAGCATTTCTTCATCTACAAACTCGGGAGGACGGATCCCTCTAGGGTAGGTCCAATGGTCGGCTGCGTCTTCGTGCGTTCCGCCCCACTCCTGAGGAAGGGGCAGGTCTACGTCTTGTAAGGGCGTATCTCTTGCAAGAGCCTTTGCCACGCGGTCTACGCTTCCTTCCGTTCGCGGACTTACAGGAGGCAGCCTACTAGCTTTTGCCATCTGTCGAGTCTGCACAGCGTGGGCGTCTCTCATCCTTCCTTCCGCTTCCTCCTTACGATCGGCGAGAGCCTCATGAAGCCACCAGGAGGAAAAGGCGGCCTTGCTAGCAGTGTTCTTTCGATCTTCCGCGTTTTGAGCCAGCTGTCGCTTGTCTTCATCGGGAATGATGGCGTCGACGGTGTCCCACACGGGAGATGTGTGTGGTGGTATGCGCGGCAGACGAGATAGGGGGTCGACATTGGAGTGCACATGGCCTTGTCGATGTACCACGGTTAGTTTAGGGTAAGCTGCGAACACGGCCCCCCAGGCGGCCAGCCTCCTGTTGGAGTTCTCATACACCTTGGCCCATTGTAGTGCCGCATGATCTGTTATTAGTGTGATAGTTTCTCCTTCGATAAATGGTTGGAACTTGACTAGAGCCTCTTTGGCACCCAGCGCTTCTCGCTCTGTAGCGCTGTAGTTCCGTTCTGCTGGCTTGAGAGTTCTGCTCCAGTACGCAATAACTCGTTTGACGTCCACAATAGTCTCGTCGAAGGAGGGTGCCCAAGTTCGAGCTTTCCCTACTGGACGGTCGTTCCCACCTGGCAATTTTAGCACTAGAGAGGGTACGTCGGCGCCAGCGTCAAAGGCGCGACGCAATCGTTCATAAGCGGGAGATCCGGCTAGGTCCTTGACCGCTATGCTCTGCACTTGCTGTAGGCTAGCACCTAGTGCGTAGTCCGAAGCATCTGTGTATAGGCGATACGGAGAACCTTGTTCGGGATGCCCTAGGACCGGGGCTCGAGCTAGAGCGTCACGGGTATTCTGGAAGGCGATGTCATGCTCCGTCTGCCAGCTCCATTTCGCTCCCTTCTTGAGCAAGGCGAATAGGGTGGCAGCTATATGCGAGTAGTGAGGAATATAAGCGGAGAAGTAGACGATCATTCCGAGATAGCGCTGTAGTTCCTGCACGGAGTTTGGTCGAGCTAGATCCATAATCGCTGCTACCTTCTCCTTGTGCGTGGACAGCCCTAGACGAGAGACCTTCTGTCCTAGTAGCAGAATCGATGAATACCCTATAAAACATTTGGATGGCGCTAACGTGACTCCGGCTTTCGCGATCGCTCCGAGAACGGCATCCAGGTGCTTCAGGTGTTCTGCCCATGACCGAGAGTAGACAACAATATCGTCTATATACACCAGTGCGAAGATCCATAGGAAAGGGGATAACACTTCCTGCATAAATCGTTGAAATATCGAGGGTCCGTTGCGCAAGCCAAACGGCATTCTTTTGAATTGGAATAGCCCGCGATGCGACCTGAAAGCCGTTTTGGGTCGTGACGATTCCTCTATTTCTATCTGGTTGAACCCTGCTAACGCATCAAACGAGGAGATGACCTGGGAGCCCGAGAGCGACTGTATGATCTCTGATTGCCTAGGAATAGGGAATTCATCCGCTACCATCAGTGCGTTCAATTTCCGATAATCCACGCATAGTCGCGGCTTGCCGTTTCTGTAAATAACTAGACAAGGGAAACCCCACGGACTGACGGAGGGTTCTATTACGTCGTTTTCGAACCATTTCTTCAGCTGTTCGTCGATAACTTCCTTCTTGGCGGGAGATGTGCTGTACATGGGTAGAGATATGGGCTTAGTGTCCTGCGTCAGTGGGATTGTAGCTTTCGTAGCAACTTTGCCCAATCGCCCTCCGAGACCGAAGGCTAGAGAGTTCTTTCTCAAAACCTCCTCTAAGCGCGGTCGTACTTCCTCGGGTATGTCGGCTCCAAGGTTTACAGCTTCCAAGACATCTTCACTGCTGGCTCCCTCTGGAACGGCGGTCGTCTTGGGGCCCCAGTTCTCTGGCTCTTCTTCGTTCGCGTCTAGATGTTGTGTCTCCAGTTCTGTGCTCAGGATTGACTTAAGGGCTACGGCCGCAGAGGACCATTTTTCGAAAGTCGCGACGTTCCGTGGCGCATCGAGGTAGGCTTGTGGGTCGTAGAGATGACCCACCACGTCTCCTTTGCGCACCATTACTGGCCGATTCGTGGGGTTCGCCAAAGGTATATACGGGTTGCTGGCCGTAATTACTGTGGTCGGAGCTGAGATGAATTCGCTACACTCGTTGGATATGAGTAGCTTTTCTACCAGCCAGGTCTCGCGATCTTCAAAGGGTCCGTCTACTAGAATATTCGCGACGCATCCTGGCCGTATGTGCGTAGTGTGGCGGGCGAGGACGGGAGGCGCATCCTTGGGAGGGCCCCGCACTTGCTGTCTCGAACGAATTCTATGCTTCCCTTTCAGGAAGGATTGACCGGTGAAGGCTCTGCGAGCCTTGAATCCCCAATCGTTATTGTCACTTGTAGACGCCTTCAGCTGATACGATCGATCCCGGGGAAATATCTCGCATTGTCCGGAAGCCCTTCGCGTCACTCCGAGTTCGTAGGCAGTCTGGAAGTCTTCACCTAGAAGCAGGGGCACCCTCATGCCTCTGACTACATAGGCTTCCAGCTCGAATTGTACGATGTCGCCGGAAGTGGCTGGAATCAACAGCTTCGTGCGCACATAGCCTAGCACTTTTGCTGAGCCGGTCAATTGGTACAGCTGCATCCTTATCCCCTCCTTGATGTCTGGGGGTTCGTCTAGAGTCGAGAGGAAGTCTTCCGACATCAAAGAGACATCCGCTCCCGAGTCCAGTCGCACATCGATTGTAGATGACTGCAGCGAGCCCACGTGGACCTGCATGCGCAGGGCTCGTATCCCCACAGAGCCATATCCTTCCGGGAATTGGCGACGCCTGATGGCTTGTACTAGCTTGGGACCGTTCACTGGATGAGGCTGGTTTAGAGAGGCCTTGCTGTTCCTACGCGTGTCAAACGGGTTATGAAGACTCTCGGCTACATGCACCTCGTTCATGAAGTCTTTGAATGAGTCCTCTTCTGCCGAAGAAGCTTTGCTAGAAGGAGTGGAGGAGGAGGAGTAATCGCTTAAGGACACGTTGTTCCGCCCAATGTCGGGGAAGGGAGACGATCGTTCCTTACTGTGCGCACGACTCGAACGAGGGATATCGTCATCATTATCGACTTCGACAGTCTTAGCTACACGCGTTTGAGTACCGCTTCTTCTGTCATTCCTTCCACGACTCAGCCAGGCGTCCCTCAGGCTTAGCCATTTTGCGAAATGAGGGCAATCCCGGTGCACATGCTTCGGACTCGTGCAGATCCAGCACACGTCTTTCGGGGGCTGTTCGCTAGTCCTAGAATCATCTCGCATGAACGAATAGTTGTCCCAAGATCCTCCCCGAGGCCACTTGTTACGTGTCTCCTCGCTCCGCCGGAAATCCACTGCGTACGCTTCCTGAGTCGGCGAAGGCGATCGAGATTCGCTACTCGGGTCTCCTCCTTCTACGTTGTGGGCTGAAGCTCGTCGAGAGTAGAAGCGACGCGGTGGAGCCGTGCTGTCGTAACGTTGGGAACGCGGTCGCCTGCGACTTTCGGATCTCTCCCAGTCTGCTATCAAACCTTCGTTCATGCTTTTCAATTTACGAATGAGTTCGACCACTGATCGACAGGTTTCCACGTTAAGATGGATGGCCCAGCATGCAGGCTGAGTGCGTAGAACTCGCTGGACCATGCCCACATCATTGTCGTCGTTTTCCGAGTTCAAGAATCGACTGTATTTCAAGCGCCTTTGTATGAACTGCAGAGGTGTCTCGCGTGTGTGTCCTTCCTGCCTGAAGCGCATTTCTTCATATTCTATTGTGCGCTCGTCTATCCAGTGTGCGTCCATGAAATGTTCCCGTATGCAGAGGACGAACTGAAGATAGGACGAAGTAGCTGTACGTCGTACCTCCGAAGGCAAGGTAGTAAACCAATCCTTAGCCGCAGCCGTGAACCGGGACGAGGCTATCTGCGCGATGTCGGTTTCCATCAGCTCTCCTAGGTCACTGAAAGTCGCTAGATCGGTTAGGTAGTCAATCAGGGTCCTGCCGTCACCATTCCATTCGGGCAACAAGCTCAAGGGAATCTTATGGTTAACTTGCCATCGCTCGGCGGCGCGCAGAGGCGAGTGATCTGGGCGAGGACCTCGGCTCGGGTCGTCGGGATCATCTGGATCTCGCGGCGGGCTTGGTCGTCTAGGTCTTCGTCCTCTTCTATTGTCGTCCCCTAGGTCATCTGGATCAGGTGGTCCGCCAGGCGGCCTGGGCGGAGGTTGACGAGGAGGGCCACGCCGGCGCCTATCATCGTCTGAGTTGTCGCTGCTGCTACTAGGGGGTCCGCCAGGCCTTCTTTCGCTTGACAGGAAGAGATTATTCTCTCTTCGGGGGGATCGGCGGTCAGGGCCTTGTCCCTCGAGGGGCGCAGCGCGCGTCTGCCAGTTGCTCAGGTGTGCTGACGAGGCTGAATGCGCAGGCGGATCTCGCCAGGGTTCTCTTTCCCCGGACGGAGGTCGTGACAATGGCCCCCCACTCTTGAAACTAGGTGACGGGAGTCCCGGGAGGCGGGATATAGGGTGAGCTGGTATAACTGCCGTGACAGGCGCGAACTGAATCTGCCTCTGAGAAGGCCGCTTTGACGAAGCTGAAGAGAGAGGAGGGGGTGAGCGCTCTCGGTAGGAGGGAACACGGTAGCCCTCCGCTTTGAGGTTCGCCGCGAGCTCTTCAGCGGAGGTGCGGAGATGAGAGGGCAGTGTTCGACGCAATTTCTCATGATACCAGTACTTGGCGAGTTCCGTTCGAGGGGATTGCGTGCCGTACTGAAGTCGGGTCCCTTCTGATGTGGAGTCGAAGGAGATCTGGGATAACCGAGCATCCGACTCAGTGAAGTAGCGGCGCAACGACCGGATTTGAGCTTCGATATTATCGTGTGCACGGCTCAGCCTGTGCAGGAGAGTTTCCCAGGTCAACTCCAAGCCAGCTTTATCCAAGGAGTATTCGAGCGACCGTACAAACGTGTAGCGAGGATCGATATGGAAGGCGCGATTAGCTGGTATGCCTCGAAGCTCACTTAAGGCGATCAATATCTGCTGCACGGCTAGTACTACGTGCCCCATGCGCTCTAGTATCGTGATGCGGGGGTGGTACCTCGGAGCGGCTTTCGAGTCGAGTGGCTGGACAGTGATTATGGCTTCCGGGTCTAGCACGAATTCTTTAACGAGGAATCTGGGTAAGTCTGCAGACAGGTCGCTCCAAATCAGAAGTCGGTGCGGCGACCTCCATCGCAGTAGCACGGCTCGCATTAGAACCGTAGTTTCTTCGGGCTGGTCGGGTATTACTCCGGCCTCCCCTCCGACCTCCTTCAAGGGATCCTCGGACACATACGGATCGGGGATCGCATGCCATTGCTCCACCGAGTCGCTTAATGGTTCCACTAATATGTTGAACATGGCTGCTGTTTCGTGGAATAAGTTCTCTGGTTCCGGTCCTAGCAGTAACGATTCCGTGGTCTCCTGTTGATTGGGAATCAAGGATCGGAGAGAAGGAGTGGGCGATGCAGAAGGGGGACGAGAGGCGCTCGAGCCGAGTTTCGTGGGCCCTGCGGGCATACGTGACGTGGGTTTCAGCAGATCGTACGACAGATCCACTATGCTCTGTCCATGCGGAGTCTGAGGGTAGGAGTTTACATAGGGCGAGGATTCAAGCGAGCTTAACGGGGGTAACAGGACCTCTTTGCTTTTACCCTTGCTTGATGCCGCAGTAGCCGGCGGTAGTGCTCCTGCAGAGACTGGCGCGCGTAAGGTAACATTGTGAGGGTCTGTCGTAGGAGAGCTCGATGAGGTCCCGGGGGCGCTGGGAGCGGCTGGCCCTGAGACCTTGCGCACATTCATCAAACGAGCGCGAGTGACCGCTGGAGTGAATACCGCGTTTGAATGAGGAGGGGGAGGGGTCGACTGCGAGGACTTCCTTTTTGAACGGGAGCCCATGCCCTTCAGCTCTTACAACTGGCTTCATATTTAAGAGTCTGCTCTCCCCCTCCGGAACTCCCGTTATCAACCTTGTCATTATGGCGTAGCGATGAGCAATCCCGCGTCTTCGCGAACAAAGGCTTCTTGATGCGAGGTAGATACGAAGTAACGGCGCGAATAAAGCTTGCCGGGGGAGCTAGCAGACCGTGCTGCGCTAGTATTAATATTCCTGAGCTCGCACGCTCTACATCCTCTTCTGAGGACGGAGCTTGAGGGAACAACCTAAGGAGCTCAACAGCGCGTTGCGCCAGAGCGGTGGCTAGTGGGCTCGACAGCGCGCAGCGCCGGAGCAGACGGATGCAAGCTCTACAGCGCTTAGCGCCGGAGCGCCCATCTTACAAGGCTCAACAGGTATAAGCTGGAGCAGCTGAACGACTAGATGACATCCATGGAGATGCCACCATTGTAACGACCATCCGTGTGAATGTCGAGTCGGACAGCGGTAACCTGTATGCCTGGCTGAGGCTCCTGTGACCCTAGGAACGGGGGTCGCCTGTCACCCGGGCTACGGGGAGTGTTGACCCGCTCGGGGGGCGGGCGAGGCCGTGTACGCGTGATAGTCAGGAAGAGTAGTAGTTGTGTATTTTTGGACTCCGCTACCATACTAAGTATACGGGCGTGATAGCTACTTCTAAATAGGGTAAGTGCGTCCTCGTCACACACCCGATCCAGCCAGTCAATGTTTAACGGGAGAGCAGGACAAGCGGGGAAGCTGGAAGACTCAGAGCGATTCAAGTTCAATCACATTTGTACAGAAATCCATAAGACATTGATTACACAGAGTAGAAGAAATTGCGTGATCAAGAGAGACAATGTCCTAACTTCCACAATGAGTCAAAAAGTGTCTATGTATTAAGTTGAAATGAGTATAAGGGAGAAAGGCAAGCCAAACAACTGCTCACATATGGTTGAAATTAGGTTCGTAAACGGGCATGGCAGCTTCGAAGTACTTCAAATTTACGGAGGCTGAAAGGAGGAGACAGAGGTAGCGTAACTCTTGGTTATTAGTTGGCCATCCATACTCAGTGTATATAGGCAGAGTGAACAAAGCAAGACGCAGCTCGGTCCTTTTGATAGATATCGGATTATGACCCTAAGCGCTTGTGACTAACTTATCCAAGCACCTTCATGGTTAACTGCACTGCACTGCGACCATCTCGCGCACAAAGGATGGTCAAATCACGACGAATCCATGTTTATTATCCGGGCCCCGGAGGCATAAAGCCATCTCTAAACCCTCACTTCTCTTCTCCGTGCCACTGCCTCTGGAATCATGGAACTCGTACCAACATTGATCAGATTATCGACAGATGGTCATACCTTCAAATACTGTCTGCCATATTCATCCGAACGTAAACCTCCGAACGTAGAAATTCACTGGGCCTCGAGCTCCAAGTCTACTACTCGAGCTCGAGGAAGATCTTTGACTCCTTCAAGTTCAAGAATGTACGTCGCTGTATTCCCCATCAATTGTATGATTTGTTGACCATCCATCACATTCAGCGTCCACTTTGCAGAACAAGACATGGGAGAGGAGGGTGACATTAACACTCAGTACCATGAGATGTTGAATACTCAGTAAGTCGCCGACATCACCAAGTTCTTCCCCTCATTCAATAAACTATCATAAGGAACCCTGAGTTATCTCGTCGTGGAGCGGCTAAAAATCACCATGATCTTCCAACCACTCAACCCACTACTACTCGCCAAACTAGGCCGGCTTCTATTGAGCAGCACTCCGCCGTCGCCGGACCATCCTCACTTTTTCAACGAACCAACGAACCCCCCCATCATGCGATGCCTGACTTCACCCAACCCCCGAAGCATCGAAAGGTTTACAATGAGGACTTTTACCTTGAATTATACACTTCCTATGGCCCATCTAAGCTACGTTGCCCTCCGCAGTTACCAGCCCAACACACGGCCAGCATAGGTCACTTCCTTCTACATGTTATCGACGGGCAGAATGCCATTCAGGTTTGGCGCATTGACGGGTTCGGTCCTGATGGCCACACTGAGTGGGTCGACGTGGTGGAAGGTGATGTCGAGTTAATCAACGGCAAAGAGTATCGCCTTGCGTATAGTGGGGGTATGTTGGGCTGGGTAACAAACAACACGGTAGATCGACAGGCCAGGAGGAAAAGCAATGGCAAGGGGAAAGCTAAGGCATAAGTAGCAGATTATAGTAATACTTTCGGATAACTGTGGTTTACCTCCTTGTTTCTTATTCATCCCAATATTCAAACTTTTTTTTCTTGATCACAACGAAATCTAGTAGACATGATTATCATCAAATGAACCAAAAATATCTGCGTACGCCATGGCGAGAACAACAAGATTCCGCGCAAAAGACGGCCGTCCGACTCCAGAAGGTCTAAGAGTTATCGCTCCCCTGCTGAGTTTGAGCCTCGATCCCATATTCTCAATTCTCTGCTACGGACTTCCTTAGTAAGTTGGGCACTGACACCTAGGCGATGGACCACGACGACGGTATCTTGTTGGCTTTCGCTCTGTGCCGCTCCCTGTTGCTGTATTTACATCCGCCTTCCCCTTCCTCCCCCTGTCGAATCTGCATCCTCTGCGTCCGAGCAACGTTTGGTTCGTTCTGTGTGTAGCACATTCGCTGTCACTGTTGGGTCTCCTGTTGACCACTGGAGCACGTTGCGCTCTCCCACATGCTCAGGTGAAGTTCACCTGAATGGCTGAACAACACCTGAACAACACCTGAACAACACCCAAACAGAATCCGAACATTGGCTGAATTTCTCCACCTAAACTCATTTTTTTGGTTCATATTTTGTTCAGGTCACCTGAATTGTTCACCTGAACATTTGGTGAGAACATGACACTGACCCACGGGTTAAGGATGGACTCTAGTTGGAGTCCAGTCAGAGTTCTGGACTCAGATGAGAGTCAAGTCAGAGTCAGGTCAGAGTCAGGTCAGAGTTGACATGTTTCACAGGCCAAAACCATCTGGAGTGGAATGGACTCTATATAGACTCTACCTGGAGTTTCAGAGTTGATCCAGACTCAGACTGCACTCAAGTTGGACTCCATCCAAATCCAGGTTCACTCTGGCTACCAGGGTTACTCAGAGTGGAGCTGGAGTGGAGCTGGAGTTTAACCATAGTCTAGTGAGAGCCAGGTCAGAGTTCAGCCATATAAAATGTGGCAATCTTGGCAAGTTGGGCTAAGAGTCTGGGTTGAATTTATACTGATTTTGATTCTCATATTACTCGGCAATGGAGCCTTCTAATATCAAATCAATCACAGATATTGTTATTTTTTTTTCTATGGAGTAAGTTAGAGGTTATTACACAACTGTTGACTCTCTTCTGAAGCATGTGTACATTAGTAGATTCCTATTGTTCAAATCACAAGTTCAATTGCATTTGTAATGACTCTTATCTGAGTCTATCTGAGTCTCAGTGTTCTTTGGAATGGGTGCATAATATTATCAGATTATAAGATTAAGAGTTTATATAACTTACTCCCATGTGGCTAATCCAATCTGAGTCTATTTAGTGTACTTCTCTGAGTAGCATTTAAATTGTTTAATAATTTACCAGAACTTCAAATCACCACTTCATACATGACTTATTGAACTATTTGATTGTGAATTAACACACAGAGTCATTCTGTAAGGGGACACCTCTATTTTCTCCTATTCCCCTGTCCCTGTCCCTTCCTCCTCATTCCTTTCTCCCTTCCTTCATCCCACGGACTCTTACTTACATCCCTTTCATTCCCTTTCGTTCCTGTAACGACCGTGTAGAAGATGTCGAGCCGCTCAAGTGGGGGAGCTTGTATCCCTAGCGAGAGGGTCCCGTGGCCTCGGGAAAGGGGATCGCCTGTGACCCAGGCTATGGGGAGGATGACCCACTCGGGGGATGGGCAAGGTCAGTTCACGCGCGGGGTAATGTAGGAGTAAGAGTAAAGTGTTACATTGTCGGGTTTTTAATATCTAGTGATAACTACCATGATGACTACTTCTATGTAAGGTAGGTACACCGTCGTCACAGCTCCCCTTTGCTCCCTTTCCTTTCCCCATGGAGAATCCTTATCCTATTCTCTTTGGATTCTCCCTCTGCTAGGCCTGCACTGTTGGCCATCTTGAGGTTGCCCTTACACATTCAGGACAAGTGTAATCTATCTGAATTCTTGATAGAGTTTTGGGTTCAATCTAGATAGAGTCTAAACTGACTCTGGATGAGTGGAGTCCAACCGTAGTCTGAGTGGACTCTCACTCAACTCAGATAGACTCTGCTTGGAGTGTAGTCAGAGTCCCAGAGTCCAGTCAGAGTCCAGTCAGACTCATACAGACTCTACTTAGACTCTACTCAGACTCTCAGAGTTGAGTCAGAGTTGAGTCAGACTCAACCTAGACTCAGCTCAGACCCGTGGGTCAGTGTCATGTACACCATTTGGTGAATTCAGGTGAATTTGACAGGTAATGTTCACCTGAATGTTAGGTGAATCCAGGTGGAATACATTTTTTTTTTTTTGGTCTCTGTTTAACGTCCTTAGGAGAGTCTCCATGCGGACGGCACTGTACTACGATACTCTATGTCTACCAGTGTGTATATATGATGAATACAAAGGGCCCCCATGCCTGCCTTGACCCCCTAGCTCTTCAAGCACGACAGACGGACGGTCCGAGACCTCGTCCCCCTGCCGCCCAGCGAATGAAACCGCTGTTAATCCGACGCTAGTGTATTATGGGGAGCTTCTGGTGTGGGTGAGTCGGCTACTTGGCTCATGGCCTTCCATGTGAGGTGCTCGTCCCGAGGGAGAGCGAGTTCGAAGCTGTCAAGGTAAGAAGAAGAAGAAGAATGTCTTGAGGAGTCTTGAAGTGTCGTAACGCCACCAGAACGGAGTCCTCCCTACCAGAATCCGACTCGCACTCGAGCAAACCGCGGTACACGACCTTCATAACCGTCGCTCCGCCCCTACCCGCCCTTTCCTCTCTTTTCCTGCCTTCCTTTTGGTTCTCTTTTCCTCCAGCCTCAACTTCTTTTCTTTCAGTACGTCTGCCCTCCTTGGCGCCACCAGGTCTCCTTCTAGGTTTCCGAATGGGTTGTTGAGGCGCCCGGTACGCCTGGCGAAGGCGATGGTAGCCTCCATGCCGTTCGCCGTGGAGAGGAGGACCTTCAGGGGAAGGTCAAAGTTTTTGCTCTCTGCCTGTAGTATGGCTCTTTCGATGTCGTATGCTGGACACTCGATGAGGAAGTGCCGTACAGTTTCTTCCTTGTTGTTGCAGTGTGGGCACATGGGTGAGGCGGCTTTCTTTATTCGGAAGAGGTGCTGATTCAGGGGGACGTGTCCAGTGCGAAGTTGCGTGATGATACTTGTTCGACTCTTTTTCCAGTCGCCGACCAGTCCCAGGTAGTTCCCTACCTTAAGCGTTGGGTCGATCCTGGCCAGCTTGGCCCTGCGAGTGGACAGGCGCCATGCAGCTTCCCAGCGCAGTGGAATCTGCAGGCGGGCAGCCTGGCGTACTGCCGCCTTGCTGGAGGGCAGGGTGGACTCCAGCAGGGTAGGGGGATGTGCTGCTGGACGGGCAGTACCTTGGGCGGCTTCCTTTGCCAGCGCATCAGCGCGCTCGTTGCCTGGGACGTCATCATGTGCGGAGATCCAGTGCAGGCTGATCTGGGGGGGAGGGGCAGGCCCTAGGGCATTCTCCGTTGCGAGGATCAGGGTATCCTCAATTTGCGTGAGGATGTATTGACCCGTGCCTTTCCTCCCTGTCTCCACTCGCTGGATGACTGATTGATTGTCCATATAGATTTCGATCTCCCCCTGTAAATTCCCTGTCAGTATCTCGTTCGATGCCAGTAAGAGCCCCACCGCTTCAGCGTCGAAAGTAGTGTTGTGAGTGAGTGGCCCCAAAGTGTGGCTCATTGCCGCAACCTCCTCGTTTCCATGGTAGACCACTGCCGCCGCTCCTGCCCTACCTTCGTAGCCTGAGCCGTCAACGTAAATCTTGTAGTCTGCGATTGAGGTAGCTTCTCATGCTTTGGAGTCGTCGCGAGAGGCGGCGATGTGCACAGGGATGGGGCAGATTGCGTCTAAAGCTCTGTGGGAGGTGGGCAGGATAGTCTCCGTCTTTGCTGGTTGGATGCCATATAGTCGCATTAGCGCGATGATGGGTGGTATGTGCCCGCCGTGGTAGCAGTGAGTCCAGGAGAGGATTTCTCCTATGGGATGGGTGTCTGGTAGTGTCGCTGCCCGTGCTGCGTTCCTATGACAGATGAAATCCAGGGTGTACTCCAAAGGGGGGATGCTGGTGTGGAGGTCCATGATATCGTTAGCTGTGGTGCGCATGGCCCCGGAGATTGCCAAAGCCGCTGTACGTTGTGCTTTGACCAGGGTTCTCAGTGTTCTAACTGAACCGACCTGTCGTTTGCGCCCTGCTGGCAGCCGAACCGGGATATACCACACGTCCAGTGCGTATGCTAGTTTGGGAATGGCGACTGCCAGGTAGAGTTGTCGAAGGAGCCTGGAGCTGATGCCTCCCCCGACGCGCCCTAGTCTTTTGAAGGTGTTGATCCACTGAGTTGTTTTACTGAGGGCTGCTGCCGTTTGCTCCCTCCACTGGAGGTGTTCGTCGATGATTATTCCTAGGATCCTGTAGGAGGTCTCGCGTACCACCTCCTTATCTAGCAGTGTCAGTACGGGGTGCTCGACTTGCCTGGGCGTAAAGTTCATGACTCTAAGCTTGCCTGCTTCGAAGCGTGAGTTGTGATTGGCGGACCACTCGTAGGCGCCGTGCCGGCGGGTCATCATGTTCTTCAGTTTACGATGTGCGCCCTTGATGGTGTTAGCCTCTGCTATGAAGGTGACGTCGTCCACGTACGCGATGGCTGCCTCCCCTTTGGCGGCTATTGGGATGTCGACGAGGTCAGCGTTATAGAAGAGGTAAAGGATCATAGAGATGGGGTCTCCTTGCCTGATACCGTTGTCAACGTTGATCCAATCGGATTTGTAGTCGTCAAATACCATCGTAGTCTGTCTGTTGACCAGAAGACTCCGTATGAAGGAGACGAAGTTGGCTGGGATTCTTCGCTTCCGTAGGTTGGTAAGAAGTTGGTCCGTCACTGCATTTGGGAAGGCAGCCTTGATATCGAGGAAGAGAGCTGACGCCACTCTCCCCCTGCTCCAGGCCTGCTTAATCTTGGTGGTGAGTGTGTGCAGTGCGTCGCTCGTAGTTCTGCCAGGTCTGCCTCCAAAGTGGTGACTTGGCAGCAGGTCGTGTTTCTCGCACATCTCCACTAGGTCCTCCGTCACCAGCGCTGTGAGGACTTTGGCCATGGTGTTGAGTAGCGCAATTGGTCTCCAGGCCTTGGCGAGATCGTATCGTGGTTTTCCTGGTTTCTTCAGTACAATGGTGGTCCATCTCTTCCAGACCTGCGGGTAGTGGTTCAGCTGAAAGGCTGCTTCGTATATTCTGGTCAGTATCGGCGCAAGTGTATCACTACACCTCATGAGAACCACATTGGGGATGCCGTCTGGCCCGCAGACTTTGAATGGCTTGAGTCTCGCGATTACGTTCTTTGTCCTGTGAGTCGATGCCGCAAAGTCATGTTCCACCGGCTCTGGGAGCACCTCCGGTGCTGTTGCTGTAAAGTTGACTGGGCGTTTGGGGAAAAACATGTCAGCGAGCATGCGGCCCTTCTCTTCGTTGGAGGCGGCCTCCTTCTGAGAGCCGTCGGGCATGTTGAATTTCAGCGAGGGAACGCGCACCTTGCCTCCGTCTGATCCTGGGCTGGAGATATACTTATTGGCGATCCAGAGCTCCTGCGGGTCGAGGTCCTCCAGAAATTCTTCCCAGTGTGCCAGCTTGACCTCTTCGAGTCTCTGCTTGTATTTAGTGCCGAGTTGCCGGGCTTCATCATGAATTGGAGAGGGGACGTTTCGCAGTTTGTGTGAGGCACGCTTGGCTCTTGTATGCTGGGTGCGTAACAATTCCAGTTCTGCGTTCCACCACCTGCGATTGAAGGGGGCGGTGCTGCTCTCCTTGATGGTCTCTGCGATGGTCCCCTGCAGAAGCTGTGTGAGTGCGTCGACAGCATGATCGATGTCCTGGGGCGTGCGCAGGTGGTCAGGAATCCCTGCAAGAGGGAGGCGGGCTGTGAGCTCCTCGTTGAAGACCTTCCAGTCTACCAGGCGGAAGTTGCGCGTACGGTGTTCCTCAGTGAGGTAGGTAGAGAGGTCGAGGATGGTGTCCACCGGGTAATGGTCAGCACCTGCAGGGGACTCCCCTGGGAGAACCTCGCATACCAGGATTCTGTCCATAAGGTCAGCTGAGACAACGACGTTGTCTACCCGATACTCGTTCTTTGTTACCATATGCTCCAGGGTAGGAACACCAGGTTCAAGGGCCATTTCCATGTTGAAGTCGCCTGTGAGGTCGATGAGGAGCTGTGCATCCTCGCGGGCCTTGTCTGTGAAGAGGTGGTGGTCAGCCGGATTGTCCCACCACTCATGGTGACGGTTGAAGTCTCCTGCCCAGATCATTAGCGGGTTCCCGTGTTTTCGTTGCAGTTCCAGGGCGGCTCTTCGGGTGCTATCCAGTGCGCATGAGTGGTCGCAATCATTGTAGATATTGAAGATGTAGATGTTGCCGGCGTTGGAGGTGAGGCGGAGAGCCGTAACGTCACCGGTACCTGGTATAGGCAGCTGGTCATATGTGTCCGTGCTGATCCTGCTATTTACCAGGATTAGCGAGCGCGTAGGGTAGAGATTGTCGCCCTGTGAGTAGGGGTATAGCGGGATCCAGTTACGATTGGTACGCGTAAGTTGGGCGTGGCAGAGGTATGGTTCTTGAATTAGTAGGATGTCGTATTCTTCGTGGAGCGGGGAGTTAGAGATGGTGTGCTGCGCTATGAGAGATTTGTTGAGGTTGTATTGCCGGATCCGTATACTATCAGGGGATCTATCAGTCATGAGTCAACGGGCGTGGGGGACTTCTCTGTAGTTTGCGAGGGGGGGTCCTGGTCCATAGGCAGGTCCTGAAAGGAGTCCGCCCAGTCGATACCCGGGGAGGAGCAGGTGTGAGGCCGGCGAGTGGGTGCAGCTTCCGGGAGTGGTCTAAAGCTATCTGCAATTGACGTCTGGCAGGGCTGGGTCTTCTTCGACTGCCGCCAGTTGCAGTCCAGAAGGGTATGGGTCGAAACGCGCCCTGAGTAGAGTGGGGTGCATTGCTGGGTCCAGGGCTCTTCTGTGGGGAAGAAAGGGAGGCGGTTACTCTCGAGGCGTTCGTCCAGTGCCCGTTGCAGTTTGAGACGGCTCGGGCAGGTTCGTTCCCAGCTTGCATGCCCCCCAATCCTGCACGCAACACAGGCATGAGCTTCTTTGCGGAACAGCTGGGGGCAGTCCCCTTGTTCGTCGTGTTGCTGGGCACAGGTGGCGCAGGTTGTGGAGCTGGCGGTGCAGGCGCTGGCGACGTGGCCGTAGTTTTGGCACTTGAGACAGCGGAGTGGTTCTACTTTGCATTTGTGACAGCGATAGTTAGTGTCCATGAAGAGAAGTCCCTGTCGAAGAACGAGGTTAGCACTGCTAGGGGAGTTAAAAGTGATGGTTGCGTGTCCGAATTGCTGGTTTTTCCCTCGTCTTTCAGCCGGTTTCATCCACTTTATAAGGGTGATGGAGTGCGGCGGGAGGTCGTTCTCCTCTTCGATGTTTCAGCAGGTTTCCTCGTCATCAATGCAGTGTTCCACCGGGAGGTAGAGAGCCTTGACAGTGTATTTCTTTTCTTTAACGGTGGATCCTGGGCTGAAGGCAGCGACGAAGTCACCGAGGCGCCCCTCCGCGGTGATCCATTCTTTGGCAGCTGCAAGGTTAGCCTCCAGGAGTATCCCACCTTTTTTGAGCTTGGTACAGCCGACGAAGGCCCAGGCGGGCTTGCCTCCAACTCGGTGAAGTGCCTCAGTGGCTTCTTTGGCGATCCTAATGGTCCCCACTGTGGCGGGGTAGAGGAGAGTCTTGCCTGCGGGTGGGTCCACCAGGATGCGCCTGCGGTCTCGTTCCAGCCTGGCTTGGGTGGAGGGTTGGAGGAGTGTCCGATGTGGGGGTGGGGGTGGGGGGGAGTCGGTGGCGACCACATTGGCGAACGACTTGGGAGCACGTTCCGTCGTGGCTTTTAGGTTTCCAGCGGTAACCTTGAGGATGTCAGTGCTTTTGTCCAGTTCCCGACTTGCCTTAAGTACTCCTTGTTTGATTGTGGTAAGGGTATTCGCAGAGAGATCCTCTAACTTTTTGACGAGGTTCCCTGAGATCTCTTTGGCAACATCCCGCATGGTAGTCGTGGCTTGTTCCGAAGCTTGACGAAGGAGGAGCTCGTTCTGAATGGTTGCGAGGGCGTGCAGGAGTTCGCTGGTACCTGTGTCTTGCAGTCGGGCGGCTACCTTGAAGAGAGTGTTGGCGACAAAATGCAAATCTATTTTGCCTATAAAACGGAACATCCCCGAGTCTCGAAGATGCTGGGTGGCTGCGTCGAAGGGGGTGTCCGCCGTCTTCTGGGGTACTGGGGGCTTGGCTCGTTTCTGCAGACGTTTGCTGGGTCTGCGTGTGGAGGAGGAAGGCGACCCTGATATGTTTGCTGGAGCTGCGGCGGTGGGGGAGTGGGAGGATGCCACGTGGACGTCCTTGCGCTTGAGACCTGCCAGGGAGCTGGTGGAGAAGGAGAAGGGGAGTACGCTTTGCTGAAGTGGAGGGTGAGGTGCTGGGTCTCGAGGTGTCTCTAGATGTGGAGGGGGATCCCGTCGTGCTGGCATGTGGATGGGGGTACAATCCTTCCCCCCCGATTTACGCAGTGCTGCTGCTTCGTTGCCGGCTTTCAGCGCTGCCAGGGCTGAGTGGAGAGTGGTGTCGTCGAGGGCGGGGTGGTGATCGTCTTCATCGTCGCTGTCCTCATGTGAGGCCTTGCGCCGCGTGGCCTGACTGCTGGTTGCTGGTCTCACGCAGTTTGATGCCACGCTACTCTCAGCTGAGCGTGTAGGACGTAGCCAATCGCTAAGATTGAACCCGGGCTTGCTTCCCGGGTTGCTGTTATTCATATTACCTCTATTTCTTCCCTTTTCTTGCGGGCCTACCTTTGTCGTGCCCGTTGGCGAACGGGCGCCTAAACTTTAGGTCGTGGTAAAAGGAAGAGAGAGGTTGTGGAATACATTAGTACTACTTGTTGCAGGAGTATATGAATAATGGCTCTTTTTAAGTGGGAAAACTGTTCAAAGGGATCAACAATACTTCTTCCTAAGAATATCTTTTACTCAGAGCACTATTCTACAGACAAATAGTATATTGTTACAGTGGGAAAATATCACCCAAAACCTGGTTTAGAAATAGTAGAATCACTTGCGGCTGTGGCCACTGCAGAGCATGGCATGTACAGGTCCTTTTGTCTGGGAACTGGGAAACTGAAAATATGTCCAAGATCAAATAATGAATATTCACAGACATGAGTCAATGTCAGTTAATTGGCAGCAAGAGAGACTCTCAGTGATCTTACATATATGGCTGCAATTGTGTTCATTAATCTACATGTGGAAAGATTATGATCTGCACATTGTCTATCATACTTCATGAATCCCCCATTTGACATACCATCATAGATCCAGCTGTGACCACTACAATCAACATATCTACCAATAAAATGGGATCTTCCATAGTAAACAACACATTTCAAGTAATAAGGTATTGTGATGTTTTGGGTGATCATACAGAGAGTGTAGTGAATGCAGCAATGAATTCGAGCAAGATTCAATGCATTGGCAGATTGTTGAAAAGGTTGAACATGGAAGAGAAGAACAGGAACCAAAAACGGTGCGGGCAGATAGATTTAACGCCAAGATACAGCTGCAAGTGATTACATAAGTAGATACAATCCTGATTACCCAATGCACTGGCTACCGGCTACATGAGTAGTCACCCTCTTTGCGTAGCGCCCAAGTGTCCCACCCCAATTAAAGAACAGATCCTTTTGTTACACTACAGGACCCGTAACATAGAAATGACACCATGGATGACAATCATATTGATGAGACCATATTCAGGTGTTGTTTGTATGTGGTTCAGATAATGTTTGGGTAATGTTCATGTAATGTTCAGATAATGTTCAGGTGATGTTCAGATGCTGCTCAGATGGCATTCATCTGTCATTCAGATGGAATTTGGGTGATCTCTGTTCACCTGAACATCACCTGAACACCATCTGAACATTATCTGAACCTGAACAAAGGCTACAAACAGAATCTGAACATTACCTGAACTTTTGGTGAAATTCACCTGAACAGTATCTGAACAATACCCGAATACCCAGACATCACCTGAATGTCAGATGAACATGTGGTGGACTGCAACATACACGAACAACTGATGTCACCATCGTTTACCGTGTCTTCATCTTCCATAAATATGGCGTCGTCGTCATATTCGGTTGTTGTCTTTGAAGTCACCGTCATCTGGTATTGCCCGCTACGTCCCGCGGCACGTTCACTCTCCTTACCCGATATTGCACCTATCGTTTCCATCAGCTAGTATTAGTTAATTAATGTAAGCCACGAGTTCTTCAGTTAGATAATAAAGCACACCTCTAACGCTGCAAGATGTATGGTATGTGGCATGCATCGGAGTCGAGCATTCTTTGCAGAAAAGGAAACACCTGCATCTTTCAACCGATCTTCTAGTTCACAAATGAGTGTATCATTGTTACTGGTGTTGTCCATCATAAATGCAGTTACCTAAATGAGAGTTGGCACAAATCATTATAGGTGATTTAAGCTGACTTACATGGCCTATCAAGCCATAGCAGTTGAGTGTCTCCCACACTGCGTCGGCCATGTTTTCCCCTGAGTGTTGACCGATGAGTTCCTTGAAGTCAATTAACAATTCCTCTATCAATGCGGTTAGTCAATCAGAGGCTAACAGTGTCATAAATGTGTACCAAGCTTTCCATCGTTTGTGATATAGTGCGCAACAATAGCCAGGAAGGCATATTGGTTTGGTGATGTCCACGCATCGAGGGATATGGTGATATCAGACTCCAGATTTTGTTGCGCAAGATCCAATCAACCGGGCAATGGGTATCCAAGAAACGAGAGCTTACTTCAAACATTTGCCGTATCTGAGCAATTGTATCATTGCCAGCCTTCATAACCTTTGTTTGAATTGTGGTGCGCCCCGGAACATGGATAGGAGTTGTGCTGCCACCACGCTGGTACACATACTGTATCAGCTTCTGAAACTCTGGCTGCTCGGCTTCCATGAATGGCTGATCACAGCAGACCATCCACTCAACCAGGAGCTGTTCAAATGTTCCTTGATCCCACGTAGGCTACCAGCGAGATTAAATTAGTTAGCATGTTATTAGGGGGGCGACAGGAGCCTCACCTTGCTATTATCCAATTGACGTTGAAATGCAGACATGATCAACATCGAGCCTGGTTCAAGTCCAGATATGTATTTGGCGATAGCTTCTTCGTTCAACGGAGTTTGAGCGGTTGCGATCTTGAGCTCCTCTGCTGTCAGGGCATCCTTGCGAGTTTTGATCGCTTCACAGAAACGGTAGATCATGGGGAAATTCTTGAGATGTTGTACAAGGCCTAATTTCATTATGAGATAACATATATATTAGATATAAGGCGACATACCAGTTGTATTATTCTTCATTGATGGTGTAATCCTTAGGGTCTTGCGCGCACCGTGGTAGCACTTGAAGTACTCCATTCCTTTGGCTGATTCCCCGTTTGCATCATTATCTACCTGCTCAAAGAACCGGTAGATATGGCTTTGCTTTCCACCCTATGTATTTAATTAACATCATATATCTAACGAAGTAAAATTCTGTTCACCTTTGCTGTTGTACTAATCCCGACACTGGATGCCGTTGATACAACACTTGCTACACTGGATTCTTCTCGAACCCGTTTTGCTTTCGGAGGCGATGCCTTCGTTGACTGCCGATGCTTTTTGATACGTGCCTTCAAGGATGCAGCAGGGATGAGCTGGGATGGAAGGGAAGCAGCAAGCTGCAGATTTAATGAGTGACGAGTATATGAGCGTAAAATGATTAACGTACCTCTGCATTCGTGATCACCCTATCTTCATCTTCATCATCTGATTCATTATCCGTATCAACAAGTGGGGGAATAAAATCATTGTCTTCAGGATCGTCATCATCGTCTTTAGGAAGTGTCGTGGTAACTGTCGGTGCACCGGCCGTAGTAGTAGGTTTCCTGGACCTTGAGTTTGCTGTAGCTCATGGTCTACGAAGTGCTGCGGGCTTGCCATCATCGTCAAGTTGAAGAGCCGCAATGGCTTCTTGCCTCTTATCTGAGAAGTGTGGACGACGAGGGCGACCTGAAAGTGGATTAACAAGTATCATGGCTATTGCAACGTAAATGACCACTTACTTTGTCCAGCATCTACCTCTTCCGGGACCGGCATGGGAACAAGGTCGTCAGGATCGAAGACAAATGATATCTTGGAGGCGTGAAGGAGGTTGCCGTCTGGGCCAATCGCGCACTGATCATCAGACATTGCAGCTGGACAATAATGCTATACGAGGTAAGAAAATGTCTTGATTTATAGTGTCAACGGTGAATATAGTACTTGCCTAAGAGCTACTCCTATCGCCTAGTTGAACTGTTTGTTCCGCGAGGAAACCCCACCTGCCCATGCTGTGCATGACACGATGTTAGCATAGGATCTAGCAAGCATATGTTCGGTTATTCATAAGCAAAACTAAAGCCCAATCAAGACTCCTCCATTTTGACAAACATACCTGGAACGTGTGTGAGCACACTATCTCCTCGATGGCAAAGCACACCACACCATGTGGGCAGCAGCATGCCTTTGACGCAGCAAGCCTCAAGGTGAACAAAAGCGGGGTCCCGTGGCTGTTAACGGTGTGCTTGATTGCATAGACCAATGTCGGACACTGAGGGGTAAGGCGAGCTGGGCACGTTGCGGAGTTTTCGAGCTTGTCGTGGTTGAGGGTGGTCGGTAAGTAAATTATCACCGCCACGTAACACTGCATGGCTCCTGCTGACAAACTTTCTCATAGTCTCAATCCGTACATACGGTATACGGCTATTTACTCTGAGCCGTATACGGCGAACCCATTTTGATCCCCCAGCCGTATACACAAAGTGTGATTTTCTCAGCGGTACGGTACGGAGGCCGTATTTACGGGGCCGTATATATGGTGTCTACGGTTACAATCGGCTGCCCTACTAACTGCAACTGAATCCCATGTATGTTCTCGTCCTGAGCACTGTCGTCTCTGAAAATAAGTAGGCTGGCTGTAGCGGCTATGAAAGTAGTTGATGCCTGGGCCACTCCTTATCACTAAATTCTATCGGTGGCAAGTTCCTAGCTTCGCAGTCATGATATTGGTCAAAGGTATCTGGACGACTTTGTTGACAGGGCCAGACTCCAGAGAAGGGGTACATGACGGGATTTCAGTGCTGGCCAGTACTCTCAAGTCAGTGGGGTCCAAGGACCCTCTAGCGGTCATGGTGACTGCAGATGTCCCACAAGAGACGCGTGCAAACTGCCTGGCGCTCGAGACGGTCCCTGTGGTTTGGGAGGTCGTAGCAATACACCGGGCCATTCGAGATAAGGCATTGGGTAGGGAAATTGAATCAGGCTGTGCAAAGTGTCAGAGATATTGGGGCTGCAGGACAGGCCCTGAAGAGATCGAGCACTTGGATGACACGATAGACCACCGAATTTGGACCACGGCACGACTTGAACAGCCTCAAGGATCGTATTAATATTTAAATTACGAGACGTTACACATGGACATCCAGGAGGTCGTAGAAGGGGTTGTAGCCCAAATCATATAGACATGAAGGAAGAAGGTCGGCCCATTCAGTAATGAGGAGTATGGATGTCGGCATGCTCGTGAAGCGAACTGGAAGACTTCTTGTCTTTCTCGGTACTCAGGATAAGGTCGGCAACAGCGGAACCGTGTAGGTGCTGGGCAGCTCCTTCGCCGTTGAAAAGGGCTGCAGTTTCTTCAAGGGTGCGGTCCTTTGTCTCGATAATGAAGAAGTAAAGGAATGCGACCTCAAAGAGGAGCCAGCAACAGTACACAACCTAAGTATGTTCAGGTTATTCTCAAGCTGTCCTAGAGAGCTGTGGTATGCGAGCATACATAGTACTTCCATTGAATAGCATGGAGCGCCACTGGGTTGACGTATTGGTTGAAGATCAGCGACAAGGATTTAGCGGAAATGAAAACGGTAAATCCTTTGGCGCGGAGGGGGAGAGGTAGAATTTCCACGGTGTATGAGACGATGAGAGGTGTAAGGGCGATGCTGTCAGGCATAGATGTCCTATGGATACATAAAGCGACTGTTCTTACAGTGCACCTTTTATGTATCATCACCTATAATAACAGTGAGCACTGCCTGATGCATCGTGTTATATATCACACAGTTGTTGTTACATAATTTGCCATTCGCTCCACTGGCGCTGGCGCGTGTCGGCTTTGTGTCGGGTGGGTGGTGCTGGGATTAATTTGCGCTCCGTGCCCCGCCATCCATAAAAGGAGTGTCTTGAAATGGCCAATAAAGAATCTCCCAAGAGATCTGGTGAATGCTTCTTTATTTTTCTCGATCGAACCGATAAAAGTACCCGATCCCTCTCCTTGGAACCCCGCAATGCGGAGAAACATATCCGTATGTCAGAGAATGCAAAAGCCCGCTTGCTCACCTCGTGCTCACCTCGTCACCCCATTAATGTGCCCAGTCATCCACAACATCATGGGGGCGCTTGGTGTGGGGGAGGGAATGTTTTGCTTCAAAGAACCCATATGTTAGGCAGCGACAATATGTTATAAAACATTCTATGTACCTGTTACTTCCACAATATATTCCTGAGCCATCACTGGACTCCAAACGCTCAGTCGATTACACAGAACAAGGGCAGAAACATAGAACAGCACCTTGGGACTCGTTACCTCTCAGATAAGCGCTTGTGGACTTGGTAAAATCTCAACTCCCCAGCATAAGCGCTTGGGACTTAGACACTTTTAACATTCGGAGCGTAAGCGCTCGGGGTTCGGAGCATCACACCAGATCCAGTGCGATAGATCCCAGTGTTGCAGTAGCTCTATTGGCAAGTACATACATCACATAATTAATGATATCTATGTAGAGTACACGCTGATACCTCAGTACTTGGAATTCTTTCTACTTTTACCTTTCTTGGGGTGCCTGTTCTCCTTCTTTTTGGTGACACTTGTGGCCTCCCACTCCTTTCGCTCAGACAGCTTCCAAACACGCTTCCCAGGCACAATAAAGGCAGAGTCTTCACCTACGTCCAGAGCTCTTTTGCGGCAATGGAGCGGAGCGGGGTTCCCAATTAATGGACTGACATCAGAACCAACGTCAGCAACAGCGCCCACCGTCTCAGCATTTGCAGCGTTTCCTGTTGGGGTGCCAGCCACGGTTGACGGCAAGACGACGGGGATGAGACGGCAGGGACAGGCGACGAGGCAACAGGTGGTGATGAGGCGGCAGGGGGGATGGGCAAGATGGGGAGTTCAGGTGTTGTTGAAATGGGGGAGACAGGTATTCCCGGACCAGTGACGATGGTGGGAATGGGCGCAGGATTGATGGAGGTCATATTAGTGGCAGCGTGGGTAATGTAGTCAGGGAGGTCTGCAGCGAGCTCATCGAGGAGAGAGCCGAAGGTGCTGTTTCCGGCGAGAGGTGCCATGGTGGAGGGAATCGTGGGATTGAATGTTGCCATCATAGTGTCGAACTCACTCCAGTCGAACTCATCTAGGTCGGGCAGTGGTGCAGGATTGGTGTTTGGCAGGGCGGCAGGGGTGACGAGGGCTGTAGGAGGACCAGGGACAGGTGGAGGTAGAGTAAACTCACACTGAGCAGGGTTCTCCATCCCCACATTGAAAGAAGCCATCATGGTGGCAGAACCATGAGAAGGAGTGTCAGCTGGCAATGAGTCCACCAAATCGACGGGGACAAGAGACCTTGCGTCACATTCTGCTTTTGCTGTTGCAGGATAATCAATGATGAAAGTTAGCTTATTTGTTGGATGGTCGGATCTAGCACTCACTGTAAACCGTGTTTAAGAAATTGGCATATGGAGTAAGGACCATATCCCCAAAGCCTGGAGTTGCTTTCCCGAAGTGCTGGCCCGCCTTGTTCTCCCCAAAATGTACACTAGGAAGACATTGATAAGGATATAAGGGGAATGGACAGCTGGACTCACCCGATACTATTGATTCGACCTCCATTCTCTGGATCGGGGCCACCTGCCAGTAAAGTAAACGACCAACCCGTTCTGCGGGCAAGCTCCTGACTGAAAGCTTGAAAGTATTTAGGAATTTCATCTATTGCGCTGAGAACGGGTAAGTAAGTGCCATCCGTAAGCCAAGAATGAGCTTACACAGCATATTGTGCAGCTGTTATCTGCTCTGGGGCCTCCTCCTCCTTGTCCGCACGGTCCCTTAATGCTTTGTATAGGTCCTCGATCTCCTTCTTAATTTCTGCCGTCTCGGGTGCAAAAAACTTGGGGATCTTGTCTTGTAGTACGGATAGGAAAGCTGCACTGGTGAGCTTCGAGCCTGCTGGGAGGTCCTCGTAAATTTTCGGGCGAATACACGTCTTGTAGTATTTTTTGGTGTAGAGCTGCAGAAGTTGAGGCCGACGAGCAGTTTTGATGGGTTGTGGTGGTGGTAGCTGCTTGGGCGTGGCTTGGGTTTTTGCGGCTGTTCGGTTGTGATACCACCTCTTTAGGTACTACAGTCCGTATGTTCAGGGCCGTCGGTGATCAAAAAACGTATACCACTCACATCCTGATGTTTCGCTATTTTTGCACCTAAGTCCTTCTTCCTCTCGCTATCGTCCACAATAGCCATATCTTCCTCTTCTTGCCACTGCTCAAACCACCCCCGGTAAAGTACAGGCCAGAACCTGTCCAGACGGCCGTGTTTCTGGGCTTCCAGAAACTTGTCTAGTAGCCCAGTCAGGTAGGCCTTTTGTTCTGTATTAGCTTTGCTGGGTGGTGCCATGTCATATACCAGTCCTCACGCCCCCTTAGGGGTTCCCCCCTACGCCCCTTTTGGATACTCGGACCCTCGGAGCCCCTCAGGCTCCGCCCTCGCGGCCTATGCATGGTGCGCAGCACTTGGATTCACTTGTTACATGTTTCACCTACATGTGTACTTACATACTAAGCCTCACTACATACATGTGTTAGTTAGTATTTATAGTAGCACTAGTAGACATGTATTCCTCACTCTGAATCCCAGTTTCTTCTCCGTCACTTGTCCTTCTAAGTCTTCGCTCCGGGCTCCTCCGCGGAGCCCGCCTCTCACCTTGCTCTCTCCGAAATCGGGACACCGCAGGGCTAGGAGGGCGCAGCATCAAAGCTGAAGCCAAGTCCCATGTGCTCCACTCGTCCGCGCGTCCGCGCCCCTGTGCGGACGAGTCAGGAGGCCCCTTGACACGGTCCTTAACATGCCATTGAGGTGAGCGAGGTAGGGGGTGTGACTGAGCTTGTTGCAGTCAGATGATTTCTCTGATCCATCCCCATTTTTTTCACCTTAAGCTTCGCAGCACCTTCGGCACCTCGCGCTCCCAGTATATATATCCTTACCCCAACCGTTCGAAGAACTCAGTACCAGCATTCTCCTGCCCTCGATCAGTACCACTTAGCTTGCCAACTATGCAGAATCCCGCAGTCGACCTCACTGTCTTGAGCGAGCTGAATCAGCAACTCGCCTTGGCCCAGGCTGCCAACCAAGCAGCCAGAGCCAACGGAGCTGCTGAGACGGCTCCTACTGCATCCGTTGCTCCAGCTCTCCCAGCCCCGGTGGCTGCCAACGCCAATGATGCACCAGCTCAGGTAGCTGCCAATACCAACGCGGCCCCCATTGCCAATAGTAAGCCCCGTGCCGTCTCATTGTTATCATCTAATAAGAGCAAAACATCAGCTCCGGCTAGGTACTTTCAATGCCCCAACTGCGACACCCTTCACCAGCTTGTTGTCGCTGCTAGCCCAGCAGCAGCACCCCTCGCTGTGTCTGCCATGCCCGTTGCCGCCCCATGTACTCCCGCTGGCCCGTCAACTGTCAATGATGCCGGCTCCTGGTATTCGGTCACCAGAGGCCGCCAAGTTGGAGTGTTCCGTGGATGGTAAGATACCACCCTGCATATTTAACTGTATGTTCACTCTTTTTCAGGAATACAATCGTTGCATCCCTTGTTGAAGGCGTCCCCCGTTGGCGCTGCAAGCGGTTCACTACAGAGCAACAGGCTCAGGCTCACTTCAACCATGCCCTTGTGACCAACGACGTTCACATCTACAATGATGAGTAGATAGGTCTGCCGTAGTCCCGCCCCCTCAGCCCGTAGCAGCCAGTGTTGTTGTAGTCAATATGTATGGCTTCCGTTCCTGCAAATATTGTTGTTGTCTTCACGTTTGATCGCGCCTGTGTGATAAATAAGCAACAAATGAGGTTCAATTGACTCAGTGATTGATATATAAGTAACAAAGAGAGTTTGGATGGCTACAGTGATTGATACAGAAGCTCCCCTTTGCTATGCATCTCAAAGAGCTCCGAATCGCCATCCATTGTAGTGCATAGCAAATCTTTGAGGCACCCCAACACCTCCTGGATTGCCTTTCCTAACGTCTCAGCGGTGCGGAAATTCTTGTCGACGCCTGTGAGTTGCAGTAATCCAGTCTCACAGCGTTGCATCGTGGCTCACAGTGCCTCCACTTCAAGAAGTGGATCGGTGAACGTGGTGTTACGACGAGACATACTGTACTTTTGGTAGAGTCCTGCCATGAACTTTGGAACAGTTCTGTTAGGGCGACACTAATACACTACTGGAGCGTACGTGGACCCGACAAGAATCAGAGTATTGAAAAGTAAAGTTGTAGGAGGGAAGACTGAAGACGATGACTTAGGCACTAATACTAGTGGTATTCCCAAGAGAACGAGTTAACGTCTCTGGGTATGATATTCAGTCTTATATACTATGGTACATGCATAATCCTCATGTCTATCTACACGCCGTAGCCTGTCGGCTTTCCATGGAATGCTTAGCACATCATCGTGAGGCATGATGTCATGTACTGCGCCCATGCGTCTACGGTGAGGTTCTGACTAAGGTGTTTAGTAATACGGGCTGAGGGTCGTAAGCAGACTGTAGTAAGCTACTGCATGTTCGTCATGTGATATATAGGGGAAGAGGAACAGAGAAGTCGAACCATAACAAGTACCACCTTGAAGCAATGTGTCGAATTTGTCCGATGTATCAGAAACCAAGGCCATCCAATTAGTGACCGTTGTAGGCTTGTTCTTTGGGTGCTTCCGGTCTCGAACCGCAGCTAAGATGTGCCAGTTTCTATCCAGATTGTTAGTAGTGAGCAAGAGAGAGTAAATGTGTATATACTTGATTGTTGCAGCTCGATATCTGATGGCACGCTGGCAGCTAATCTCCAAGATCTTTCTATATGTCCTTTAGTCGATAATTATTAGACTGCCGGATAAGCACACACTTGTGATAACTGCGCTTGCTCTTTGCCCAATTAGCGTACATCTTCTCCTCGAGAGTGTGGTACAATCTTGGGCGCCCAGATCCTGCGGGGCGTTTGGGAGTAGAGCAGACTTTAGAGGGATCCTTGTTCCTGGCACAATGGTTGAGCTATTATTCTTGAGTGAGTGGAACGACTCACTTGTGGTAACTATGTTTGCTTTTAGCTCTATTAGCTAGTACCTTCTCTTCAGGTGTTTTGTAGATTTTGGGGCGGCCAGGTGGCATGGTGCAAGTCGATGGTTGAAAGCACGCTAAAGTGCAGGTGGCAATCATGAAACAGTGCCATCTTACCTTTTGAACAATTCTTACCTTTATTCATTATTGACCTATTCTCCTGACCTATATGTACTAATTTTGTATGAGTAGGTAGCAGTAACATACCGGTTGAATTACCGTTGAAAATATCCCTCAGATTTGTAGTCTATCTTGTGCTACATATTTATTTTGTTCGACCTCCTAAGCCAACATATGCATGTGACTGGTGTTCAAGTGCCATATATGGATGCTTCCCTTTTGCTTCCGCAACCACAACCAGACCTCGGTTCGGCATCCTCATTCTGTTCTCGGTTCGGTGAGTAAACATTGTTCCTTTCGGTTGTCGGCATTCATGTCTCCCATATCAAGTCCCCGAATGGCTCCGACTAATCTTTATGAATGGCATCTTGGCACTGGAGTATTCCAACCGAACCCCAACCCTTTGGAGGAACCAATCTATTGTTTCGCCTCGGAGGTCCTGCCTTATTTCAACAAGGCATTCGATGAACACGAGTACAAGGAGTTCTTCACTGCTGCGTTCCCCTTATTTGATGATCGCTTCCCTATGGCCACTCCCAGGTGGAAAAAAGTAAGCTGTCTCACTATTTTCGAGCTTTTGTCCCATATTGAGTATTCCCATAGGCATGGTCAATGAGCTTAATCCTTCTCGATGCCTTCCTCCACGACGGAATCTTCTCCTTACCCAAAGTCACCGGGAATTGGAAGGATGTGATCACCATTGAGGCTGATCGCGCGCGTCATGTAAGTTCATCTCCCCTTTTTCTTATGCTTATCGGCGGAACTGAGTCATTGGGTAGCATCATGAATGGGAGGAAATCGGCAATGGAGCGGCTCCCACTGCGCACCAATATATCGTTGCATTCCAAGACATTGCATGAACACTTGAACCCCCCTGCTGAACCCCCTGTAAAGCTCAGGGCTTAGTCTAGATTTTGTGACTCAGTGCTCGTTTTTGTGACTGTGAGAATATATCATCAATTCATTCAGACTCATCTCTGTGACTGTGAGAAAATACGAAGAGGTTCCTCTTCCGCTAGGTCGCCACCAGCACACTTCGCCAACCTCAGCCTCAAGTTCGAGAATGTAATCAATGGCGCGGCTACAGAAGCCCAATTTTTCACCCAGAGAGTTTACAGCTTTTACCGACGTATATAATGGCTCACCTCAGCAGGGTAAGCATCTCAATCAACAATGCGCCGGCCCAAGAGAGCCCTTATTGACATTGACTCATTACTAGATTCAGAACCGAACCCGCGTCCTAGCCCATCTGCTCCCACCCATCAACATACTGACTTTGTTATCACCACATCTGGGCTATCAGCAACGCGGTCATATTATACACCACAACTAGAAGTCCCTCACCCCTCACCCAGTCGTGTCAGTGTTGACAACATTGGAATTGATGAACCAGACCTCCATATGATCGAACCTGACGAACCTGGGGATGACGGAAGCATTGTGCGGTTAATGAGCCGGAGACGCACTACCAGAGTACGTTCCGAACGGTCATTTACACTCAAAGGCTTACCACTAATACAATAGGACAACCCACTCCTTGTTTGGTTATCCGAGATCGATTCCTTCGTTGAAGAATTCCTTCAATTGGAAGGACATGGCGATATCGAGGCATCCCCCATAGTGTGCCATGAATGCGGGGAAGTCAAAGGAACATTTTGGTGCACCCAATGCTTCAATACTCAACTGTTTTGTCAAAATTGCCTAGTAGAACACCACAGAATGAACCCATTTCATATTGTTGAGGTAAGCATAGATATTAGCGAACATTTCCTGCAATACTAACATCTCAAAGAGGTGGAATGGCTGTTTCTTCGAACGCCAAACCCTCCGAGCGCTTGGCCTTCATGTACAACTCAACCATTGCCAGGGGGACCCCTGCCCTCGTACAGATACGGCTTTCAATGAAGCCTTTGTTGTCATCTCACTCCATGGGATCTTCACGATCAATCTCGACTTCTGTAATTGTACTCAAGGAGTGTTGAAGAGCGCCCAGCTTCTGTGTGCTCGGTTATTTCCAGCCACAATGGTTGAGCCGCGAACTGCTGCTACGTTTGAAGTCCTACGGCTGTTCCAGCTTCTCACCTTTGGCTCGAAGGTCTCAGGGTATGAATTCTACCAATCTCTGGTCCGTCTAAGTAGTAATCTAAGAGAGGCTGTACCGGTAAGTCAGTTAGCCTTTGTAACATGAAATTTGACAGCTGACCACACCCACAGGAGTGTTATACAGCCTTCATGTGGATCGTACGTGAGTGGCGCCACATCCGCCTTCTGAAACGCTCAGGACGTGGGCATGACCCATCGGGGGTCTCGGGCACCAAAGAAGGAGAATGTGCCATACTTTGCCCGGCATGTCCGCACCCGGGGAAGAATCTCCCATCGAACTGGCAAACAGACCCTAAGAAACAGTGAGTAGATTGGCGCAACTGCAGAGTCAAGACTTACCTAAATTTAGGTGGGTTTATTCTTTGTTTGTCGCAATCAATGCAAACTTTCACCTGAAACGACTGGCCGCATCAAACGACACTCGAGACCCGGGCCTAAACCAAGGCTATGCTTACTTTGTCGACGAAAAGAAATACAAAGCCTTCTTGGACGCTTTTGGAAATCTCCCTCCCGAAGAGCCAAGCACATGTAATAATAATGATGCTGTCAAGCTTGCCAGTGTCCGCGGTGGGAAAGGCATGACTGCAAGTGGCGTGGGGACTATAGAATGTAGTCGGCACAATATGAAGCGACCCCTCTCGGTTGGGGACTTACAACTAGGAGAGCGGTAAGCTATCCATTATGCCATGTTCCCCACATGCTAATGATAGTCTTAGGTACTGCAATATGGACTACCTCTATTTCTCTAGCCTTCGAAATCACTCTCCTAATCTAGTCGTTACGTCGTATGATATTGCGTGCCAGTGGGCGCGGAACCTCCAAGCTCATGCGGCATCCTATCCCAAAGAGCTTGTTGGTCCGCGGTTTAGTCAACTGTCGATCAAATACCTTGTCCCAAAATTCCATCTTTACGCTCATCGCAACGAATGCCAAATAAACTATTCCTTCAACCTCACTCCAAACGTTGGACGCACCGACGGGGAATCTCCAGAGCACGGCTGGGCAGCAATGAATCCAGTGGCCAGTAGTACCAAAGAAATGGGGCCTGGCTCCCGTCGCGACACCTTGGACGACCATTTCGGTGATTATAACTGGCAAAAAATCATCACGCTTCATACGTATCAACTTCTGCCGTCTGCTGAGTCACAGTACCTGTCACTCATACTTTTCAGATGAATCTCTCCTCCATAAAGCTCAAGAAGCATTGCAGATGCGATCGGAGCACGTCAAGGCCTTCAAAGCCTTCAGTGAAGGGTTGCCTAAGGAGACTGTAGCTAGTTTTTCGAAGCTAGTTTGGGCCTGGGAGGCAGATCCCAAAACGACAAATCCATACAAGCCAACACTCCAGACAGTATCGCAAGCAAGGATACGCTTAGAGCTTGCAGAGGAGGACGCGACAGCCGTGGAAAGAGAAGTGGTTGGCAGTATTGATATTGGCGTTAGCGCCAGCGTCTTCATCGCGCAAGGTCTTGATCTGGAAGATCAGCAAGTTCGACTTCAAACGGACGCAAACGGACTATCCAACAATGCTACTGATCATCAGCGAACTCAAATTATTGAACAACGAAATCGACTTCGCCGCTGAATCTTGGCCTGGCATGGCATACAAGATATATACATGCCAGGAGTCACATCCTTACAAGCCAACGAAGCCGACATTCACAGTAATGCAGAGTCGCTCAAGTTGTATCTGCCCTCAGAAGTCGCAGACCGTATACCTGTCCTTTTGATAGCCGACTATGAGTGGCGGCTCCGCTACGGGCAGGCGTCCGATTCGCTTGGGGATCTGCGTCGTAACCTGCTGGTCCTGAGTTCAATGTATCAATCCAAGGATCGTTACTCGCGTGGACAATATCATAACACTCGGAGCGTAATACTAGTCAAGAACGTGCACACACGTGCAAATGCGGCGGCAAGTAAATATCGTAAAAGCAGAATCACTCTTCATGCGTTGGGCACGATTCTCGGCAAATCAGGCTGGGAGCAAGTGTTGCGGCCCCTGCTGGATGCTGATGTACGTGGATTAAGGGATGGGGAAGACACAAGTCAGTCTGAAGGGTGTCGAACACTTTCCTGGATATGGGCGACAGAGCGAACAAATGAGGCCGAACTAACCGAGGGTATGAACGAAGGTAAAATAAGGTTTTAAACATGATTTTTAACTTCGGTGGTTCTAATATTCATTAGCTCTCAGGATCGAATGGTGCAAGACTCGGGCAAGAGCCCAGCGATGGCAAGAGGAATGTGTAAGGGGACACTCCTATTTTCTCCTATTCCCCTGTCCCTCTCCCTTCCTCCTTCGTTTCCTTTCTCCCTTCCTTCATCCCATGGACTATTATCTACATTCCCTTCATTCCCTTTCCTTCCCTCTCGCCCCCTTACCTTTTCGCTTCCCTTCCGTTCACTCCCTTCGCATCCGAGCCCCGTCCGGTGACTCCGAAGTCTTCCCGCGCTTCGGACTCGCCTCGGACTTGCTCGGACGCCTCGGACGCCTCGGACGCCTCGGACTCGCTCGGACTCGTAGATACACTTTGGGGCTCGTCCGGGCTACCTCTATCCTCCTTTCCCACTTCATTACTCCTTGTCCCCACTTCCCCAGGTCGCTGGCACGACTCCTGTACATTCCCCTTCCACTTCATTATCACATGCCCCCTCGTACCTTGTGATATTCGTTCGTACCTGTGGCTGGTGTACTCTACAGTTACCCTTCATTCCTCCCACGCTACTACAGTATATACTTCGCTTCCTAGCATGGAGAATCCTTATCCTGTTCTCTTTGGATTCTCCCTCTGCTAGGTGAGCAGCTCTCTCATGTATTGCAGTTAGTCTTATTCATCTCTTTGGATTCTCCCTCTGCTAGGCTTGCACTGTGCGGCTATCTTGAGGTTGCCCTTACAGAATGCCTCCTCTTGTCAGAGGAGATGTGTTGTCATACCAGAACATAGGTTCGGTATAAAGACATTAGGAACTAGGATGTACCCCTGAGCCCCTAGGATATTATCCATTGTCGGGTTATTGTTCTATCTTTCCATTGACGTTCGTTCGTCATGGAAATTCGTCATAGAGACCTGTAACAATGGATTCTATTGTTCCACGTCTCCATATAATTCGCCGTGGAAATCATTAATAATGGTGTCCATTGTCCCTCTACAGAGATATTTGCCGGATTTGTTATTGATATTTGCCAGTGATATTTGCAAGATTGTTCTCAGAATTACTGGCACAATTATCTTGACCTTGTACTTTATTCCAGCATTTATTTGGAATAATCTTTCCATGTTTCTTGAATATTATAACATATATCATTTTGAATATATGTTCAATATTGTTTTCAGATTATGGACTAGAATATGTGAACAGTAGTCTGGATCACTTTGAACTATATTCTCTCGAAGTATTCAGATAAATCATTGTGAAACATGTACTATAGTATAGATAGTATAGTGGACCTTATCTAGACTTTCATTCATATACTAGAGTGTAGAATAAGCAAGTGATTTTTGTAAGATATGGGAGTTGTTATTTTAGATATTGTTTGCTTTCTATGCTACAAGTTACTGAAATTGCATTCACAATTCTCTGGCAAGTATTAATGGTAAATTAGTTAGAACAACATTTATATGGTCTGCACAACAACTCTTGGAATTCATTTAGCAGATATTTGCTATAATTTGAGGAAGATTACTACATACATAGACAATGAATATAAGGAATATATATGAAAAGATATACAGGATAAAGTAACATTTCCTTTACAATATTCTATGCTACCATTTGAGAAAGATCTTCAGAATATGTTTCAGTTAACAGGAGGTGGGACATGTTTACTCTATTTGGATTATCTCTTTCATTCCTTCTCAATATTTTGCCATAAGATATGCTCACACGCACCCTGTGTAATGAGTAACTGTCGGGCGTCGGACGCAACTAACTGGGTGACATACCGTATATTTCTGCATCCAGAGTCAACAAACGCTTGTCATCACCAAGCTTCTGGCAAGATGGCACCGCAACGCGCAGCTTCCAATCTGTTTCGCCGTCGAGCTGGTCTGTTCGTATGAAACACGTCCCTGACGAGTCTGATGTGCGAAGTAGAACGACATCGGCAGGGACTCGCTGGTTCTTTTCTAGCACAATGAGGTCACCGACGCGGATCGACGACGAGGGGATGGCACGGGTGATGGCGCTATCTAATAGTGACGATGTGTCATGCGAACGGGAGGGGATGTCGTGACTTTCGAGGATGAGGTATTATCGCGAAGGTTGCGTTTGTAGTTGTTGTATGCCTCCTTTCCCAGTGTCACAAAAAGGACGAATGCCAGAGGGGCAATGTATGTAAATATGAAGCCTATTGTAGTAGTGAATATACACATAGACTAGTAGTATAGTCAAATGAAATGCGAGGGTCCGCCTCCGGCAGGACAAGTCCGTGCGACACCCGAATGAACTAAGTGTGATAAATGATGAGTCCGAGAGTGAAAACAAAAACTAGGAAACTTCGGATGCTTTGGATGGCTTCGGACGCGCTTGGACGCGGAACAAACAACTTCGGCTTCAGATAGCATGATGAGGATGGCAGGAGAATAATAAGAACGGCAGGAGAACTGGCTTCGGATCGGACTCGGACTCGGACAACGGCAGACTCTGACAACGGAGGAGGAAAGCTTCTCGGACGACTTAGATTCTGACTCGATGTGGGGGGAAACAAATCTGATTCTTCTAACTATGAGTGCAGTAGGTTTTTGTAGCTAAGAAAACATCGGAAATATCCAAAACAAAAAGGAACCAGGAACGACTAATGGTGCTAGTATAGTTCAAATATTAGGGTCCGAAAACAAAAGAGAGACAAAGCATTGATCCGCACTGTCTGATCCGTTATCACGTGTGTCCAGTACGGGTCAGTGACGTCCGAGTCATGTGCGGGCGCGTCCGAATAGTTGGAGAGGGGTCGACAGGGGATAGGGGACGTCGGACTGCACGGAACAAAAGGGTACAACCCTTACACTATACGTGGAAATGAGGGCGGTCAATGGCATCCCATGCGGACAGAACTCACCAATCTTCAGCGCGGGTACGAACTGAGACAATGCAACAAGCAGGAAATATAAGTTAAAGAAGAACTTGAACTGCTCATAAAGCACGATGGGAAGGAAGGTGAAAGCGTTGTATTTCTGATTCCGCACAATATTTGGAGGAAATCGCGATTGCAGTTTATCTGGGAACATAATTGACAATAGCTGTGATTCACGTCTGGTTGCAACTGACCTGGCAGTCGAAATGGGATAGTTCGTGATTTATCCTTCTCGTTTCGACTCTTCAGGGATGCAGTGGGAGACTTGTACGATAATTATCAGAGCTAACAGTCGGTAGAGAAGAGTCAATGCCCACCTTCTGCAGTGTCGTTGATGGAGGTGCATTCGAGCTCTCCACCTCGTCGTACTGGCCCCCAAGAAGCGTGTCCTCCTCCTCGGGGTCATCCACGTATCTGTCTTTCTGCCTGGCCTTGCCCTTCCCTGCACGTCGTGTCGACGCCACGGCTGCAGCTCGAGCTCCAACCCGCACCGCTTGCTGTACTCCTAGACCCTTGTACCCGGTTAGATCCAGGCCAAGCCTTGACAGAAATTGGGGCTATAGCCACAGGTCGCAATTGACCCAAGACATGGTAATAACCGCTGTGCACCTTATATAGGCATACAGCAAGCGCAGGCGACGTCCATCTACCTTCAATGATCCCACACATTGGTTTTAAAAGCTGGGTCCTTCCATATTAGAAGGTATGGTCATATCATTACTCAAGCGTCTAATTTATATTCCAGCGCCTGTTGTTCAACCTAAACGGCACATGGCAAACTCGTTAAACTATGATCATTATACTACACTACAAAAAAACATACAGGGCCGACAAAACATACGGAAGAAAACATACAGAAGAAAGCGGGGAGAAAATGGTAAACACTGGTCCTTAGTCCAAGTCCATGGGGGTACTCGAGCCCTCTGCAGACATGGTAGGGGACAAAACGGCTGGATCATCGTCACACGGCAGCAGGGGATCATCGTTGCGTGGTGGCGGGGGAGCATCGTCAGGCGGCGGGGGGAGCGTTGGTTCACCGGTAGAATCGCCCCTTGGATGTGGGTTGTTGCTGGCTGTGAATGGGGTGAATTTGGTAGCATCATTAGAGGCCGGCTGGGTGTCCTCCTCATCTTCTTCACACTCGTCGTCGTGGCCCTCAATGGCTCCGGAGAGCGTGATCACGGCGATAGGCTTTGTCCGTAGCCGTTTGCGTAGTGGCTGTTCCCATAGGTATGTGAAATGGTCTTTGAGCGCGACGTACACGGCTGCCTGGCGTTTTGCATAGGCCTCCGCACCTTTGAGAGTTGCCAAATCGGACCCAGGCACTGGTTGCGTAGTTTGGGACCACCACTCAGCTCGTGCCTGCAGCGATACACGAGTACGCCGCATTTCTTCTTGGAGCAGGGCAACTTCTTCTTGCCAACGCTGGGAACGTGCTCGTGCCTTGGCCCACTCAACTCGAACCACTGGGAGCAAGCATTAGCATGGCCAACAAGAAGACGGATAACACTCACCATCACTAATATCGCTGGTTTCCAGATCCTCGTCATCCGGCAGGGCAGCCCCAGCGGCCCACACCCATGAGGTATGTTTATACCCCTCCCCAAGCCTCAACTCAATCTCCTTCATCTTCTTTTTGCTTTTCCGACGTCCATCGGGACCATATGTGTCGTCAGGGTCGTCAATGTCGAAGGCAGCTGGCGGACGAAGATCTTCTTCCGAGAGGGGGCGAAGTGTTGACTCCCAGTCGCCGGTACCCCGGAGCCTAACAAGGGCTTGATGCGCATCTCGGTACTGTGCAGCCTTTAGCTGGATCTTCTCATCAAGGCGATCCAGTGATGCACGGGCTCTGGTACTTGGCCGCTGGCCTCGGACATTGCGATTCTTGTATATGATATATTGAGCCTTTCCTCGCTGGAGCGAACGGATGCTGTCGAGGGCGTCATGGCACTGTGCTTCCCGAAGACGATCCTCTTTCTCCACAAGTGCTGAGGAACATGTCGCTCGCTGGTCCGTATTGAGTAATGATGGAAGCCAGACAGGCTCGTCTTCAATGTCACGTTGGCTTGGTTCATCTTCGGAGTCGTCATCGAGTGCCACTAGAATTGGCATGTAAATACGCTGTGCAGTGCGGATCCGGGTGAGGGAACGCTGAATGGTAAGGCGACGTTTTTGAAGGTCTTCCGCTTGTGCTGGGGTCATGTCTAGCTGATTGCGAGCATTGCGAACCTTCCGCCTGACGAGCATTGGTTAGTTGACACTGGGAATTTCGAGCTCAAAGCACTCACTGAGCATCTTCTATATCCATTGACGTGGTAAGAAATGTTGTTGGTGTTGTCTTGTGTGTCGACAGAACCTTCCGTTCCTCTTCTATCAACTCCAAGCGAACGTCCTTCTGCGACTTCGCTTCATCGGCGGCGTGTCAGTCAATTGAAGATACAAAAGTACATCAAGCTTACCTGAGTGTTGCTTAGCAACTTCGTACGGGTTTGGCTTCGTCTTGTCAACTTCCCAATCCATCACCATTCTGGTCCACCCCTCGATAATCCCCTTGTCGCGGACCTCAATAGACGAGGTGAATTCCTGAAATAGTATTGTTTGTCGTGAGCTCTCGGCGATTGCAACCCAGAGTCTGCGGTGCAAAGTATCTCCTAGAATGATGTTAGTATCACGTTGAGGGTGTATGCTGAAAGCACACACCAAGACCTGCTAGCTTTCGCCAATTGTGATGGGCAATGTGGTCATCTAAGGTATCGTGACGACCCCCGGGACCCATCTCTTTGGTACTGTTGGCGACTGGGTTGAGCGCTGCCCAATCACGTTCAATTCCTTCTCCATCTGTCCGGCCCACCCCTGGCATTAGGTTGAGCGAGTGAGGAGTTTGGCACTCCTGTTTATGCGCCGGACAGTGACACTTCGGAATCGCAAAGTACGGTGCCAGGCCTTCCGGGAGTCGCATTGCCTCGGGTAAAGCAGCCATCCGGTCCTTGAAATGGATCTTGTATTGGCAGGCGATGTCGTATATTATGTAGAGCACAAAAAGGGAGAATGAGTTGATGGCACTGAGTAGAATCCAGTCCATATTGCAGTATCTGGCACCTTAGTGATCAGGCAATCGGTCGGTGTGATGGTCAAATGACTAGGCAACATACCTTTCTCCCTTTTGTAGGTCTCCAATCCCCAAAGGCCTGACCATCTCGTGTCGAGAGCAAACACACATCCCGACGCCCGTCGCTCTCATTCCAGCTGAAAACTTGGACTCAGCGGCTGCCAGGGTTTTGAAGCCACTGCAATTACTTGTCTAAAACCCTTGGGTCAGTCCAGCTGAGCTACTGGAGAGGTATTGCCACGTACGTCTTTCTGCTCTGAGTATTTCTTCAGATGTGTGGCATATGCCGCAGGCTCGACAAAGTACGCTAGACCTGTAACAAGGCCAGGATCGGCTTCATCGGAGGAGCGTAAACGATTTTTCAGGCGAAAATTGGCGTCCAGGGAGACAAGAAGGCTGTAGAGGTGTCTGACAACTGTCAGATGTTTGTCCATGCTTGGCATATGATTGTTTTCCCACTCACCTCTTTTCTGAGATCGCCGCTTGCCATCCCTCCGGCAAGTTGACGCCTGGCTCTGGACAGGCTGGACACTTCAGAGCAAGTTGTCCTTTGTCCGTATCAGCCATCAGTCCTTCGATGCTCCCTCTCCCCCCACGTTTGAACATTCTCTCGGTTCGGAATTGGCGTACCATGAGGAAGAACGACTTGTATCTGGTCTGAACAATCAAGAGAGCTAATTAGCTACCGATAACAAGGATGGACTTGAAACTCGCATTCGGTATGTTGATGCCGCAATTGTCTGTCATCCGCTCTAGGGACTGATAGTATTCCCAGCACGATATCTTGCCTGAGAGCGTCAAGACGTGGTATGTTTTCAATACCTCTACTGTCGCACAAGTTCGTGGATAATGAACACTTGCAGGCCACCAGTTGGCGCGAAGGATTTGTATGCGATGGCTCACGCGCCGTTCACAATTGCAGAACCGAACATTCACCATATGAACTCCGTTGTTATGGATCACAGTGAAGGATTTATGGCCAGGCTCCGGGTTAACGCATTCAAGGTCAAGAGGGTGCCCAAGTTGTATACTCAGGCCCAAGTCGGCCATTGAGACACGTTCGTAGTAAGCCCCACTCCACCGCTGGTCGCAATTCAGCATAGGTCAAATAGTGGTTCACACACTCTCACCTTAGCACGGTGCAGCGGCATGCGGAGGTGTCGGGATAGAAAGCAGCTGCGGCATTCTAGCAGACCCTCAAAGCACTCGTCACAGGTGTACTCGGGCGCTTCATCAATCCCGCAAGTAGGGCAAGCTTGCAGGGCAGCCGCGTCTCCACGTCCCTCTAGGCGAAGTCTCTCCATAAGATACTCCTGGCTGTACGGCCTCCATTCATGCATTGGCGTGTCCTGCACAAGGGTCAGCGGCGTTCTGTTGCATAGACAACTATTCTTACTGATACAGCGTAACGCTTTCTAACGACTCCAGCATCAACATGTTCGCGTGATACTCCCCCCCCATATTCCCCTCCACCGTCGAAATTCTCTGACGGGTTCCAATCAAAGGCTGTCGGCTCCACCTTGCCTTGGGTGTGCAGAATGCGAGGCGTCTCTTTGGCACGCCGAAGGTTGTCTGAGACGGTAACGGTCCTCGCATGGATGCTACCCTTCAGCGGCCCCGTTTCATCTCTTGCACTGCTAAGTCGAAACTTCTGTCGGAGTTTTCCATTTGTCGGTGGCACGCCTTTCTGGGTGCCCATTTTTTTCGCAGTTTTTGACTGGGTGAGCTGCACGTGCCGCATTTACGCATCTACAAACTAGTTGACAGCCCAATAACCTTTCTCCCAGGTATGTTGTCTCCTATGAAGCTCGTGTTGCATGGCAAATACCACTAGTATAACAGCCTATGTATGTAGCTAGAGTATGAACTACATGTTTTGAAACATCAATTTGCACTGTTCGTATGCCTCCGAAAGCTCATCGACACTACTGAGTGCGTATTCGAGCATGTCCTCCAATATCATAATGGTGTCTCGCACCCTTCGACAGAATCTTTGGCTGGCCTCGAACTCTGGCACACACCCCTCCTTCTCCCAGATCCTCTTAGTTTCCACCTGTGCCTTTTGCGCCAGAATTTCAAGTATGTCAAGCTCCCTGTCAATGGTGGTTGCAGTGTTATCAACCATGGCCTCTGTGTATATCTGTGTGGCGTATTCGGCCTCTGATGGGTGCACTATTTCACGAAGCTCGTGTTCTAGATCATGGAGGGCTGAAGAAACATCGTGGGTATTAGATGCCCTATTGTAGATAGCGTGAATATACATTCCTAGTTGTAAGTCAACGACATACTTTTTTGTGATACGGGCTGGCTTCCCTGAATTCTCCTTTGCAATGTTCACGACTCTGCGAAGTGACTGCTTGCCGTTCAATCTTTTGTCTTCATGATATCTTTGTCGACGCTGCTGGAGTACTGTCTCCCGATGCCTGAATGCACGATAAGCAATTGCCAGAGTGAAACAAGAACTGCTGTACCTCTCATAGTGGCGTTTTCGATTGGCTCGAATGGCATCTAGACGACTCTCCTCTGTGGTATACTTGCGAGGACGACCCATCTGTAATCAAGGATAGGGAGGGACAAGACGGCACAAGGAAAAGGTGTGTAACTGAGAACCTGGTTCGGACTTGTAGTTTAAAGTTTACTCAAAATGGTGCCAACATTTCGTCGAATAAAAACTCAAATTTGCAAAGATTGAATCATGCCCAGGTATCTACTGTCCCGATGGTCATGATAAGTCGGCACTATATACAAACAATAGTTCCACGTCAATGTATGTTGAATACAAGCTAAGACCGTGCGTAGATGGCCCCGTAGGGACCCAATATCAGCCTGCACATCTTCTGCCTCTGCTCACCACCCTTCTCCAGCCAAAGACTGACGATCAAGCGCGATGCCTCACTGACCGCCTGATTCCATGATTTGGCGGTTGGATCTTCCAACCAGTTTCCCTCGCCGTCGAATTGCGAATGGACAATATCGCCCCACCAGCGGAGACTGCCGACTACGCTGAGGAAGCCATTGGCACCGGGGCGATCGAGGTGCACAAAGCTGCCGGCAATGTTCGAGGGCTGGAGTGGATTCAGAAGAGAGTCGGAGTCCGCACTGTTGATAGGACCTTGCGTTGTGGACAGTTTGCGCCATTCTGGCTGGAGAGTACGCCACCAACGCCACCACGAGGCCTCATATGCGAGTATATCCAATACTGCAGGACTACGAACTCTGGCATTCTTGATCCATAGGCCGATTTCCGAAGGACGGCAGCTATCTACATTGGGTAAAGCTGCCTTCTGGTTTTCAAAACGGTTATCGGCTTCGAGGTTGACCAGGGCGTGCAGTATACATGCCCACGATGTTCCGAGATGCTCGCTTTCATGCAGCAAGTAACTATAAGCAGGCAGAAACCACTTCGGCCAGGTCTTGCTAGCTGGTGGCGCCGAGGGAATGGCACTGACATCGCAAGCCTTCGGACCATGATGTGCCGCCTGCTCGTCTGCCCACGCTCCCTCGTGAGCTGGACTAGGCAGAGGAGTTGGAGTCTTGCCGGATGGATCGTCCATATCTGTCTCCGGAGGTAGGGATATGGGAGTATTGGTGGATGGATCGTCCATATCTGTCTCCGGAGGTAGGGATATGGGGGTGATTTGGCGGCTGGATTCTTCGCCAATGGTGCCGCATGTCTGATCCTCGTCCACGTGTTGTGCACCTTCTTGCAAAGGTTCGTCTGCGTCTTCTTGTGCGGGTTCCTCAGAGCCCTGATGACGGCGGAGGCGGCGTAATGGGGATCTACCGTCTTCATCCAAGGCACGAACCTTTTTCTTTTTCGGTCGTCGATCGAGGGGATGCCTCTTGAAAATGATATGGTTATCTGGTTGAGTATCGTCTTCGGAGGGAGTAGATTGTGCGGTACTCTCGCTGTCGTCGCCCGCTCGTCGACGTTTGCTCTTTACACGCTTCGTAGCCTTTGAAGATGTCTTGGAGACAGTGGCATCCTGGGGTTCTTTAGATGAAAGTGAGCTTTGGTCTGGGTCTGTCATTTTGTGAGCTGGTTGGAGAACCGTAACCTGTTTGGCTGGTAGTGGAGCGGTTCCCAGAATGGCAGCCGCCTCACATTCCTCAGGGCCTTGGAAACCTTAATGACACCCAGTAGACAACAATAGAGAGGCAGACTTACTATAGCAAGTCTGTAGAAATGCCGTGAATAAATCTGTAACCTTTCCGAAGTCGACGGCGCAAGCTTCATTCCATCGTTGAGGAATTGGAGCTTTATTCGTGCCTATGTGCAGGCTAGGGAGTGTTAGGTCAGCAGCGTGGAAGGTGCATCAATAGGTCACTCACCTCAAGACGTTCAGTTGTCCTCCGTGAGCTGGTTCAGGGCCACCGATCAGAAGGGAGAGGTGCATGCCCAGAACAGTGGAGACTTTGGTCAAAAGTGGGCCGAAAAAGTCAGCTACCCTGTCAAGCAAACTATTCGAAGTTAATCTCGGCTCTGAAACAGGCGAAGTACTCACTCTTGACGTTCTGCCGGAGTCAATTGGAGTTCCTTCCCCTCTCGTTCACGAATGCTTTCCTTCTCAGCCTGCTGTAAGGCCAAGCCCGATTGGGTGTATTCGTCTTGAACCGCTGGAGGTAGTAACAAAAACCTAGCCTTCACATATTTAGCCCGTTCTGCCGCTCGGTCGCCCTCGTTGATCCCACTGGAGTTGAACCACTTCTCGAAATCAGCCTTCATAGTGCCTTCATATTGAGCTTTCGAAAACATTTGGTCCCCCGTTCGAAGTCGTGACGGCTTGTTATCCATCCCAATGAACTGGTTGAGGAGCATAGCGAAGGGGTCGGTTCCAGCATTGTTGGTACTGATACGATGCACGCTTGATATACGGTAGTCTAGCCATGACTGGATAGACTGGAAATATGTTAGCAGCAATAAATGTCTTCGTAAATCACCTAAAACTCACCGCAGTCATTTTCTTGATAATCTCACCTTTGAGCTTCTTCTCTTCAGCTGTCACTGGTTCACGCGCATAAGGATCGGGGTTTTGGTTGCTCGGTTCATCGGTTACAGGAAGGCGCCAGGGGTACTTGGTAAAATACTTGTTGACCATTCCCGCAAGAATGTCGCCCTTGCGAGAGCGCCGATTCAACGAAGCTTCCTTCCAAGGTTGTATCCGCACTGTTAGCCATGTCAGGCGAGTTCCCTTTGCCCACCCACGTTGGAGGGTGGGAACCTTTGGACTAATATGGTGATTGAGCGCCTGCCGGATCAACATGTAATTATGACTTACAGCGGAAGTTCACCACCAGCACCGGTATTCGTCATGTCCGGTTGGTCCCCGGTGTTCGTCGTATCTGTTGTGTTTGTTGACATTGAACTTGGGGTGTAGTGAGCTGATTCTGGTGAGCTTTTATTTCTTTCAACAAGCTCTCTACCACGCACCTTCCAGCACCCTGTACGACAAAACATGCTCCTACAACACGGCGGTCTACAACACGGTGGAGGGCGTGATAACTTTGCAATATTATCTTGAAGCTTGGGAAGCCCCAAAATGGGCAATTGGTCGCCTCATGTATGTGGTTGTCCATCTAACTTTTGCACCTGACCATTCTTTGCTCGCCGATGGAAGCCTTCCCCTCGATGAAAGCCTACTCAACTACACCATGGTCTTACCCTGTACGCAGGAGCCCTCGCAATGCTCTACTTATCATCACTAATCCCCCGCCCCTTCAGTCTACGCCCTTCCAAGATGACTCAATCAAAACCAGTTGGAGACGAGCACACCAGTGGTGACGACATGGCTGGTGAGTACTAGTCGCAGATACTGAGTAGCCTCGCAAGCTGATGCTGCCTCCCAGCTCTCTTAGCGCAGCTCTCTGGATTGTCCCTTTCCCCGGACCAGGCTCGCACTTTGGCTGGGGCGCTGACGTTGTTGGCCAATAGTGCACCATCTGCCCCCTCCCCCGGCTCTGGCACCTCTCCCATGCAGGGAGGCCCACCTGCCACATCGGTGGCGGCGCCAGGGCTTTCAGCTTCGGCAGCACGTCGATTGACGGCATCCGCTCACCCTGTGCATATGCCTCCAACAGTTGCCCAACCCGTCTCACCTCCTGCCATCGCCGTCACCCACGCCTCCGTTACACAGTCCACGGCGCCTGCTGCCGTTGCGCATGCCGTCGTTGCTTGTGCCGCCATCGCCCAGTCTATTGGGCCTCCCGCTGCCGCTCCCACCCCCGTCGCTCATCCCGCAGTACCTCCCGCCATTGTTGACACCCCCTACACCCCGACTCCTGCATCTCCAAGATACCACTTGCCGCAACCTGGTTCTCCGGGGCCGTACTACGTCATCACCCGTGGACGCCAGGTTGGGATCTTTACCAACTGGACTGCCACTGCGCCCCTTGTCATTAGAGTTCCGGGAGCCGTCTTTGAGAGTGTCCGTTCTCTCGCTCTTGCACGGGAAATGATGGAGGAAGCTCTGGATGACGGCATCGTCAGTGTCATTGACATTGAATACACCCGTCGTCCTCGCATGCATAGGCGTAGATAGAATAGTGTAGTACAGTCGTCCCAACCAATACAATCCCCTTTGCCCTCATTTCGTGTGTGAATCCCAAATATCACCTGAATAGTGGAGACTCGGGTGAGCTAACTGTGCGCATAGTTTGAAAGAGCGGAGACTGGAGCTGAATGTAACGTGAAAACAAGGG